TCATAAGGGCCTGTGTCCACTGACAGCTTTGTATGCACACAACACCAAACAGCATCTTAAACACCTTCAGAGTCATTTGTTTACACTCACAGCGCTCTCAGATTAAAATAGTTCAACTTTTGAGGCACCACTAGACTCACCAATATTACTTCTGCATCACCAACCAATCAAAATTGAGGCAGGGTGAAAAATGTGTTATGGTGACAGAAAACAAAATCAAACACCACATTGAGCAATGAGATTAACTATTATGATTAAGCTGTACCACTTTGTCTACATGGGGGCGCCATAATCAACACCAATGGAAGATTCGTTCCATTAGCTTTAAGCATACAGAGAAATTTAAAAAAAGGACTTGACCTAGCAATAGCAAGCTCAAGTGAAAATTGATTAAATAATGTGTGTCTTATTGGTCAACATAAGTACTATTATTTGAAATCAATTTTAGGTATTTTGGTCACATGACATGGAAGCTATTGAAGTAATATTCAAAATTTGCCTTTAAATTTAACACTAATTAGGGGAGAGCGTAAAATTAGGACAAATTAGGGAAATAAAGAGCCTGTCTTATTGTCCGACCTTAGTACTATTATTTGAAATCAGTTTTAGGTCAATTGATCACATGACACAAAAAGCTATTGAAGGAAACAGTCTTTTTTGGAGACATCAACCAGTAATTTATTGATGGTCCCTTATTCAACCCCGACATTGACAGCGAGGGTGCCACGCAGATTCAACCTGCTGTTGTTATTACTGGTTGTGGAGAGTGAGAAGACACCGATAGATCCGCGGTGAATGTCCGCCAAATATCCAACCTAAAACTAACTTCATCGTGGTATTTACATGAAAAAACATTTGTTGCCTTGGCTGATTTTTTTATGCGCACACGTGCCCCTAAATACATTTTACAATTCGCACACATCTATTTTTAGTCGGAAATGCGAGTGAAACTGTCGCACTGTCGAGCCCTGTATTGGAGCTAGTGCAAAAAAAGCTTGTGGTGGACACGGGCCCTGATTGTGTACTCTTATATTTATCGTATACTCTCAAAACTGCCAGAAAAGAGGAAAAAATAGGCATTAGGCGATGATCACAGCCTTCTGGCGACTTCGTAGACTCAGTAATTTGGCTAAACCGTACAGATTAACCACAATAATGTCTTATTATTGTCATATATGTGCAAGAGTTACTGGTTACACAGCCAGTGACAAGTTCTTAAAGCCAAGACAGCCTCTCTCTCTACAGCTAGCAGTGTCTTTGATTCTCCGCTCTTATATAAGCGGCCTTGTATCTTGTCAGTGCTGCACAATGTTCTTTGAGGAGCAAATTGCGCTGTTGTTGTTTGTTGCAGCTTCAGATCAAAGATCGCTGGACCTCATCATGTGCGTGCATCATGACGTCTGGCTGAAAAGCACAAACAAGAAAACATTTGATACAATTACATCCCGGGTCAGAGGTCAAGTCTGTGTGTTTCCTCCATGTGTTTTCTGCAGAAGCTTTAAATTCAGCCGTTTGTGTCAAGTTTTTTTTTTTCTTTATGTGTTTTTTCCCTCCTCTGTTTCATCTCAAACAGAGCAACAGCAGATTGGTGTAATGAGAAAACAAAGAAATGCAAAATGAGATTTATTCTGCGTGTTAGCTAATCTTATTACGCTCGGAGCTTGGCAAGAAATAATATGTGACTTTTTCTGTTGTCTGTGCCTCTTTCTCAGTCCTCGTTCTGAATACGAATCAAATGTTTTGCAAAGGGAAGGCGCCTTTAGGTGATGATACACCCTCAGCTGCAATATTTGAAGATCATATATAATGCATGCGCTGTGCTAATATGCATCCTAGCAACCACATGCATGAGGCTTTTATCACTTTGTACTTTCAGTTTCACTTTGAAAATGTGTTTATTGACTCAATATGTTCTGCATGATGACACTGATTCAGTGTTCCACATCTCTGTAGATTCTGTCGATGCAGATTTTGCTTTCTCTGTCCCTTCCTCATGTTTCTGATTATCCCGCCAGAGGGTTGCTTCAATTCAAAGTGGAAAAACAGAACCTCACTGTGGGTTTGTAAATATTTAACAGTAAAAAAAAAACCCTGTTCACTTTGAATTCAATCGATTCCAAGCTTTAAAAAATGTCGTTGAAATAGAGACTTGAGGATGGATTTGCTGTCATCCTTGTCTAACATGAGGTCAGGCATCTAAGGCATCAATCAGCTCTCGCTGTGATGGAAGTCGAGTTGTCCCCTGGAAGAAAAAAAGGAGAAAAGATGTAAAAAGAAGAGCTCAGTGGGACGGCGAGGTCATTACTATCTTGCGCAAGGTCAACAGAATGCCACTGGGTAATTGAGTGAAGCGCGGCTTGTTGCTGTGAATCGGAAAAAGGCGCTTTACCTCCATCTGTCGAGGGGGGAATGAATCAGAGCTATTTTGTATCAAGGCTGGTTTTGTGTTAAAGTAGCGAAAGAAAGCAGAATTACGAGTTTTATTTCCATTTTGGGCGCTCGGCAAGAACATGCAAGCTGGCAGAAATCGCACACAAGACAGAGGCAGAAGTTTAACCGCTCGGTGCGACCGAATGCAACCGCTTCTCCCGGCAACCCTTGTAGCTTTGTGATGCGACAAAGGAAAGCACTCTCCCTGGAATCAAAGTGTCGTAGCGGGTGCATCGGCGAGGAAGTGAATTTGTGTTATTTGCCCATTACCTCCAGGCGCAGAACTGCTGATGGCAGAGCTTTCTATATTGGTGGAGCCTCTCTATCCCATCACTACCCTGTCACAACCAATCCAGCTGCTACTACTGATAGCTTTCTTTCATTTGCAGCACTCTCTCTCTTTCTGCACCCAAGCATCTGTGCTTGTTTTGGAGAGGCCATCAACAATGTCTCTCTGAGGTCCCACCTGCCCTTGACCCTCGTCTGCTGCTGCAGATGTGTGTGTTTGCTTTGCTGTGTGACTGAATGAATAAGCAATGCAGGGTTATGTTTGTGTGCAAGGGGATTTTTTTTTTTTTTTAACCTTTGCAGAGCAGAAAAAGTAAAATAAAATAGAAGCTTTATCCTTGTAGGCTCAGAGCGACTTTATTGAAGATTGGAAAGCAGTGCAACGCAGCGTTTACACTAACAATCATTCAAGGCTCCTCGGAGCAGGAAATAATAGATTCCACACATGCCTGCACATCCAGACGGTTGACTTAATTTGCTCTGAGCAGGAGATGAGATTGGTGCGACCTTGATCGAGCAGTTGTCTCCAGAATGAATGAGAGAAGGACAAATGTCTGTCAAATATGTTGTACTTTTTTAGACACAAGCTCCAGCAGTCGGGATAAATTCTGGGCTGTGTATAGTGAAAGGGTTATTATGCAGATCATAATCTTGACATGGTGAGCAGGACCCCAACAAATAGGTCCCATAAAGGTCTTGTTCCTGTACCTGCTTCCACTATTATAAAGTGACTCAGAATATGAATCTGTGTGTGTTTGTGTGTGTGAGCGCCGTGTGTCCTTCACCATCCTTTTAAACACATGATGCTGCCACCCAGCCGAGGGGGGTTGTAATGTGCTGTCAAAACCTATTTACCTCCTTCATCTTGCCCAGCTGCCACACCATGGGAGCGCAGTGGGGGTGGTGAGCGAGGTACGATCCGTCACTGCCTCCAAATGTGTTTTTTTACTGTATCGTCCTCTTTTCTGTTTGTTTTATGACGCCTTTGTTTCTGATAAAGCAGCCATCGTTGTGCTGTTTCTGCGTCTGGGACGACACTCGATCATATCAAATTGACATGAGAGTTCACGGCGAGTGCTGGCTTGTTACTCAGTCGAACTGCTGTTTGTTTTTTTTTTTCCAATGAGAGCATTTCACCATTAAAAGAGCAGAAAGCTCTTCAATTCAAGACTAAAATCTGCCCTCGTCAAAGCTGCTTGGGTTGACATTTCTAAATTAAGTACTTTTAGCAAAGGAGCTGAGTTACTCTCATTTTAATGAGCTTCATCTCATCATTTTGGTTTCATGGCCCAGAATCAGCTTCACTCTCATGTATTTTTGATTTCTTTAACTTTTTGTTGTCAACTAAATGGTCTTTAGCAGAACTACAGCTGAACCTTCAAACGGCTTAAGATAGCAGCTGGTTAAGAAAATTAATGGCGTTGTTAGCGACTAAAGCAGGATAGAAACTGAGTCAGATTTATTAAATGGATGGAGCCTGAGTCTTTCCTTATATACATAACTGACCTAGCATAACATAAGAGATCAGATGGATGGATGGATGGATGGATGGATGGATGGATGGATGGATGGATGGATGGATGGATGGATGGATGGATGGATGGATGGATAGATAGATAGATAGATAGATAGATAGATAGATAGATAGATAGATAGATAGATAGATAGATAGATAGATAGATAGATAGATACTTTATTCATCCAAGAGGGAAGTTCAAAATGGGCAAAAGGATGTCTTTTAGTGTAGTCTCAAGTCCCATTTAACTCTCTAATTGTGTCATTACATATGACAACGTTTGGGAAAATAGCCAATCATAGCTCAGGATTTTGGGGTACGTAATACACACACCCTGACACACACATCGCTCCTCTTTTATAACACAACTTGTGTTTTGAATGTCTCATAACTCACCTGTTGTGAAAACAGTGTTTGAGTCAGATCTGAAGCATGCGACTCGAGTCCAAGTTTTAAACTCGCAGCTCTGGGATAATCTATAGTGAGCAGGTGGTTGTGCAAATTAGAAATCCCCCAGAATGAGGAGAAACATGCTGGAATCCTTTGGGCGGATTGATTTTAAATAAGGTACGCCATGAGATTGGCCCTAAAGTCCCCTTGCTGCTGAGAGTTAATCATCATGTTACGTGGGTTTCCACCAATCAGAATCCAGTATTAGGTACATCTGGGGAATAAACGGTGATAGTTTGTCAGTTCAGCGTTTACATTTTGTTAAACTGCCCCCATGTGGACAAAAAACTAATCATCGCAGATTCAACAGGCCCTATGCACAGCAGCCATCTTGGCAAGATTGTCCAGACTGACACAGGTGAGGACCAATGTTAGAACTAATTAGGTGAACTTTACACCTGAGTCATTGTCTTCTTCTGCGTTATAGGTTGATGCTACTGGAGTGACTGCAACGCTAGACTGAGCTGGGCACTGTGTTGAGAGCAAGCAGTTGGAAGATTAAAGGTAGGTAGGCTTATTGATTGGTACACAGATAGCAGTAAGGTGGCCATTGATTGGGCAAACAGCCAATTTTTGACCTGGAGGTGCACTGTGTGAATCAATGGTCTTAATCCAGTGGGAGAAGTGAAGAATGAGAGCGCGGGTCCCAAAATGTCCTCTAGTTTATGGCCATTTGACGGATTCTTTTATTGAAAAGGAAACGTGCTTCTGTGTTTTGCTGCATTTTTTAACATCTATTCCTTTTATTTCTATATTTTTTTTAGTTCATAGCTTGGAAATGATTTTTATTCGACTGCTGTTGCTGTACACACATGCCCGGATAATCAAATTCATGTCCTCCCATACTGTCTCGCAAACATCCCCAGTGCATACATTGCCCCATTAAGTCAAATTCATTCATAGTGGCTCCTGCTCCAGATGGATTATTTTGACCTTTAGAAACGACCGGTCAGTCAATATCACGGAAGATATAATTCATCTACTTTCAGATTCATTAGCAATGGTAGGATTGAAGGTCTTCATGCAGTGCCCGTGTCATATTAATACATGACAAAAAAAAAATACACAACCAATTCGCTAATTTGATTTCAGAGCCTAAGATACGCATTACATTTGAGTTATGTGGACAGGGTAGTATTTTTCCTCCCAATTACAAGCATCATTGGACCTAAACAAAACTAAAAATGACAAATAGGTTAATAAACAATGTAATCAAGAAAGTACTTCATTTTTATGTGCTAAGGTTTAGGGCTCGGTTTAAATTATAGTGTTCATTTCCCTAAGTTCGTTTTTATGAGGCAGTTTCATGACCTAAAATACAGGCTGGTCACCCTACCCTTAGTTTTTAAACAGAAGGACAGCAATGCACAGATTTGGATTGGGATTTTGCTGCAAAATGTGTTTAAACTATTCAGTTTTAAATTATGTAGTGGCGAATCACAACAAAGGTTATCTTAGTGTAGTTTAATAAAAGAGCTGATTGAGGCTTTTGTCAACTAAGAGGAAGCCTCAGACACACCCTAAAGTAACAGGCAGAAACCTCAAGTAGAACCAGACTCATGTTAGACAGATGTAGCTGGTTTAGAGAGGAGATGGAAGGAGACGCTCAGGAAATAGGAAGTGGGAATATTTCCCTTTGTAGAGGAGACATCTTGAAGTTGAAGATAGACAGTTTTTCACTTTTCACCTTTGGTTCACTAAAGTTTAAAAGCATTGAAAATATTCTGAATATAGCGTACTTCAACTGGTATTGATTTTTTTTTTTTAAGTGACACTCTTGTAATAGGTTTTTCTGCTGCCCTTGACCACACTGGCACTCTGCAGTTTATCAGACTGCCTCTCTAAACTAGAGGTGTACCACAGCCATCAAACATAATACTGCCTTTTGAGAAGAACTTCTTCAACACCTTTGTCAACAGATCAGAAGTATTTTTTAAGTTTTAAGTCAGTGTTTGGAAAATAAAAAGTGCTGAATTAAATAGTTCAAATAAAAGAAATCTGCATGCTTACTCTGAAGGGGCTTTAATGGTATTCCATGCTATTTTGTCCCTGTCTGCACACAGTAGTTTAGCAGCTGTAGTGTGTCCCTGCCTCCAGGTGTCACTATAAGAAACTATAAAAGATGACAAGTCAAAAGTTATTTGACACTATTAAATTACAGAACAAAAAGTTCCTCTGTTGTCCACAGAGGGCGCCAAAAACAGCACAAACAAAAAGTTCCTCACAGTAGATTTACAGTAGGAGAAAAATCTGTTATTTTATCTCCGCAGACCGACAAAACAGACTCTACAAAGACAACAACAACAACAACCTGGCTCACCCAACACGTAAATCCCTCTCCACCGACTACCGATTTCCTTGTACCTGTCATGACCAACAGCTGCAGGGAATTGAACCGGCGCCCAGGTTTGCTGACGGTAACATGAGCGGATGAGAGATACCCCACCAATTTAGGTCAGTGCTCATCACATTGTTGCAACTGTCTGATTGAGACGGGTCAGCGCCCTCACCTTGTCTGGCATGCCGCACATATACACATTCCTGTACTGTACACAGGCACAAAGCCAGGAGACAAAGCCAGTAATAGCAACGCAATATGACCACGCTTCAGCGCTCGCCACTATAACCCTCCCCGCAGACTGGAACGCACAAAGAGCCAGTGAACTGTGGCGGGGTTTCTGGTTTATAGTCGGTGAGTCATTACAAGAGGAAAGGACATGTGCGCACTTTGATATGTCACAAGGCTTTTATTTAATGATGCTGTGGAGCAAAGGTTAGCAGGACTGCAGGGCAGCAGACAGAGAAGCACTCAGAGAGGATAATTAGGACGACAAAAGTTCAGGGTGAACCAGTGTTTGATTACCACTGCCCTGCCGTTACGCTGGCTGATGTTATAGTCTCAAAGCTGCTCTCATCAATAGTTTTTTGTTTCTATAAGTGTACAATGTCCTTCTAGGGGATATTTTGTACATTACAGGAAACTAGTTTCAACAAATGTCATCACTCAGGTTTCTGAAAGCCTCTGTGTTATTGGATTGCGATGCAACAAATCCTGCAAAGCAATCTCATGAATGGTCCAAAGCATTGACACAGCTAATTTTAGTCAGTTGCTAGACCGTATTAGCACATGCTATCATAGGTTATGTTCACACTGCAGGTCAATTCCGATTTTTTAACCATATGTGACACATATCTGATTTTTTCATCGAAGTGTGAACAGTGCAATTCAGATTTTTTCAAATCCAACCCAGGCCTCTTCTGTATGTGGATAAAAATCAGATATGTATCTGATATGACCTATATGTCATCAATATGCGACAAACGTCACCATTGTTCGACAACACAAACAGGCGCAGAAAGCAATTTGTGCTTTGTGCACATCTGGGTCACTTCACGGATGCATTCGTTGTTGTAATGTGAACGACTGCACAAAAAGATCGGATTTAACAAAAAATCAGAATTGTGCATCATAACCTGCAGTGTGAACGTAGCCATAGTAAACATAAAATCAAGGCAATCCTGTTGTTTGAAGCTTTGTTTTGTCTCTGAACACTTGCACCCACCCGACCTTTATTTGGCCTACATTACAAACGTAAAGTAAACTGTTAAGTCCCTGACCTTCAAGAGTCAAGTCTTAGCTCATGTGGTCACTGTCTGTTTCTCAAAGGTGCTGCTCCCCTCGGCACAGTATCATGCTGGTGTGCATAACCCGAGCGTGAGGAGTTAAATCAGCCCTGAGGTGCCTGGAGCGTGATGAACTCATTGGAGCACCTCCAGCTGTCTGCTAACATTATCTGTCTTCCTGTTTAACAATGCCGGGCAGTTGTCTTCAGGCTGATTCACACGTTTAATTGTTTTTGCACCAGGGCCTGGTTGGTGTGGTTGTAAATGTGTGTCACAGTGTGTCACTGGCTTTACAGTGTGTGTTGACAATGAAGAAGAGGAGACCGTGATCTTTAATGGAGTCTTGTATCACACAATAAGTTTAGATCAGAGATGCAAATGTCAAAGCATCCCTTCTTCATGCTGCATGAATTTCCCATTGTCTTTAAGCCCCATGTGGTTTGTGTAGGTGGCTCAGACGGGATAGCAATCAACATCGCATATCATAGAGTCAAAGAGACAGCTGACATGAACACATCAATACACATCAGGATCCACACTGTGAGCCTGTCTACATCAGATGTGTATACACCAATCGGATCTCTGGTCATGTGATCTGATTGTCTTGAGCAAATCTTGTGGGGGTTTAGAAGATGCATTTTTCTTTTTCCAGCCAAAGTATTGTTTCTGAGATTAGATCTTACATATCCGCCGGGCTTTAAGTGCAAAAACCCATCTCCTCCATCAAACTGTATCAGAGTCACAGCACTGTTGCCTTTCACACCCTCCCAGATGTGACAAAAACCATCATCCTCTGCTGCCTCCTATGGGAGATGAAAGCACAGGTTACAGGGGCATTATTGGCTGTGGCATCACCCAGCCTCAGTCCACACCCTCCGTGCAACACAGTCACCACAATGCTGTTTTGCGTCATTCAGCCTAGAGGCGTGTGAGATTTTCCTCTCAGGGTCTGGGTGAAGAAAGTAGGGTCAGATGTACGCTTGTTTTATTTCTCTGGGTTTTGCGATAACAGAGTCTGTTTCAGTCGACAGTAGGCAGAAGAAAGAGAAGGAAGAGCTCCCAATGTTTTGGCTTCGGTGTTTGTGACCCTTTGTGATGTCCGTCCTTCTAACTCTAGTCTTTGGTCACAGGGAGATTTGTTTCTTCAGAGAGTATCCCAAAGACTTAATAACTCATCTGTAAGAAGGATAAAAGATTTTGATACCCCTCTTAGAAAGACCACCACCTTCTGTAATTAAAAGTGACACCATCATCATTGCAATATGTCCAATACTTTGGTTAATGAAATTCCTCCAGCGTTGCCTCCACTTGTAGTTCGATTGGTGGTTTATTCTTAGTAGCAAAATTAATCACACAAAACACATTTGAACATGGAAAGCATCATTTCTAATTAACATTACAGTAGCATTTATAATACAGTGTGATAAAATGTAACACAATATCAAGTCATCACATATAATCTGACATGATCCAATTGTCAACAGTATAGTACAATACAGTAAGGCAGAGTATGATAGGGTACGGTACAGAATGGTAGTGCATGAGATGTTAAAATATGATATGTGACGATATGAAACTATATAGCATGATAAAATATATGATAAAGTGTGCATTAGGATACGATACAATATGCTACAGAAGGATAGGATAGGACAGTGGTTCTCAAGTCCAGTCCTCGAGGCCCACACACCTGATTCAAATGATCAGCTCGTTAGTAAGCCATTCCAGAGCTTGATAACGAGCTGATCATTTGAATCAGGTGTGTTGGAGCAGGGAAACATCCAAAACATGCAGGACAGTGGGCCTCGAGGACTGGACTTGAGAACCAGCGGGATAGGATGTAATACAATACAATACAGTATGATACAATACAGAAGAAGAAACACTTTATCATCTTCCGCAGGGAACAAGTAAACACTTGAGGCTTCAATCAAATAGCAGAGAAATTAGAGTTTATCCATGTTAAGACTAAAAACAATAGTACTAAACAGCTTAGCATTTCTAGAAACATCTGGACTTGTGTTTATTTGTGTCTTGCCAATATTTCTTTAAGAGACTCTCTGATAATAAGTGTTAAAGTGTAGGTACATAAATAGTGCTGTTTGGAGTGTGCTTAAGAGAGTTAAATTAGACTCAGGTATGAGAAAACCTGACTGCCCTGTCAAGTTGTGGATAATCTCACTATTAGTATTCAAGCTGCTTTTGAGAGCATAATACACAAACTCACAGTTTAACATAAGCTGGTACTCACCAGCTCTTTTTAATTCTAACTGAAGTCATGTGGTCCATTTCTATTTTCTGTGTATCAGACATGACAGAAGTTGGTTATTTTTACACACATTCAGACAGCTTTTGCTGTCGGCACCACGCACACTGCTGCTGTAATCCAAACAGACAGTGCTGTGAGACAGTGGCAAGGTTTAACGTGCCTTCAGAAATGTCACCCAACCTCTGCTCTCTGAGAATGAAAATGATGAGGTGTGACAAACACACCCGCACAAACACATTTTCACACATTTCATGAGGATGTACACAGAAACTTAAGTTATACAACATACTTCTCTCAGGCTCAGAAGCTCCAGAGGCAGGAGACACATCATTGGATGAATTTAACGTCAGTGGGAGCATGGCATAGTTTTGTAATATGTTAGATTTCAACCTGGTTTGAAGGCCGAGAGATAAGAGAGGAGGAAATGTGAATTCCATCACTACAAATACACAGTCTGTTATGAATTACTTTCTTTTCCTGGCTGACCTTCAGAGTCTCATCTGACCAAAGGCTCCAGCTGACCTTATATAAGCGGTGCCCCTGACTGAATGGAAAATCATGAATACATAAATTCATATTGTAATATAAGTTTATGCATTCATACTCTAGCAGATTTTCTGAATCCATATTGTATCTATAGTCTTCCCTTACACATACTTATAACCGCCCCTCGATGTTGGCAGTCTAGGAAGTACCAACCAAGTCTTTGTGATAGGAGGTGACATAACAGGTTTACTTTTTGTTATTGTAGCAAGTCAAAGTAATTGATAATAACTTTATATCTATTATAATTCTGGCTGTGGTGTTGCCAACTGAGGCTAAAACTCCTGAAGAGTGCAAACATGGTTGCATTAACCAGAAATCCCTGCATGCCTGTGAGTACTCAAAATGATCTGACACTGTTTGTACATTTTGTTCTTGTGCTCCTTTTCTTCATGTGAGACAGTGTTTCTAATCTATCGGGTGGTCAGAAATAGAAAAGCAGTCATACTCCTGATTTCAAAGAAATCACAGGGCTTTTAGAGCACTTAGTGTGTCTTTGACTCTGTAAGCATTCATGATATGTAAAGATATGTAAAATGGCATAAATGATCAGGTTGCCACATGCTCGGGTGGTCTCATATGCAGAGAGAGTAGTAATTATCTTCCTCGTAATTACCACTTGAATGTTAATGAACCCTTTTAGGCATAAAGGAGCAGTTTCAGGTGTGACGTCTTAGCAAAGTAAAACTGAGTACAAGTAATAATCAGAGCTCTCAAGGGATGCAAAAATTTAGCAGCATGTAGTAATCTGCCTAAAACTACCACTACTCACCCGTCAAGTGGTACTAGCAGTGTAGCCAGACCTCCAGGTCCTCAGTGCATATACATAATTTTATGCGTCCAGTGCAACAGCAGACACACTTTCACACACACACATGCACTGCTACCTCATTAGTGACTGCAGCCCCAGGGTGCACAACTGGGGTAAGGCCTAATTGCACGGTTCAGGAGCGGTGACATCGCTCAGAGCGTTTTGGAGCAGTCCTTGACAAATGAGCATCAGGTGCAAGCACCTATTCAGTAGTTTTCTATTATTTCTGAAACTTGCTGAGTGCAAAAGTAAAGCCCCACGGTAAGTTGGTGGAACTTCCTGAAGCTCAAAGGGGCGGGAACAGGATTCACGGAGGGTCAGCTAGCCAAATTAGTCGAACCGTGAGGTTTCAGTCGTGGATTTATTGGCACAACATGTAATCGTTTTGGGTGTGCCAAATGGATTAGTTGGATTAAGAAGTGATAAGCGCATCCTCCAACTTAAAGTACAAAATACAACACAGCTATGATCAATCCATCGTCCGCCCGATTTATTCACCTTGTCCTTTTGTTAACCTACTATCTACATCTTGTCTGATTCCATCTGAATGTAATGTAAACACAGCTTTGCCTAAAGGTGGAGATGCTTCCATCTCTTGTCATCGTGGGAATATCTTTCCATTACTAATTATCTGGATTTTTTTTTAATCTTGCCTCTGCAGAAGAATATTAAACTCTGAATCATCTCTGCAGCTGTTTATCGCCATTGCTTCAGCCTCTCTCTTTCTTCAGATATTATCATAAAATGCACCGTCTCCGGTACTCGCACCTGGTGCTTATTTGTTAAAATGCATTCCAAAATGCTCCGAGGGTTGTCAGTAGTGCTGAACTGTTCAATTAAATCCCATGTGCAAGCCCCAGGTTTACAGACACTAATGAGAAAACACTGCGCATAAGCTGTTATTCAGTTCTCACATAATTATGCATGTTTAGGGGCTTTTCATGCATTTTGCATCAATGCCCACTGTGTTCGAAAAAGGCAGGTCAGTCAGAGAAGCAAGAAAATTGTTGCCGGGTTTGATATTCAAAAGATTAACCTCGTCAAATAAATCAATTGATAGGGCAGGAACTTTAAATTGCAGTGATTTCAAAGACTGGAGAGCTGTAGATAAGGCCTTGACTCGAGTGAGTAGAGAATAGTCAATGACAGCGGAGATATAACAGATTAAACGCTCTTGACAATAATGACCTGGCGAGTCCATTCAATAATAATTGAGCGCCGAAGACCTTGAGAGAAAACTGTATTAAAATGCAAAATCTTCTGCCTTGAACTGAACGCTTCAATATTTCGAGAGGTTTCGACTGCTTTTTCAAAACTGGATATCCTCCTCTGATAATACACAAAGTTCTGTATGTGTCAGAGTTCTTGTAGTTTTAAACACATTTTTTATCCATATTTCTTATGAATAAATCTGACTCAAACTTTCTTCAGAGAGAATTCTGCCAAGGCGGGAAGAGCAGCAGCAAAGACCTCCAGGTGCACCAAACAGAGCAGGCTTTAGTGATAATACATGTGACGCTGGTTGGATCAGACACAGAAGAAAAAAGAGGAGCTGGGGTGAAGGCAGGTTGTGAAGTTGTTTGCAGAGAAAGCAGCACGAGTAGGCAGACAGAGCAGCTTTGATAGATAGAGCTCCCACTTTGACATTTGCCTATTAGATGTGCAGAGGGTTGAGCTGTCAATGGTGTGGGCTGGCATGAGCCAAGTTTGACTATATTGGGATCCAAATCTGTGCAAGAAACCAAACACCTGCACAAAATTTTGGAGGCTGAATAAATCATTACAGATGAAACCTTTTTATGGAGTTCACTCTTTTTATATTTATATAATGCTCCTTTATTATAGTACAGTAAAAATACTGCTCACTAGAACCTTACCAATGAGCAACATGCAGGTTGCACCGTGCACCACCCTCCTATAGATAAACAGTGAGATGGGAAGCATGATTAAATCCAAACAGCTGTATCATCGCCCCATACTGGGAAAATGGGAAATAGACCCTTAATGGCACTCACTGCGTCATTAGTTAAGGAGCGAGCACAGTTGCTGACACAGGCAGGTAGCCCAGACTCTGTCGGATGGAAATATAGTTTCCAACATTGGATGAACTGGCAATGGAAAAGTGCTGATCGCAGACAAGATCTGGCTTGACCTTACACTGTAGCGGTGAAAAAAGACCCTGACTGACTCATGACTTTGTCCAGAGGTCTCAAGGCTTCAATGCACTTAGCAATCCTAGTCGCAAAACCAGTTTTGCTGTCCAAGGAAAAGTGTGTCACAGAAACAAACAGGAGTGACCTCCCAGCCTGTTATTTTACACTTGGTAATTTGCAACCATGCTGGTATGATCGAGGCTTTTCTCTTAGTTTCGATTAAAGTCAGTTTAACTATTTATCTGTTCAGCTAGAAACTCCATAAGTAATAAACTACATAATGGAAAAGTTAATCCTTGAAAATGCTGATTTGATGCCTTAACATGTGCATTTATCTTGCAGGAACAGAATATTGAATGACACTTTACAGTCTGAAATAGTCTTGATTCAGCCATTTCTCTGCCCCTCACCTCCACACAACAACACTGTAGAGGGAGCCTGAGGTGAAGAGCTCATTTCAGGGCTGCTGTCAGATGCCTGTGCTTATGAGTACATGTGTTTGTGTGTGTGTGTAACATCCCGCAGGGGGCTCCATCTAAGTTGGATGCAGTGTTGCTGTTACAAATGATCCTGTGGGAGACTCACTGACAGCGAAGCTCTGTGCTGCTCCACATGCCTCATCACCGCGTACACAGAGACACATGAACACACAATCACGTTGCTGCAGCTGCCCACAGTGAGTGAGGCATGTTGGTCCCAGGGTAAACTCCCACTACATATCTCGTCAGCTCAGAGAAAGTGTCAATCAGCTTGTCCAAGTCAGCTAAAGAGATGTGTCTACGCCAGCAAAATATCCTCTACAAGCTGTCCTTGTCCTTCTCCACTTCTGAAAGCAAACAACACTTTTCTGTTAAGGATGACTCCTCTATTCTAGTTTTTCAACTTTATCGATCAAGGAAAGGGATTTTGCTGAGCGTGTGGAGCATTTCACCTCAGTTTCTCACCTGGGAAATACTCTGTTCAAACACAGGAAATCCTCGGTTAGTTAAGTTCAGCAAAATTACAAGAGTTACAGAAACTTAAGTGAAATTTACTTCCTGTCATAAGAACACACAAGGTCACCTTTTACCTCAGTTATACACATAATATTCAAAGAATTTCGGTATGTACCTTTTCAGGCTTATAATTAGCCTCCTAATTAATTCAACTGAGCAATCAGCTGCCAAACCAAGTATTAATTAGCTGTTGTTTATCGCCAGCTTTTGACAGCTTTTAAGTGAAAGCCAAAGCTTGGAACGACTAATATGCTCTACATTTTCTGAGAAAGTGTACACTTATATATTTTAATTATTGTTGAATTCCTGTGCCACCTGTCGACATTTATTCCATTGCATCCTTAGTATAGAAAGGTGATAAGAAAGGTGAATTCATCATCCTACTCAAACTCATTAAGAGTGTTTGTTTTTTCTTTAAGGAATACATACTCATGATATGTTTTTAAAGAGGTGGTTTTAGGCTTTAAAAATATCAAGTTCAAATGTAGGATGTTGATACTTAATATAGGCAAAGCTTCAAACCTCCCTGTTCCAGATTTAAGGTCCATTTCACAACTTGCCATTTTAGATGAAGGCACTTTACTTTGTGGCTTGGCAACAGTGGAGAAGGCTTCTAAAGAGGAATCTAGTGGACCATAAAGAGACAGCAAGCCCCGCCCACAAACAGACGCTTGTCCTCACTGTGTCGTTCCATTTAAATTCAGAAATATTGCAGATAAATACTTAAGATAACTAAAAATGGGGCCCAGTCAATGTGAAAGTAAAAAGCATTGGCACTACTGTAGATGCCAGCAGACTACCAGCAAACACAATGTTTGCAGGACTTTTAAAACTAGCATAAAGTGACATAGTCGAGGACCCGAGGTCAACAGTTTAGTGGCGCTACAACACGCCGCAGGTTCCGTTTGACAAGAACGGCGTTTTCCCCCCAGTCTTCGGTATTTGCTTTGTTTTCTTGCTTGTGTTGGCAGTTGAGGCCAAAGGAGGATTCAGACAATTCTCTGTACTTTCTGATTAGTTTCTACAGTCCGACATTGTAGCACGCTAACTTTGTTTGGGCTCGTGAACGTTATTACAGGATGTGGAGCATTCCTCACAACACGAGGGAGCAGGGTATGCATCACAACCAATCAGGTTGGGGGAGGCGGAAAATGCCTTTGTTTACAGTCAGAAAGAGTGGGCCACTCAAAAATCTTAAAATGTTGACTACACAGACATAAGAGAACAGTGATATCGGGATATACCAAAATGTCATCAATAACTTAAAGCTATTGACTGATATTATAAGCTTTTTGTATATACACCACAAAAAAGATGTTTTTTTAATGGATTCCTGCCTACCCTATCTTTATAAAAAATAAAGGTATGTGTGGGTAAAAAGCATGTAAAAGCTGCAAGGGTATCAGAGATAATAAGTTTGGTCACCTCTGTCTTTATTTTTAATCTCTTTAAACTGCTGTGATTATAAAAGAAAACAAGTGAGGTGATATAAAAGTAATTATCCATTATGATACAGCCAAAAATATCAATGCCAGGCAAAACTGCCTACAGAGCAGCCCTTCAATCCTGTTAACTGTGAGTCTTCCGCCATCTTGTGTTGAGACACAATAATGCAAAGACCGGGACATTAATGTGCAGCACGTGCTATACTGTTTTAGATACTGCTTTATTTTGAATTTTTGCATTTTAACGGAATAAAATACGCATAGAAACCTACGTTTAGTAATAGTGTGGTGTAGTGAAGAAAGTCGCTTTCAAACTCTCCATCTCACACAATTAGGGTCAGGTGATGTAACCGTTACGCAACTGCGCAGTAGCGGTAGAGTGTCCCTCGTCACTTCCCGTAGTTGTTTAGCTAAAGAAGGAGAGTTGAATACGTGCGAGCTGACAGGTAAGAACAACATGTACCTTTCTTAATGTTTAATCATGAAAAAGTCGATGTTTACACCTTTCTTCTTGTTAATATACAGGCATTTGTCGTGTACGTTTTCATATGTTTGCACTGAATGGCTTCCTAATAGGAAACGAGCAAACTGACTCTAAAGGGAAAGTGCAAACAAGATATCATCTGACCTCAGGAGTTAGCGCGAGCAGATGTTGGATTGTTTTGTTTATGTTGAACCTCTTAAACTCTGTTAATCATCTGCAAGTTTACTATTTGACTTATTAAATCTGTGTTAACGTGACATATCTTTGTAGTTTCGCTCTTTGCATGATACTTTCTCTTGTTGCATCATGTTAGCATGTCAGGTTAGCTCACTCAGAGCTAGTTTGCCGTACATGTAACTTAAACAGAGCTTATTTTTAAATTTGATTTTTGGTTTTTGTCTAACAGATAATTGTGGAAAAACACACAGCCACGAACCACAATGTCCAGCAGTGTAAGTATGACTTTAGGCATGTTTGTGCTTTGACATATGAAGTTTCTCAGACTGAATTCATGACTTAATAACTGACTGCTTTTTTATTAATGTTGTCAAATCTCAATTTCCATGTAGGTGCTGTGTGGTCGTGGGAGGTTTGTCCTTTCTCAAACCGCTGGACATCAAGCTTTAGTCGCCCTCCGTGTGGGCAGAACCAGAACCTTCTCTGCTGCGAGCTCAGATGAGCCTTATATAGCTGTTTCACCTGCAGACTCAGGTGAGTCAAGAAGATGATAGTCTAGTAGTAAAGTTGATTTAGAGAGCGCTTTTCACAGATAACAATCACAAAGCACTGTACATAAAAAATTCAAAAAAATGAGAATATCATTGAAAAGTTTATTTATTTCCACAATTTAAACAATGTCAAGCATTTATTAGTTTATTTTTACATAATTTAGGCTTCCAGCTCAGAAAACCCATGAAAACAAAAACTCTTGTGGGTAAGCCACAAGAGTTCATAGCTAGGGAAGCTGGCTGTTCACAGAGTGCTGTGTCCAAGCATATCAATGGAAAGTCCAGTGGAAGGGCAAAATGTGGCAGGAAAAGATGCACCAGCAAAAGAGATGACTGTGGGTTTCAACGGATTATCAAACAGAGAAGATTCAAGAATCGTACAGAGATTCAGAAAGAGTGGAATGAGGCGAGAGTCACAGCTTCAAAAACCACCACATTCAGATGCATCGGGGAGATGGGCTACAGCTGTCGGGTTCTTCAAGTCAAGCCACTTCTGAGCCTGAGCCAACGTAGGAAACGTCTCAACTGGGCCAAGGAGAAGAAGGACTGGACTGTTGGCCAGTGGTCCAAGGTCCTCTTTTCCGATGAAAGTGTGCCTTTCATTAGGGAATCAAGGTTCAAGGGTTTAGAGCAGTGGTTCTCAAGTCCAGTCCTTCGAGGCCCACTGTCCTGCATGTTTTGGATGTTTCCCTGCTCCAACACACCTGATTCAAATGATCAGCTCGTTATCAAGCCATTACAGAGCTTGATAACGAGCTCATCATTTGAATCAGGTGTGTTGGAGCAGGGAAACATCCAAAACATGCAGGACAGTGAGCCTTGAGGACTGGACTCGAGAACCACTGGCTTAGAAGAAGACGGGTGAGGAACAGAACCCAAGCTGCTTGAGGTCTAGTGTTCCCAATCAAGGGATTCCCAACCAAGTATTGAAGTATTGACATATCGCTTTGAAAGTACCGAATAATGATTGATTTGATGTGATCCTAATTTCTTTATTTATTTTCTGCAAAAACTGAGAAGTAAATGGTGATTTCTTCACAGTATTCTAATTTTTTGAATTCCTATTTTCGTGGGCTTTATCAGCTGGAAGCCCATATTATGTAAAAATAAACAAATAAATACTTAAAATCATTTAAATTGTGGGCCTTGAATCTATAATCCATGAAAGGTGAACTTTTTGAATGTCGTCAGCTTAAGAGTGATAGGACACATTTTCTCTTTCCTATGTACTTTCAGGCCAAAGGACAGTGTGGCCTGATGAGAACATGGGACCATTTGGACCTCAGGACCAGCGCTTTCAGCTTCCTGGTAACGTTGGGTTTGACTGCCACTTGGACGGCATGGGGGACCAAAAGAAGACTCCAGTCCACAGAACAGTGCCTGATGTACTGACAGCCCCCAGCAGCGCGGAGAGACATCAGTTCATACTCGCTCAGTTTGTTCACGAGTTCCAAGTAAGTTCTTGTAACTAATGTGAAGACTGAAGTGAGCATTTAGTCCGAAAACATTTAATCTGTTGTTACAGAGTTCAACTCAAGTGAAACCACAACACGCAGTCTTTGATATAAGATTTCCAGACCTTGTTTAGGTTTTAAATGAGCTTGTGTTTGTTTGTTTTTCCTATTTTTAGGGCAAACTGGGTCCCATATCCACAAGAGTCCACAAAGCCGAACAGTATTTTAACCAGACAGGCACAGACTGCTCAATAAACTCTTGCCCTGAACTATTAAAGAAAGGTGAGAAACTGCTGATTTTCATTCACCAACTTTCCCGTCTTTGTCATCTGCTGAAAGCCTCCTGCAAAAATCTATGCTGTGTTTTTTTTCTAGATCTCGAGCTGCTGTTCCCGTCAGCGCCCACCTCTTCTATCACAGTCGTGACGGTGACGCAGGGGAGCAGTCGGAGTGAAGAGGTGTCAGAACAGGACAGAGAGGGGCTGCTAAACAGAGTCAGTCTCTACTTTTGATTGTTTTTTTTTAAGTTTGTGGATGTGATGTAATGTTGAGACAGCTGCTGACCGCACTTTCTCCTAATTGCAGTTTGTAAGCGGTGCGAAGGAAATGTGCTTCGCTCTGTGGACTGCGGGCTACTGGGCCGACTTCATCGACCCAACAACAGGAGCTGCTGTGAGTTCCTCTCTTTGTCTTTGCAACAGTGAACACAAAAGACCTCCTTACAGATTCTTGACATTTCACCAGCCCACCACCTGCTCCACGATGGTCAGAGTTAGCCGACCAATGCACGCTCTAGCTTTGTGCATAAATGCCAACTTAAATGAGACCTCTTAATTACCTTAAGAGACCTTAATTACTCTTAAGACTATGAGGTATGTGGTATATTGAAATAAAGTGTAATCGGCCCATATTTTGTGTGATTTTGCCAGTAATGACAACTGACAAGGTTATGCATCTCTATCTGGGACTTCCTCTGTCCCTTGGAGAGTGTGAGTCCAAATAATTAAAATAGGGAAAGAAACAAAGATCAAAATGGTCAGTGTAACATTGTGGGACTGACTCTTGTGGAAAAGATACTTCTTATCCCAGTAATAGATTATACTTGGGTGTGTGGCCCAGGTATCTTAACAGCTGCCCAATTATATTTGTTGACCATTTTTGCAGTTTTCACTGGGGCCCGACCGATTTATCGTCAAGCCGATTAAATCGGCCAATTTTAGCCCGTTTGAGACTAATTGGTAATCGGCCAAAACTCACCGATTTTCGCCGATATTTTCAGAAATAAAATGCGGAGAATAAGTTTCGCTTCGAAAATGTTGCGCCATTTGAGAAGTTCCTCGACTTACCCAGTAGATGGCGCAGCGACCTCATGCAGAGTGACGATCTGAAGCAGGCAGCTCAGGGACGCACAGAGGAGAGTGGTCCGCCTCAACGGTAAATAAACCAGTTTGTGAAATAAACAATAAGACAACAAGTTTCAGTTCAACCCACTTCACGATGTTCCCCGCTGTGCTGGTCTCGGTCACGCCGAGTTAACGGTGAAGCACCATGTAATATGCAAGCTAAAGTTAGAGTTAGCCACCTGCTATTAGCCTTGCTACACTGTTAGCCGTGTCAGTAATAGAAGAATAAACAACAGCACACATTACGTGATCGAGCTACTTCTCTTACTGAGGCAGCTGCATGTCTCCAGATGAGACCGGACCAGAACGTCTGAGTAACGTGAGTTAAGACGCGGAGGCACCGATTGGCGGAGGGGGTGGGGTAGTTGAAAAGGCTTTTCTGGTCCGAGTTTGATCGGTCGGTCTTCCTGTCGGCGTGAAGAGCAGTAGCCTACAGTATATCTACAGTATATATACTTTTTTTATAACTTAATAAAAAATTTAAAAAATATGCTGATTAATCGGTAATCAGATTTTTTTTCCCCTCGCATAATCTGTATCGGCATCAGCCCCAAAAAATCCATATCGGTCGGGCCCTGGTTTTTACCTCTCTAGATCTGTCAACTAGTGGATAATGTCATTTTTTTTACCCCTAACTTAACTGTTGTGAGTGACTTTAACATGTTCCAGAACCAAACCTTCACCGTCTTTTTTCCCCCCGCTAGTTCTTCGCCTCTCCAACGAGTCAAACCACCCTGCAAACAGAAGAAGAGCTGAGACATTTGGGTTTCCACATCCAAGCATCAGGCTCCTGCACAGTTATCAGCCACGTTCTAAGAGGGACGCCCATGTTTGTGGGGACTGTATTCACCAACGCACCCACTCACAGTGCTGCTATTGCAAGATTGCAAGGACTCTCAAATGTACACGAAGACGATGAATAGGCTTTTTTTAATGTATTCCACTGAACCTTATACAAACCTAAGGCCTCTATTTATAGCTTGAAGGTGCTTGGAACTTGATGTGTGGTTGTTACTACATGATTGTGTTAGTGAAGGGTTGTGTGCAAGGTTTGTCTTTCTGTATCATGGACTTGACAGAGACCTCATTTCTGTGCCTGACTGACAGGAGGTCACGTGACAACCAGGCTGATCCCGCACCACACCCAGGGAGGAACTCATATTTAAAAGGACATAAAGAGTTGTGTTATTTAATAGTAAAGAAACACTTGATCAGTGTTTTATATAAAAGTAACGTGGGTATGAAACGGAAACCTTTCAATAAACCTCAGGCAGCTGTAGGAAGCCAATGTGAAAAAGGTCCTGATCTCAATACACCCTATGATTTAAAGTGAGCGACATCAGGCCCTTTGACTTTTGTGTGATCACTCACAGTATTTTTTTTTCTCTCTATAGCAAAAAAAAGAATAAAAGCCGTAGAAGACGGGATTTTGTTTCATCTGAAAGACAGAACTGCTGAACAAATAAAAGGACTTCTCCCCAGACCACAACAATGCTGTAGTTCCTGTAGTTATGTGCGTTTCCACATGAGCCTTGTCCTCACATATTGACTTAGTTTCTTCTCAATGCAAAGATACTTTAAAGTAATAAAGATACAGCGAAAAAAAAAAAGCTTTTGTTTGATGAACTTATTTGATTTATTGCTGGACACCTGTAATTTCCACTTGGCTTGGATCTGTCTTTTCTATCTGTTAGAAAAGTTTGAAAAAGACAGAAACTTTGTAGCATTTTCCTGTTAAACTAATAAAATGATCAGCTGATCACTTCAACAGTAATTTAGCTACTAGTCTGATCATAGTCTGCAAAATAGTGTTGTGTCATTCGCGAATGATTCGTTCAAAAGAACTGAATCTTTTAAATGAACGTACTGAACCGAATCACTTCCTCGGGTTCGTTTCTTACTGCAGTTGAGCTGAAGTGAGAAACGGCATTGACAGGCCGGCAGCCGGCGAAAGAGGGAACACATGTACCGACGCCTGAATCACTTGGTGAACGAATCAGTGAACTACACTCTCTGGAATCCTTTTTGTCGAACAAAGCCATCTTTTTTTTCACTGCTAAATTGCCACCACAACAACTTGCATACAATAGGACACAGCATGTAACAAGTAGTTCTGCAGCATCTCATCGTTACAGCGGTTTGCGAGGGAACAGTGTAGGTTCAGTTTGAATTCTTCTAAAAGTTCAGTGAACGAATCACTCACTGAGCCCAATTTACAGAGCAGATCTGGTAAATAGCATACCATAGGACAGCACACTTAAAACATCTTATAAAACAATTTATAAACAAGTTCATTTCAGTTCATCAGCTGTGTATCAGTTCAGGAGGTTGGAGTCACAGGCTTCTCCCGCTAAATGATTCTGTGATTTGGTGAACGAATCTTTTGAACACATCTTTTTAGTGTACTAATTCCAGTGATTCAGTACATCTAAAAGAACTGCAGTGCCCATCACTACTGCAAAATAACAGTATTTAAAGGATATTTATTAAATACAATATGTTGATCAACTAGACATGCTTTAAAACAGACATAAGATGTAAAAACAGTTAACATCTGCTCAATAATACTGATACTTTGCATAAATTACTGAAACATATTTACAGTGTAAGAGTGGAAAATGATGCAGCATCAGTCAAATGACAGTAAATCTAATTTTTCTAGACAACAGGATAAAAGTACAAAATGCATTTAGAAAACTTAACTACTTTTTTTTATCAAAGTTATCCCCAAAACTTTCTCTGTCAAACATGCCCAGCTATTAAGACACTGACGCTGATTATGATCCAGCTCAGCATTGTGGGTAAAAGTCTGCTGCTGGAGCTGACCAGAGGGGAAGACGAGGCGAAAACAGCGCTGCTCTCGTTCCTCGGCACCAGGAGGTTACAGATGTTTCCTTCGCAGCACGATGAACACACCTGATGGTAGAGATGAAAATATATTTAATATTATCCACTATTAATGATTCATTTAAGGACAAAATCGCAGCTGTAAATTACCTGATTGCCATTATCAGGGATTTGAGCACAGCCAGTGTACAGACAGTCCTTGAAGGACACACACCTCTTGGTCACGGACACACTTTCTCCACTTTTATCCATCATATGGAGAGTGTAGCAGTATTTGGCATCTGGAAGACATGTCACACTTTATTTCTTTAATCTCTGACTAACTCTATAATAATAATAATAATACACTTTTACTGAAGAGAGATTGGAGAGTTAAATGTTTCTTTTTTTTTATTAGGTGATGCAAGACAGATCGTGACAGGTGGTTGACAACATATATACAGTGCAAACAAACAGTGGAGACACAACAAAGTGACAAATACAGCAGGAACACATAACATTTACATACATTTAGAAAGTGTTGTAAGACTGTGTTTAATTAAGTGTGGGTGGGTGGGTGTTTTTATGTGTGTGGTGAAGTGTGTGTGTTTGTAGGGTGAGAATGTTCCCTCTTTATCTCCGCCTTTTTTTAAAGATTGTGATGCTTGTTGTGGAAAGAGTGAAAGAAGAAAGAGTAAAGAGTAAGCGTCATGACTTAACAAAAATTATAAAAATAATTACTACTACAATAATAGAGCAGAGAAAAGAAAAATGAATAAATAAAAAATAAATAAATAAATAAAATTAGGTGGCAGGAAAAGAAAAAAAGCAATAATAATAGTAAAATGGTAATAATAAGTAATCAAAATGAAATAAATAAGAAATAAATAATAGAATAACGTATATACATAATATACATATATATAAATATATGTACATATAATGAAATAAAGTACATAAATAAATGTGGTAGGATATAGTAATGATAATTATAGAATAAATGATACCATACATTGGACACTCCTTATTTCTAGTGCATTACTTCCTTCCCTGTATGCCCTTGCCCCACCCCCACCCCGTACCCCACTTGAGAAACACTTTTTTTTCTGTGGTGTAACTTTTGGGTAAAGTGACAACCGCTGTATCGGTTGTCTTTATGAGGACGTTTGTCTAAGGTTGTGATGTTTGGAATTAGATGTTTACCTGGTTCATTTGCACAGTAAGTATCTGAGTAAAAGATGCACCTTTAGGACAGTAAACATCAGGAGCCCAGCGGTTACACTCGTAGTTATCTGCAGCGTCTTCACATGTGAAGCACTTGAAGCCACCGGGATGAGGTGTAGCTGTGGAGCATGGAAAGACACTTTACTTTTTAAAATACACTTTTTTACACCTCATTAAATCGCATGACAACAATGAGTTTCCTTATAGTTAAATGTTTGGATTCACTTTTAAGTAGCCTAAGGAATTTATAGTGCAAATATCAATATCGTGCTTTTACTTGAAGGATGCATAAGGATGATATCCATCATGGTGAAGTCCCGTGAATAAACTGTTTCTAGCCAATCAGCAAAGCTGGTCATTAGCAGGATCCAGGCCACTGCTGGCCAGGGCTCCATCCCTCCAGGGTGTCTTCATGCACTTGTCTGTCTGGGTGAAAAATGACATGATCAAACTAAAAATACCCAAAGATAACTGAGCAAAACCCTTTGAAATATATTAAACATATCCGTCTCTGAAAAACAAAGCAAATCTGACACCTAAAAATAGAAAGAGTCGGTCTTGTAAAGCGATTAGCTGTGTGTGCTGTGAGCTCGCTTCATTATTTACACCACAAAAGGAACCCGGCCACCAGCTAAGTCAAAGCATTAACTCCCTGCCGCCAGCCCAGATTTTAAATTGCATCAAAGAGCCACAGGGCATCTGTTTTAACTATTAACATTGTCACTTTGACATAATCATGACTTATGTTTCAATTATTCCCCACTTTGGCCACCTGGGAATTTACCCATTAGCCCTCGCTCACCATATGTTTATTGTTGTCTCGCAATGTTTCATTCGTGGTTTACGCTCGGTCAGCATGTGTATTGTTTTTGACCCCCCTGAACAGGAGATTCTTCTTTGTCGATTCAAAACCAGGTCTTTTGTCTCATGAGATTCATTGCTCCATTACACAAGCGTGCATGTTAGGCCTTTAGGTAATGAACTGGAGATCAGAGGCCATATTTCATATAAGAGGCCATTCATGTAGGCTAGAAATGCCAATTACAGAAATGTCACCGTAATAAAGATGCCTCATTTTTGCTCATAAATTGAATGCAGTGCTCTTATTTTGGATGCTATGCTGGATTGTATTAAGACTAAAGTGAATAAGTGATAAGACAATGAGATAGGGGAAACACTATAAGAGACAAGTCCTGTTTTTCCTTTTTTAACGTGACTCGCTGTAGTCACAAGACAATCTGTTTGACCATAGAGAAATGTAGATCGAGAGATAGGAGGCCACAAATCTTGCAAGTCTGTTAAGGTAAAAATGGGGTCAAACCAGTAAAACTACAGCTAATGGACACAACAGTTTACAGAAAAAAAACATAAAAGCTTTTTGGGCCCACTGTCCTGCATGTTTTGGATGTTTCCCTGCTCCAACACACCTGATTCAAATGATCAGCTCGTTATTAAGCCATTACAGAGCTTGATAACGAGCTGATCATTTGAATCAGGTGTGTTGGAGCAGGGAAACATCCAAAACATGCAGGACAGTGGACCTCGAGGACTGGACTTGAGAACCACTGCTCTCAACTATTTACATGAGGCCAGGAGACTGAGGCTATGCTCGTACATCTCTGAGACTGTTTTCATCTGTTTTCTTCAATTCAATGGATGTTTCTTTCATTTAGCTCCTTCTACTTTCCCGTTCTCTTTCTCTCTCTTTGTGTGTATTGTTTACCGCTGGCAGAGGCGAGTATTTCTGCCACGGTGTCAACAGGCAGAGGTAACACATGCCTGTACACCTTTTATAACTGATCTGATTTGATTGGCGGGATTTGAGTCTTTTCCCTTGATGAGACAAAATAACACTCACATTTATTCATTGAATCCTCACGCTCGCTAGCGAAAATCGCCTCAGATCCACAGAGATGTCAGTCAGTAGATTAAAGACCAGATGACCTGGTTTAGGCTCTGACTTGACATCCATATATTTGGTTAACATCAGCAATGAGTTCAGATCCCCCTGACTCTTTATGTGTTATCCTGGGGCATTGTGCTCACTGTGTGGTTGTAAATGCTTGTTTTCTTTGCATTATGCATGCTCCAATAACCGATCTATGTTTTTGCTGCAGACTGAATAACTATACTGTACAAAACTGCCCAGTACAGCACACCATGTACTTTGACTCCGGCATGACAAGCATTAATGACGTTGTTTAAAATTTAGCCAAATTAAAATATACATTTTATTACATCAGAAGCTGTAAACAATGCAGACTATGAGCTAAGGCTGAAAACTTTGCAATACAGAGAGGGCAGAAAATATGATAACAATAAAAAATAACAACATTATAGTAAATAAAGGAATGGTTCGATAAATGTTAATCTCCATTTCTATCATTTTAAGTGAAAAATGAAGTTGTCTCACCAAATGTCAAGTTTGCGGTTTTGTAAGTATTATTCGAGTTTGAGGGCAAATTTTTCAAAATTGCTAACAAAAATTTGCTGCCATAATTTTAACGCACTATCAGCAGATAGCCCTAAAAAAGTTGGTTGTTAAATTTAACTGTAAAGTTTAAAGGTGGGGTAGGCAGGAATCCGTTAAAGAACCATCTTTTTTTGTGGTGTATATACAAAAAAGCTTTTAATATCAGTCAATAGCCATTAGTTATTGATGACATGATGACATGATATCATGATATCATGATTTCGCTGAGTTTTGTTATGTCTGTGTGTAGTCAACATTTTAAAATTTCAGAGCGCTCTGCTCTTTCTGACTGTAAACAAAGCCATTCTCCACCTTCCCCAACCTGATTGGTTGTGAGGCAGACGCTGCTCCCTCGTGTTGCTCAGGAGCCCAAACAAAGTTAGCGTGCTACAATATCAGACAGTAGAAACCAAACAGAAAGTATGGAAAATTGTCTGAATCCTCCTTTAGCCACAACTGCCAACACAAGCAAGAAAACTAAGTAGATACCACAGACTCTGGCAGAATAACAGGCGCTTGAAAACGAGGTAGACCACCCGGACAAGAGCTAAAAAAGCCGGATCAACAATGATGGGGGACGCTTTGGGATCTTACGGACCTAGTAACTTTTCTGCTGGACAGGAAACAGAAGTGTTTCTTGTCAAATGGGACCTGCTGCGTATTGAAGCGCCGCTAAACTGTTAACCTCGGGTCCTGGACTATGTCACTTTATGCTATTTTGTAGAAGTCCTGCAAACATTGTGTTTGCTGGTAGTCTGTTGGCATCTACAGTAGCACCGATGCTTTTTACTCTCATACTGACTGTGCTCCATTTGTAATTATCTGAAGTATTTATCTGCATTATATCTGAATTTAATTGAAACGATATGAGCGAGCAGGAGCGTCTGTTTGTGGGCGGGGCTTGCTGGAGCAGAGAGGGAGGGGAGAGGAGGAGCTGGGGGGAAAACTGGATAGGAGGGGTAGAGTTTACATTCCAGATTTCTCCCAAAAACTGGCACTTCCTCAGATCCTGCCTACCCCACCTTTAAGTCCTGAAAAAAGTTTGAAGTTACTCCGTCCACTAACAACAACAAAGATTTGCCTTTTTTTCATTAGCATCGTTAGTATTTCTTCGCACCGCCCAGCTCTTGAGATGCAGCTAAATTACATGAAAGACTATCATTAGAAACCATTCGTGAAAGACCGAATCTCTCGTTAATGGCCTTGCATTAATTAACCTTTTCAAAGCAGCAGCGCTACTGTATAGCGAATAATGATATGCTGTACTCTGAAAGGAAAGCTTGAGATTAGCTCTCCAGCTTTGAGCTGTCTGATAGATGCCTGGTCTCGTCTTGAGTAAAATCTGGTTTGGGTCTGAGGGTGCGGGGATTAGGTACAAAGGCTCGCTGTTAGAAGTGGAGAGAGGTTGGAGAGGGTTTATATCACTCAGGGTTCAATCAGCACCGAAGAACTCCTTCGGGTCCTGCTAATAAGGCCGCGAATGGCAGAAAGAACCTGGAGGCAAGCAGGTTTAAATCTTTATGTCACCCCTGACAACAGGGGATAAAACTTTGACGACCCTGTGACCTCTTCATACCAGAGATATCTGTTCGGGTTGGACACAAATTTATGGCGAAAGCACTCAAGACTGACCCTGTACAGTGTAAATATGCTGGGAACATTAGAGGAAATACCAAAAGAGTAATGGTGGGAAAATTCTGAAATTTTTAACGGTTGACACAGAAGTTTAGTGCAATTCTGGGTAGAGTCAGGTCAGTATCACTTACAAAAAATACAAGTTATCTGTGGAATTTACAGTGTATAAGGAGCACATGAGAGCAGGATTACCGATGGACCAGAAAGAAAAACAGAGGAATGGTTTAGACACCCTGAGGCCTCTGCGGCTGTTAAAACCCATTCGGTCATACTTGAATGAATCACATACGACACGGTAAAAAATCACTATCAGCTCCGGAGAAGAAAATGCCTAAAGGAGGCAAAACTTAACAATTAACAACACCCGAATGAAAAATATCTAATCTATGCTACAACTGAACTATTTACTGCCTCAGATATTATTCCACATTTGTCAAAATTAAGACCACCAGGGTTTCCTTTCAACTTGAGCCAACATCCAGCAGCTCAGTCCTCTAACCGGGCACATATGGCAGGAGATTAACTTCTGTCATACCACTGCTTATGTGTTTTGGTCAGAGATGCATGAATGCACCGGAGAAATTACAGTAACTGCTGCTGAATTCTTGTGTCTTAAGCTGTTTAACGCTTCAGTGTGAAATGAAAACACCTTACTAGTTTTAAGTTCAAGCTTTAAGAACTTCTCCATTTGAGTTTCCATGAGTCACAACATGACTAAAACCTTTATACGATCCTGTCTGAGCTGGGTATCTCATGTTAAACTTAACAACATGGTTGAAAAGGTCAAAACACAACAGAAACTCTTTTTACAGCTTCCCACTGAGCAATAGACGACTATTAGACGTCATGTTTTTTTTTTTTTTAGACCTAATTTCAACCGTCTAGATTCTGTATATTTTTAGATAGAATTTAGATGTTGCACTTTAACCAATTATTCGATAACTATTTGTTTCAAAAAGCAACTGATTTCCAAGTACTTAACCAAAATAATTATGAAAGCCATTAAGTAATATACAGAGTAGTATAGATATAACCCGGATTAAGACTTGGTCTAAATTTAAATGTCTGAAAATTTTTCATTTTTAGACCTGTGGTAGCCTGATTTAGACCAGTCATCTAGGCTACATTTAGACCTCTTTTAGATCAAAAATGCTCAGTGGGTTTTTAAGTACTGAATACCTTTAAATCATAAATTTAAGGTGCTTTTACTTACAGCATCCTCAATAAGGTGTCATTCAATAGTCATATCCATCAGTTTGTTGCAGTTCTAAAACGTTCTTGCACTTTTCTCAATTCAGTTGCATAAAATTTGCAAAAAGACAGTGTGAGAGTACTTTGAGTGATACATAAAAACGTACGGACCACGTTAAAACAGCTTTTTCATATTAATACTGCACTCCAGTGTAAACCATAGACTGTATATAGTATATACAGTCTATGGTTTAAACCCACATTAAGGCTTGCTTACTCAAAATAATCACTACTACCAATGTGATCATCTCAGCCCCCTTTACTATACATCAGCCTAAATAATTAAAAACCTGCATAGGACGGCCCCAGCCATAAAAAATGAATGCAATAATTTGATTTATGATCAAATTATTATTTTTTCTTTAATAAAAAAAACTCGATGTATTGAAACAGTCAACTGTAAACTATGTGATACGTTTACGGTCTTATTATATTTTAATATGAGGATTACACAGCGTGATATTTGGAGGTTTTTCATCACACTCTGACTTTTTTTCATCCAGCGCCTTTATGGCTTTACTAACGCCGGCGCGTGCATGCAAAATCACCACGAGACTGACTTTAATGACTTTTAAAAATATATATCTTACCGGTTTTTTTCTCCTCTACACCGTCTCTCAGCTGGTCCGAAGATGAAAATCAGAGCAGGAGTCAGGACGGCTCCGGTGTTATGGGTGAACCTCGGGGTGGGAGTTGCTGCAGCGTCACGTGCACGTCATGGCCAGTCCCACTCAGCAGCCTTATTAAATACATGTTTACATTTTAGGTCGACTTAAATGATTTTCTATTTCATTTTCTCTAATATCACTCACAAATGGAACTTCAATACATTTATTTAAAGGTCCTGTGAGGGTTTTTTTAAAAAATATTTTCCTAATTTGCTGAAATTCAAATTGATGCTTTTTTTTTTATGATAAACAGAATTATGGAAGTAAACCTGTGCCATCTGATTTTGGATTTGAATTTCTAAAGCTGATCATTTTGCATCAAACTCAGACTTTGGATTTCAAAACCATCAAATTTCAAGCACGCATTTTCATTTTTGACGCTCATTTTTTTCACAACAATGAAATAAATTCAGTGTAAAGAAATTGGTTCCTTAAAATATTTGTGAAGTAAAATTTTGACTTATACAGTTTAAAAAAAAAATCAACATAAAAAAATTTCAGTGGCAAAAAATTCTGTAACCATTTGAGTAACCAGGGATAAGCAATCATTTCATCAATCCTTCACTCATAGACATTATACACGTAGACGCCTCATTACATGCTGGAGCATAATCCAGCATCGCCCCCATACACCAGACTCGCTCAAGAGCCAAACGGGGTCAATGGAGAACAACGAACAACTATCTCCGTTTTTTTTTTTGCACTCTATGGTTGAAAAACTCGACGCAGTATTGAAACCAGATTGCGTAGGATTACATTTCGCAAATAAGATTGAAAAATAATTTTGGTTGTTTTTAATGTGTGACGTTGCACTGTATTATGGCTACATCCCTGCCATTGTAACAAACCAAACAGTGTGAAAATTGGGCAGTAATTCGGAGAGTTATTAACATGGTTGGGCATTCCTACCTACCTTAATGCACTGGAGGTGCATGAGGGACCCATCCAAGACGGCGGCTGTGCTGATACGTGAGCTCCAATAGGCAGCGTCAGGCTTTGAGGTGTCTACGTATATTATGTCTATGCTTCCACTGGGGTCTGTGCCACATGACCAATGTAGCATCTAATCCACATTAATTGGCTGGACGTTAGGTGATTTAGCAAGGAATAGATTGCTCTCCCTGGTTACCCAGATGTTGAGTCGGTCTGTTTTACACTGAATTTTTTGGACACAGAATTTTTTGACGTTGAATTTTTTTTATGTTGAATTTTTTTTTTTTTTTACAGTTTTTTTAAGTTGAATTTTCACTAAACAAATCTTTTGAGAGACTGATTTTTTTCCCACTGAATTGATTTCATCATTGTGAAAAAACAAGTGTCAGAAAGAAAAATACGTGCTTGAAATTCGATAGTTTCAAAATTCAAAGTCTGATTTTGATGCAAAAAAACTCAGTTTTAGAAATTTCAAAATCAAAAGGCACAGATTTACTTCCATACAAAAGTAAATGAAACCATCACTGATAAGTTTAAGGATTTCCGAATTGTGATTTTCAATTTTCAATTCCTGAAATCATTGTGTGGGGTAGGTGTCAGTGAAGTGTGATTAATATTCATGTTAACATGCGACTGGAAAAGTCAGCAGGGTGAGATTTTTTTGTTAAAATACACCAGCATGTGACAGACAAGATAATCAAAGGCAGCTCCGTCCACAAAACTGACACAAACTGGAAGTGTTTATGAAAGTCCTTAAATGCCATTGACTTGCACTTTGCAGGAACATATTTCATTTTCATATATCTGCTTTCTTCTGAATTGGTAAAAATAGTTAAAATAGTTACTGTCATGTGTGCTTGCTGATAAAAGATGAAAGTTGAATCACTAAAATACTGATTCTCTTGAACAAAGTAATTTTTGGTTGTTTCATTTACATAAACAGAAGACTCATCCACAGACACCAGCACAGTGAGATAATCATCTATGTAAGAGTAACCAACAGATGCCCCAGAAGTGTACCCTGAGGAACACCCATTGGCTGCATAAAGCATGAATGTTTAAGTGCTGTAACTTACTGGTTTACTGGTTTTTAAAACCAAGTTTTGAAGCCCAGCTACACCAGTTGCCTTGTTGGAAATGCTGACTCAAGATAACCTTTAGCTTGAGTCAGGAGCAGCGTTTGGGCAGCGTTAGCCTGCTGGCCTCCTTCTCAAATGTGCCTACTTGTCAGTCAAGTCAGTAACATCTCTTCTTACAGCCTAATTCTTTAAAACTTGTTTAAAAAGAACTGAGCCTGAACATGGCCTCCTGGTCTGTCTTTCAGATAGGACTAGATATGTTAGATACCATTGTGAGAGGACCTAAGAATACGGCCCCCGCCCCAGCCTGTTTACACTCAATATCCAGGGGAAAGCAGTCTCTGTAGAATAATTATATCTAAACACAAAGAGCATGGGATGCAGAATCTGAAGGGGGAGGTGTCATTTTCTGGCATTTCCAAATGTATTTTACATTTTCAAGCTTTGACACAATTTTCTGACAAACCGTCCTATAGCTAAATCTGCGTTGCTAATCGTTGGAACACAGTAAAGGGTCATTTAGCACTTTATCAAACTGACTTTTAAATCAGAATAAGCCAAATGCTAAATGAATGTCTACTTAAGCATGTTCAAAGAGGTGTGCAACTGCTAAATATTTAATCCACATGAAGATCATTAAGATCCCTGTCCTCGCTATGTTAATTTGATGCTTCAAGGCTTTGCAGGATGAAAAAGATCAAATAGCAATCCCTCTGTTCTGTAATGTGTATCTTGTTTTTTGCCCAAGGCGCACAACAACCCCCAACAAAACATGCCCTACAAACAGTTCCCTCTTTACGTTCCTTTAGTGAAACCCGTGGACTGCTGCCAATGTGTACTGACATACACTTAGACCTGTTAGCTACAGGCAACTGCTCTCTGACCTGTGGGGACATAATATCTGTGACAGGAGAGAAAAGACCAAAAAAAAAGCCGCCTTTCAGACCCTGGTCAGAAAGAGGAATTCAGGCAGCATGTGCACAAAGATGGGTTATAATATGGGGACAGATGGCTGGTCCGTCATGGAAAAAGTTCTCAGCTGGGGATCAAATGAGGATCTAACACACAAAGACACTTCATGGATTTACTTAATTATTTCGATAATATGAAGTAGGCTATAAAATACCAGAGGGCAGTAACAGATCATTTCATTTTGTTCAAATGTTTAGGGGACCTTTGAAGCACATAATGAGGTTTTATGGTGCAAACCATGGTACTCAAAGTCTAGAGTCTAGAAAGGAGAGTGAAAGAGGTAACAAATAGACTCAGAGAATAAGAACACTGACTGGGACTCCTGAGGTTGTGGGTTAGATTCTAGCTTTATCCAGGTCAAGGTGAATTTAAAGTCCAGGAGCCAAAGTACCAAGATAAAAGGTCGCGCAGCTCATACCCAAGTGTGGATCCTATCTTGTAGCGTTGTAAGGTAGTCAATGTGTGGACCCTGGTTCTGAGGAAGTGATGAATAATCATCACTTCTAATGATGAACAATTCTGATCGTTACTAATACTCTCCAGCCACGAGTTGGTATCAAACCAGGCCCCATTGGGTGCCGATAGACTTCCATGCGGGGCCATTAGATAGGATCCACACTAGGGCATGAGGAATGCCCGCTTTTATCTTCTTACTTTGGCTAAAGGACTTTAAAAATTCAACTAGATCTGGGTAAGGTGAGGCTTGAACCCACAACGGCTGAGGCTGAGGAGTCGATCCTTACCTTATCCAAGTCTAGGTGAATTTTAAATCATGTGTCTGGATTGGAGAGTGAAATAGGTAAAAAAAAAATTGAGTGTCCACATAGCTCAGAGGATAAAGAGACTGCCTGGGACTCCTGAGGTTGAGGGTTCAAGCCTTACCTTATCCAGGTCAAGGTGAAATTTAAAGTCTAGTGTCTAGAAAGGAGAGTGAAATAGGACAAACCCGGAATTATCCCAATGTGTCCACATAGCTCAGAGGATAAAGAGACTGACTGAGACTCCTGAGGTTGTGGGTTCAAGCCTTACCTTATCCACTGGTGGCGAAATTTAAAGTCAAGTGTCTAAAAAGGAGACTGAAATAGGACAAACCGGAACTCCCCTGTGTGTCCACGTAGCTCGGAGGTTAAACACTCGGACTGCCACTCCTGAGGTTGATGGTTCAAGCCTTACCTTATCTAGGTTTAGGTGAAATTTAAAGTCTATTGTCTAGAAAGGAGAGTGATATAGGAAAAACCCGGAACTACCCTGTGTGTCCACGTAGCTCAGAGGATAAGGAGACTGCCTGGGACTCCTGAGGTTGTGAGTTCAAGCCTTACCTTATACACTTGTGGTGAAATTTAAAGTCTAGTGTCTAGAAAGGAGAGGTAAAGAGGACAAACCCGGAACTCCCCTGTGTGTCTACATAGCTCAGAGTTTAAAGAGTCAGACTGGGACTCCTGAGGTTGTTGGTTCAAGTCTTACCTTATACACTCGCAGTGAAATTTAAAGTCAAGTGTCTAAAAAGGAGACTGAAATAGGACAAACCCGGAACTTCCCTGTGTGTCCACATAGCTCAGAGGATAAGGAGACTGACTGAGCTTCTTGAGGTCGTGGGTTCAAGCCTCACCCACATCTAGTTGAATTTTAAAGTCCTTTAGCCAAAGTAAGATGATAAAAGCGGGCATTCCGCATGCCCTAGTGTGGATCCTATCTAATGGCCCTGCATGGAAGTCTATTGGCACCCAATGGGGCCTGGTTTGATACCAACTCGTGGCTGGAGAGTATTAGTAACGATCAGAATTGGCCATCATTAGAAGTGATCATCACTTCTTCAGGTGGTCTATACCGATTACAGTATAGAAAGAAATTTTCATCATTTCATTACTTTGAACTACCCCGTCACTAGCGGGAATCGAACCAGGGTCCACACATTGGGAGCCAATTGACTACCTTACAACGCTACAAGATAGGATCCACATTTGGGTATGAGCTGCGTGCCCTTTTATCTTGGTACTTTGGCTCCTGGACTTTAAAATTCACCTAGACCTGGATAAAGTTAGAATCTAACCCACAACCTCAGGAGTCTCAGTCAGTCTTCTTATTCTCTGAGCAATGTGGACACATATGAGAATTCCAGTTTCTTCCTATTTCACTCTCCTTTCCAGACACTAGAGTTTAAAATTCAACTAGACCTGGATCTGATTAAAATAATGAGACACAGAGTCACAGTGTGTCTGTGTGTTTTTTATTTATGAACTTGTTGGTCCCCCCATGAAAACAACTTGACAGACTTCTGTTTTCTTAGCAGTGAATATTTTTTCATTTACAGTCAAGTTCACATATAAAGTTTCCATTAAAAACTACAAGCTTCTCCCAAGATCAAACAAATTGAGTCTTAAATGAGATTAAACAAGGGCACATCAATCTCCAACCTACCTATCAGAGAGTGTAGCAAGTACCTAAAAGGGAAGCTCAAGATCTCTCTTGTTTCACAGAAATCAAATAAAACTCCTACCTTCACTGCCTGTACCTAACTTAACTACACTCTAACTAAATAAACACACACTAACCCAGGGATTCCACAGGATCCAGAGCGGTTCCACTCCGCTCCAGACCAGCAGGCGGATCAAATACCCAAGCATACAGCGCTCACCAGATCTGATCTGCTGCAGCAAGCAGAGGAGAAGCGCTCACAATATAACCGATGTTTCTCGCGAGACTGGACAAGGTCTCATGAGAACTCACGTGTTTCACCGTGAGACATTGAATGAGATCTGCCGATCAGTGCATATAAACGGCGGTGTGTATAAAACACCCACATCCCACAACCCTGGCTTCTACTATTATTAAGTGAAGAACAGTTCAATGTATTGACTTTATTTTATTTTGAAAATTAACCAGGTATTTTACTCTGTAACCGCATACAACTTCCGCTGCTGTTTGTGCTGCGCTGTCAAAAATTGAAGCCTTGCGTATCTAATCCAACCGCCAATCTGCAGTGGAGCCGGACAGTGGACCGACTCTGTAGAATCACGCACACTGATTTTGATGCTTGTGTATTTGATCCGCCTGCTGGATCAAGAGTGCAGCTATTCCAGATTCTGTGGGTTTTAGCTGTCAGACTCCTCCAAAAATGCTAAGTAACAACAAGAACAAAGGAAAACAATTCACAAAAGGAAAAAACTCCACAGTTGGTCCTGAAAGAAAAGAAGAGAGACAATTAGTTTGTCACATTTAACCCAACAGAAGAAAAAGCAGCTGCTTTAGTCATATCGTAACTTTAAAGTCATGACCAAAAAACCTTAGACTGATTTAATTTACAGAAACATTTACGGAAAATTTAATCATACTTCTGCTTGTTCTTTTTCATGCAGCGAATTAAACAAAACAAAAAACACATTAATATTAGCTGATTTGTGATTTTTGGTGAATAAATTCATTTAATCATAACCCTGATGTTTTGAGCTCTACGATTTCTTTAAGTCATGTCTCATCTACAACACAATAATTATTTTCCAGTAATGAAAACACTGATGAACTTTAAGAACACAGATGATAACATCACCTGAGAGTATCCGCTGCACTGTTTGATGATCCTCCTCTTCTTCCAATATGTTGAGTCCAACTGCAAGCACCTGTACCATAAAATACAACAAATAAATCATCAGAATTTGAGTTTATTTTGGGTTAAACTTGACCACATTTGTGTAAAGAGCTCTCTGTCTCTCTGTTGAGAGCATAGACTGTGAGGAAGATGATTGACAGCTATCCACTATAGAAGCAGAGAAACTTCTCCCCACTTCTAAGGTGGACAGCTGTCAATCATCTTATTCACAGTCTGTCAACAGAGGGAGCAACACTGCTGCCCAGTGGATGGGAGAGGCGGTGTTCTCCTCAGGTGAAAATCCTCAACTTGTGTGTGTCTTCAAAACTGTGATATTTGTCTCAAAAATAAACGCACGTGCCGGTTGATCCACAAACACATTTTTCAACAATTCACAAGCAGAACTGATGATTTACGAATGATGAATCATGATAAATGCACACACAAATTAAAAAAACACGTGAAAATCATGGAAATATATTTGTGGAGCTGATAGTCACATGTGGAAATTGTGGATACATATTTGTGCATAATGTTGAGACAAATCTCTCCCCATATCTTTTCACTGACTGATCAGAGACTGAGAGTGAAGCTGTGGAGATAAATGGAGACTCCTCTTTTTTCATTAATAAAAAAATGGTTACATTAATTACTGGAGACACCTAACGAGTTATCAATGAGGTAGTTCAGCTTCACTCTCAGTCTCTGATCAGTCAGTGAAAAGATGGACTGATAATCAGACTCTGAACAGCATCACAGGAGCAGCTGAGCGCCTCTACCTGAACGGGACGCCGAGGGAGGAAGGCCGCCACATGAAGATGGTGGTCCACCCGACTCCAGGGACGGTCCGGTGTAGAGTCCTGAAAGAACAAGAGAAAGTTGTAGTTTTTAGGGTAAGACATACCTAACATCTATTTATACTCATCACTACAGACAGTTTTTAATCTCCTATCATGTGCTGTCTTGTTTCAGTTCTGTTAAATGTTGATATTCCTGTAAATGCTGCTTTTGAAACAGAATAAAACATATTCTTGAAAAAAGGTTCTGTACCAGATTTTTGTTCATTGATCAGCTCAATAACCAGGTGAATGGATGGTATTTTCAGATAATTGGTGTGGTTTTTTTTTTTATTTCTTATCGATTAAATGAATTATTTACATTTACATACTTTTCCAAATGTATCACACAACTCTGTATTTTTCTATTTCATTTATTATTTAATAATCATGTAAAGCAAGTCACTGGATCATATTAACATAAATATAAGACTAGCATTAATGCATTTAGATAAAACTTTGATTTTTTTCCTTTTATTTTCTGATCCAATTATTCACTGTCTTCTTTTATCTTATTTTAATAAATTTAAAAGAATACAAAATGTTCTTGTCATAATATTTTACTGTACCAAAGTTAGTCTGGTCTGTATTGTTTAAATAAAGTTCACTCAAGTTTAGCAATTTTTTTCTGGGTATTTTTGTTTCTATTATTTCATTAAATGCAAAACAATAATATTAAAAATGATAAATCTGCCATTTGAGACCTGATTTCTAGTTTTCAGCTTCTCTCCACTTTTTAACTCTACTGTGTTAAAATACAGAGTAATGTCACTTTAATGTCTGTTAAACTGTGCTAAGTACATCTTTAAGCTAAAGAGCTAAAGAGAATTTATTTAACATTCATAAACATAAGCACAGAGTTTTGGCTCCTTTAGAGGCTCCTTCATGTTGAAACCTTCATTGTGCTACTATTGAGGCTGCAGAGAGGTTTCTGTGAGTAACAAAATCAGATCATTTTCTCTACAGTTAAACTTGAACCTTAGGAGCCTAAAAAATCAGCAAATCGGTGCTGAAACATGAAACATGCAGCTATGATACAAAAAAAAAAATCCTCTAACCTTAGAGCTTCAGCTCAGGGAAGATGACCGCTCCTGTCCTTCTTCCAGCGTGACGTCTGTCATGCCCACAGATCTTCAAGAGAGAAAATACTACTTTAAACAACTTTAACAGAGTGACAGCTCTCTCGATTTTTAATTGTATTAAAGGGTTTTATTTAGGCACACTCTCAGGTCAGCTGTTTTTCAGTTCAGTAATGATGAATATCTATGAAAAATTGTGGGTGGAACAAGCTGTGTATATCTATATTTCCACAGACTAAACTCATTAGGGTGTTTTCCATTGAGTTAACATAAAGTTTAAAAAGGCAACTTCAGCCACAGAAAATTCACTGTAGCTGGATTACAGCTAAAAAATATTAAAAAAGATTAGTACAAGATGAGAGACAACAGAGATTGTTTGTCTACTCATGTTTATACTATGTGAACAGGTGCTTTTAAGGATTTTTACAGTTACACACTTTTACCATCTGGATCACACTCCTTTGATCTTTCTCTAGTATACTTAAAAAAGTATAGTAAGTATGACAGTTTTACAGACTGTTTTAAGTCTTCAAGATAACCATGACCTGGATGAATGAGAATCCACATGGACAGTAAGTATGACACTGTTTAATTTTTTTGTCAGCAGCAGGCTTCAGTTTCAGTTTCCTTTTTTTTTCCATCAATAACTTCTGTTGTGACTTCTATTTTTCTCTTTTTTGCAGTCTTTATTATTTGCAGCAGTGGTGGTTCTCGGCCACCCCTGCAGCTCACTTCCGTTGTTTAATTTTTGCAGTAAGTACCTTTTTAAAAATCTTTTTTTGCATCCCCACTTTTTTTGTGTCGTTAACTCCGTTGTGGCTTTTTAAATTTTTTTTTTTAATTTGCACGGTTTTAATTTTTTGCTAGCAGCAGGCGTTGTTTTCTTTTTGCATCGAAAACTTCTGTTGTGACTAATTTTTTTTTTTTTTTGCATTCTTTTTTTATCTGCAGCAGTGGTGGTTCTTGGCCACCCCTGCAGCTCACTTCCGTTGTTTAATTTTAGCAGTAAGTACATTTTTAAAAATTCTTTTTTTGCATCCCCACTTTTTTTGTGTGTCGTTAACTCCTTTGTGGCTCATTTTTTCTGCATTCAATTTTTATTAGCAGTGGGCTTCAGTGACTTTTTTTTCATTTATTTTTGCATCAATAACTTCTGTTGTGGTTTCTTTCTTATTTATTTATTTTATTTTTATTTTTTTTGCATTTTTTTTATTTGCAGCAGTGGCAGTTCTCAGCCACCATACACATCATAGCAGGAGATATCAAAATAAAGGGGCAATGTCCATAAAGTATCCTCATAGCAAAAGTGCCACACAATTCCGTCTTACGCACATAGAAAAATGTCCTTGCAAAATAAATACACACGAACTCTGTAAATAAGGACAGCTATTTCCCGTAACACAAAACAAATCTCTGGCTATTTAATCCGTCTTTATCACAGCAAACAGTCTCTGTAACATCCGCTAAGAAAGAGTTGTCGCTTACATTTCGTCTCATGTCCTTAAAATGTATCTTTCTTACCTTTTTAGCTCCATAACCGTGGTATGGGACAGTAAGTTTGTTTTGTTTAGGCCTGGTAATTAGCTGCTTCATCTTCCCACGTGCACTCCAATTAATAATATTTTCTCTGATTAGGCAAACTGGTGGTAGAGGAAGTGACGTACGTTTCGCACATGCGCAGTACAAATCGTATTTCCGGGGACGGATCGGGTAGCGACAGGTGTGCATAACAAACACTCGGCAGCCTTTCCTGCGAAGTTTGTTCAATTTGTAAAGCCTTAAAATTACGAACTTCTTATCCAGACGATGGCTAACCGGAACGTGCACCAAGGGGGCGTGCAAAGTAGTAACTCTCCACAACCAGCGAAACGTGGGACCGACTCCCCGGCCCCGGAGCAGACCCCTGCGAACAAAGACAGCCCAGCGCCCCCACAACAGCAACAATCCCCCGCAGCCGAGGAAGCAGAAGGAGCCGGGGAAGCCACCGAGAATGCCCCCCAAGAAATGACCCTGGATATCACAAGTTTTCGGAAGCCGGGAGAAAAGACGTTTACCCAGAGATCACGACTGTTTGTGGGGAACCTTCCGGGGGACATCCCGGAGGAAGAGTTCAGGGAAATGTTCTCCAAATACGGGGGAATAAAGGAGGTCTTCATCAACAGGGACCGAGGCTTTGGCTTCGTTTGCTTGGTATGTACAAATCTGTTCATACTTGTCTGTTCATGATGTCGTTAATATTTTAATACACTACTAACACTCTCCTGACTCTTTGTTTACAGTGTAGGAAAGTATACTGCACACTTGACATTTACTGTCTGTACACCTTTGTAGGTTATGACCCTTATCTGTGTGTGTCCTACAGTCTTGCAGTGTAAATCACAGATTCATACGCATATTAGGAGCTTGCATTGCAAAAGTTACTTCTCTGAAACAATAAAAAGATGCCTTTTATTAGTCACCAGAAAAAAGGGTGGTTTAAGGTTGTATTATGGCACAGGTGTCAAACTCAAGGCCCGGGGGCCAAATCTGGACCTTAGCACAGTTATATCTGGCCCACAAGATCATATCATATTTGTATTGTTATTGGCCCACCAGTATGAAGTCTGCAGATTTCCTCCAGTATAATAATGTCAACTTTAGCACCATTGTTTAAAATATCCTTAATAAGCCATGAAAATCTCGGAAATTAAAGAGTAAGGAAGATTTGATAAATAGTCAAGAATGTGGGGGAAAATCTTTGGTGTTTTATTTCATGTTTTTAATTTTGCATTTCAAGATTACAAGTCATACATGAATGGATTTTTTATTTCATGCTTTGATTTTGTTCCACTCAGTATTTAGACTTGTGTCATTTTTATACTTTAGATTCCAATTTTAAATTTTAAGTCATATTTTGGCCTTTTCAACCTCATGCATTTGCTCTTTAAAAGTATTATTTTTCTATTTTTTATATCATGCACTTATCTTTGGAACTAATAAATAAAAATAGAATAAAAACATAAAATGTTTTTATTTCAGATTGCCTTTAAACTTATCTTTTTATCTTTTTTTAATTTCTAAATGGTTTATAATCATTGCTGTTTTTGTTACTTATGTTTTGAAAAGGAGGTAGACAGTTTTGGTGAAATGTTGACCCTGTTTGGCCCTCAGGTTGGACCTAAATCCAGATTATGGCCCTTGCTGTGGTTGAGTTTGACACCCCTGTGTTATGGAGTAAAAAATGATCAAATGTCCTTGACAACAACGTCAGCATTATATGGCTTATATGTGATAAAAGGTGGCTAGGGCTGGGCGATAAAACAAACGATATATATCGAAAATTAATTTCCCTCAATAGCAATGTAAAACATGGTCAATATGCTTTTCAATAGTCGGCATTCTGCCATGTTTTGGAACCCCATTAGCTTCCACAAAGTGGTTGCTAGTCTTCCTGGGGTCCAAAAAGTTAAAATCACAATACAATTACATTTCAACAATTAATTTATTATAAATACAGATTTAAATCATGATTCCTCAAAACATTAAAATCACTCCAAAATCTGTACTTTTATGGTTCATTCATATATACAGTTTCGTCTTAAAGTCCTTTTAAAATAATACCTACTGCTTATTTGCTGTGCGCTCCTAGGCAATTGATTCCACATTTCCAAAGATCTAAATAACTTTAGATCATTCACATTTGTTCTCTGAGAACAACCAAGAGCTACCCTGGCAGCTCTATTCTGGGCAAGCTGCAGTTTTTTCAAGTGCCCCTGGTAGACTATACGAATAGCCAATGAAAAGGGGAGTTGCTCCGGGTCCACTTCACTCTGAACCAATCATGTGCTTAATTAGAACCAAGTAGCAAACAACTGTGTCGTAGCAGGCTGCAGCTACACGCAACCATAGCACTTTAACATGTGAAGCTGACAGCACTGACAGTGAGAAAAAAAGAAAATGAGAGCTACCCCAGGCAGAAATGCAGGTGAAGGCTCAGCAGATGACGACATTGTCGACAAAACTGGCACAAAAACGTCGTAGGTATTTTAAGGTATTTTGGTTTTTTGAGGTCAGACATGAAGCAGAGTAATATGCAAATTATGTCAAGAACATGTTCTGGCAAAATCGAGGAATACCTCAAATCTTTTTCACCACCTGAAGCAGTGCTACACAGTAGAGCATGCACTATCCAAAAGGTTACAAATCCCAAACGGAGCAAAGAGCCATGGAGCCTGTGCAGCTGAAAAAAACTACCATTCAGTCCACTTTCTCTCACACAACGCCTTATGGCAAAACGTTGAAGAGACACAAAGACCTCAGAGATGCAGTAGCTTATTGTATTGCAAAAGACATGCTACCAATAAGCACTGTAAAATTTCATTTTTTATATCCTGATATATTGATATCGACTGATATGAAAAGTATATATCGTGATAAACTTTTTCCCTTATCGCCCAGCCCCAGTGGTCATCATGTTAGACTGAGGCTTCATCATCCTTCTTCCTCTAACATCTCTTTCACAGGAGACTCGGACCCTTGCAGAAATCGCCAAAGCCGAGCTCGATGGAGTTATTCTGAAGAACCGACCCATCAGGATCCGCTTTGCCACACACAATTGTGCACTCAAGGTGCGCAACTTGCTGCCTGCAGTGACAAACGAGCTGCTGGAGCAGGTAAATATAGCTGAGAGGTTTGAGATCCCAGTGTGATGAATACAGTATGTGTCTGTTTCTGTTTTGTGTGGACTGATATTTAATATGAAGACTCTCCTTTACCATCAGGCCTTTTCCCAGTTTGGTCCAGTGGAGCGGGCTGTTGTCATAACTGACGATCGGGGTCGTCCCACAGGGAGAGGGATCGTGGAATATGCAAACAAACAATCTGCCCGCAAAGCCCTGGAGCGCTGCACGGAGGGAGCGCTTCTCCTAACCACGTAAGCAGAGGGGATGTTGTTCACTGGATGTAAAGAGGGCCTCACGATGTTGTTTGCACACACAACAATGAGCCAGATCTTTAACTAGCCTCGCCTTAACCCTCATTAACCCCCCCCCTCTCTCAGGACACCCTGTCCAGCTATTGTGGAGCCTGCTGAGCACTTTGATGAAGAAGATGGACTGCCTGAGAAAGTTATGCAAAAGTCTCCAAAATACCACAAGTGAGTGTCATTGCAGCGGTGCGTTCACTGCCAGTAGTTTAAAGGGATGTTCCAACGTAAAATTAAGTGGGTCAAACACACCGCAACACCGAATTAGACACCCCGTCGAGAGATTAATGTTGCCGACCGCTTGCTTCTCTAGTTATACCACCTTTAGTCACGACCGCAGTTAGCAATACAGAGAACCACGCGCTCAACCAAAACGCCACTCTATAGCCACAAATAACTCTCAGAACAGCACCTAACTTCATCAACAGGACATATAGGGTCCCAGCCAAAGTACTAGCCACCAAACATCTTTTTAACTTTGCCTGATTTCTTTAGCAGAGACTAAACACAACTCACCTACTCTCTTCCAGCAGCCGCTCGTTTGTATGGAGACCTCCGGGCGAGTCTATCAACTGCTGCGGGGTGACGCAGCTCAAGGAAGAACATTTATAATCATTACTTCATCATTTCCTTGAAGTAATAACCATCATATTAATTATTTTGCACTGCAGACGCGGTAGTTCTTCTGCCTTAGCGTCTCGGTCTGATTTCATTTCCATAGAAAAATGATCATAAATGTTCTTCCTTGAGCTGCGACACCCCGCTGCAGTCGATGGACTCACCCAGAAGTCTCCGTACAAACTAGCAGGTGCTGGAAGAGAGTTGGTGAGTTGTGTTTAGTCTCTTTGCTAAAGAAATTAGGCAAAGTTAAAAAGATGTTTGGTGGCTAGTACTATGGCTGGGACTCTTTATGTACTGTTGATGAAGTTAGGTGCTGTTCTGAGCATTATTTGTGGCTATAGAGTGGCGTTTTGGTTGAGCGTGTGGTTCTCTGTATTGCTAACTGCGGTCGTGACTAAAGGTGGTATAACTAGAGAAGCAAGCAGTCAGCAACATTTATCTCTCGACGGAGTGTCTAAAATCGGTGTTAGGGTGTGTTTGACCCTAAATTAATTTTACACCGGAATATCCCTTTAATAGAGTTGGGGTCAGTTTTTATCATTTTCCCGTCCTCCAGGGAGCGAGAGCTGCCTCCACATTTCGCTCAGCCGGGCACGTTTGAGTTCGAATACTCCTCTCGCTGGAAAGCTCTCTGTGAGATGGAGAAACAGCAAAGGGAGCAGGTGGACAGGAACATCCGAGAGGCCAAAGAGAAATTGGAGGCCGAGCTGGAGTCGGCAAAACACGAACATCAGCTCATGTTGATGAGACAGGGTAGGTGCTGCTCCTGAAGTGATCACCTCTTATTTAGATTGAGTGTTTGAATTGTTGTTATTCATGTTGTCTACTCTGTTTTTCCAGATCTAATGAGACGTCAAGAGGAGCTGAGGAGGCTGGAGGAGCTCCGCAACCAGGAGCTGCAGAGACGGAAGCAGATTGAAATGAGGTGTGTCACAAACTACAAGAACAGAGCGAGATAGAGAGGCTGGGATACTGATCAGAATCTGAGGTCGATGGTTTTATCCAGATTATTCTCCTGACCGCTTTCTTTCTTTCTGTGTGTAGGCATGAAGAGGAGAGGAGGCGGAGAGAGGAGGAGATGATGCGACACAGAGAGCAGGAGGACATGAGGCGCCAGCCGGACGGCTTCAAACCAAACTTCATGGATAATGTGAGTACAGCTGGAGGCACGTATTCAGAAACACTCTCTCTTTCCAGCCCTTCAAACACACATACAGTCGAGGCCGACGCGACTTAACACAAGAGCGCATGAAAGAAGAGGTCGAACTCTGCACAGCGCATTTCCTTCAGGTTACTGACCTCGCTGTTTGGTCTGTTGAAACACTAGCTTTGCACTTTTGCACTTTTCAAGCAGTCAGATTAGGATTAGTGTGGATAATCGTGTGTGTACTTAAACAATAGACTTACTGTTGTTATTAAGACATATTTATAAAGCAGCTCGTAAAGCTACTCCACTGGATCAGTCTTTGCTTTTTAACACCTTATTTTCAACAGAATGACAGACAGCTCGTTCTGCTGATTTCTGACTTCAGAGTAATTTAAAGGCAGTTTTCCATCACATGTTCGAGACATTTCACATCTTTTACAGTATTTAAACTCACTTTTTTGTTTTTAAATTAGTTGCTGTCAGGCTGCTCCCTCAGTTTGAACAAAATACACACACGGATTATGGAATAATACCCCTCAGCAGGTGTCGTCTTTTCCTCCTCTCCTTTTTTGTTGTCTTTTTATTTGAAGTATTGATATTAACATGATCTTCATTGTGTGTATAAATCAGAGATGTGATTCTTTTAGATGTATCAGGATCCAGATTTTAGGACCTGAAAAGTCATCTCTCGAGACTTTTCATTCCGACTCAACCTGCTGATAGAAATAGAAAACATTTATTATTGTTATTGTTATTGTTATTATTATTATTATTATTAAGACTTTGTTTATTTGAGGTGCTGCAAGATTACTCTGATGATGACTCACAGTAAGAATGGGTTTTGATCTCGGTAACAAGCTGATATAACCCAGTTTGCATTTCTTATTTAGGACAGAAATCTGCTCAGATTGATTTTTATTTCTGCACTGAACCATAGCAGTACACACGGTCTGTTACCACTTTGTCAAAGCTCTTTAATTATGAGTAAAGAGGTGAATCAAGTTTTGGGATGGGATCTTAAAGGCTTTATTTTGCTTGTAATGAAACAAAAATAAAGCTGAAATCTGGATAATGGGTGCTTTATTTTCAAATCTGCAGATAAGCCATGGAAATCAAACTATATTTAAATTACTCTAAAGAAACACCGGCAGCTTATTATTGAAATCATGTGAAGTGGAGCCAGATGCACAAAAAGATGTGAAAATAAAGCACATAAAGAGGAAAAAAGAGCAATTTGACATCAGAAAATGGTACAAAACAAGAATAACACATGCAGGGAATCATCAACCTTGTTTACTGTCCTATATTTTTGTCCTTTACCTGAAGGACTTGAATTGAAATCAGAGTCTAAGAAATTCTCCTCACAGGTGGATTCTTTTAAAGACAGATTTCTGCAAGAGGAATGTATCATTTGTCAGTTTTTGGCTCTGTTGGAAACATTAATCCGACACTTTTGACTAAAAACAACCACATTAAATGAGAATGATGCTTTTAAGGCACAAATTCATTCATCTAGTGCAGTAGTTCTCAAGTCCAGTCCTTGAGGCCCACTGTCCTGCGTGTTTTTGGATGTTTCCCAGCTCCAACACACCTGATTCAAATGATCAGCTCGTTAGTAAGCCATTACAGAGCTTGATAACGAGCTGATCATTTGAATCAGGTGTGAGGACTGGACTTAAGAACCAATGATCTAGTATATTTGCAGCCTCATAAACCAGCATGTGCCCCACAGTAGCTTCACTGTAAGGCGAGAGTAGCTGCTTTCTGCTGCCCTCTAGTGTGTAAAGTCCAAAGGTTCACACACACACTCCCATCACTGTCTTTTCTCATGTAGTTGTAACATACAGACTTTCAAACAGGTAAGTACAGATTGAACATGTAGTCACATTTTAATCTATTTTAGCCGTGCAGCTTTGACGTCTCTATCTAACCTCTGTAATGATAAACTCTGACTGACCGACAGCTGACCTATCAGACCGAGTTTGTATATTTTATAATGAGAACTGTTGGGTACTTCATGTCCGGCTTATTTCAGTGAGCTGGATTAAGTCTTTCTTCAATGTGCTGTTAAGATTAAATGAATCCAGCTCAGTGTACTGTATGTTTATTCAACTACATTCTCTTTGTTTGTTGGCGAGATTTAAAAAAAGGAGCAAAAATCAGAGATGTTTGTGAGAGAGAGAGTGTGAATGAATGAATGAAGAGATAATGGAGCATGTTTTTGTTTTTGTTTGGGCCCGACACGACGAGGAAAGCCGCATCTCCGTAGAGCTTGTGCTTGAGAGTATCAGTGTGTGAGTGTTGCAGTTTCACATTAGTTTGTCCGCTCCTTCCCTGAAATTCAGCTGAGTTTTGTTCTGAAGGCTCTTCTTCACTTCTTTCAGAGAGAACAGGAAATGAGAGTGGGTGAGCTGGGCCCTCGTGGAGCCATTAATATGGGAGGTACGGGCATGATTATGTACTGACTGGTTGATAGAAAAACCAGACAGAGTCATGATGATTGGTGTTTTATTATGCTTAACGTATCTTATCTCTCTCGCTTGTATTCCATCTCAAGTGGCTCCTTTTAAGATATATTCACTTGTTAATGAGTCAAACGGAAAAGTTTGAGACCCTGTTTGGTGTCAGAATCACTCGAGATGTTATACAAAAGAGGATAAATACACAAAATGTCTTAACTAACGAATGCCGTGAAGTGCGAAAAGGGGGCTGGTTTTGTTTTGGTTAAGTTCAATATTTTTTAAAGAGAGGTTTGGTCCCTGAGCTCTCATCCTCACTTTGAAGGAGAAACCATGATGGTTGAATAATGTGGCACCAGTTTTTCAGAAGACAGAGCTCTCCCTTTAAATCAAGTAAAGCAAGTAAAGACAAACAACCCTTTGCAAAAAAAATAAAACAAAAAATAAACATCATTATCGTTCTTCTAGGAGGAGGATGAGGGGCCAGAGAGTGAAGTCTGATTTATAAGAGGATAACCTCGGATTGCACATCATCTCTACTAATAAATGGTTTTGGTTTTGTCGCTCCAAGTACTAAAGCATGAAGGTTTTGACACTTTTGTCATGAGTTTGAAACCCAGTCTGCTAATTGTCCTCAGATATGGATGTATTTAACAAACCTTATCTTTTCTATTTAATATTTTAGTATTTGTGTGAGTGTTGGCTAAGATTTGGGTGCCACTTGTATATGTAGATATGTAGTAGTAGTAGTTTGTGTATGTGTAGTTACTTTTCATACATTTTTTTTTTAATATTGATTTTAATCCTGCACAAAAAACACATTGGTACAACATGGTAGAAACAACAGTAGATACAGATACAGACCAGCAAATCAAATAAAAACCAATCAGATATAAAAGTAACAAGACCCGACCAATGCGCAACAAAGACAGAGGCAACAAAAATCAAACATGGAGAGTTCAAAGTTATTCAGCAGCTGGTATTTTGTCAAAGATTGAATGCATAGAAATTTTACCATGAGTGATAGTGTTATTTATATGAATGATAAGAATAGCAATGGTCCCAGAACTGCACCTTGGGGAGTTCCTTCGTAATGCGTGTAAGGGATGCCTTAATATCTCCTGTCTTAACAAACTTTAACCATCTGAGAGGTGATAATGAAACCAGGAGTGACTGTTTTTATTCTTGTCAAGCCTTCACCCATCTGCAGAACAACTTAGGACAACAAATTAGGAAATCTATGTGCGCCGCTAAGCTTACAGGAGGCCTGTGAGGCTGTCACAGTCAGTAACAGTACTCGTTAAAGTGTAGTCGCCCCCGAATGAAGATGATGTGCAATCCATGATTTAGTTTGTAAGCTCTCAAGTGGATGCTGCCGAGGTTTGGTGTCACAGTATTATTAAGACTAAAGGTTGTCCATTTTAGCGATAAAACTCTGCGTTAGAAGTGACTTTCAAGATGTTTTTAATTCCATTCAAAAGTTCTCTAAAGAACCATTCATAGTCACGCTTCTGTAATACTGTGTTCAAACTCTTTGGGATGGGTATTGTACTTTCAAAAGCTCTTACTGTGGCAGGTGTAATGTTGGTACTGTGGCTTTGAATTTTAGGTGTCATAGTAACGACTCCTGTTTCTGCTCCCATCTATTCTACCAGTAAAATGTAAACATTGAATGTCTGCTATAACATAAAACATCACCTATTGTCACTTTAACTTGGTTTTTGGTTTGCACTGCTGTGCAGATGAACCGATCCGCTAAATTTTACGTTTTTTTTGCTTGAATTGGAACAATAGCAAACAATAAAAATGGAGCATGTGCATAACGGATGAGCTGTGGACCAAAAGCCAATGTTAACTTTGACTTTGAAGTCAGTGAGATCAGCTCCAAACTTCAGCTGCAGTTCTCAGTCGGATTTTGGTGCATTACATCAACCAATGCTCCGTATTTCTGCGTGTAGATGGCTTTAACCGGGCCTCACCGGGGCCCAGTGCTAACCAGGGTCAAATGATGGGCATGAGTGCGAGGGGAGGACCCGTTGGCCCGGAGGGAACTGCAAATATGGGGACACCGTTGATGTCCGAGAACGGAGCCATGGTAATGTATCAGGATTAATGAACTAAATTTAACCATCGTTTAGTCATTATGGCCAATTTATTCTCTATACCTCTAAAACGATGCACAATCTCACAAAAGTGTTTACCTCTCTCTCCTTCTGTCTGCTCGACTCACTTCCTTGACTTCTGCTCTTGGATGGCTACGCTTGGATTTCATAAACCCTGACGGATGAACTTTTAATACCCTGTCCCTTACCTGGATACCCCACGTTCCTGTATCACCCTCAAACATGACGTCATACCCTAATTTAACCTTCGTCATGATACCACAGAGAAACGAAAGATTCCCCCAGGGTGGATCAGTAGAGGGCCGACCACAAGTTGAGTCCCCAAAGCAGCAGCAACAGCAGCCACAAGTGCAGCAGCAGCAGCAGCAGCAGCAGCAGCCTCCCATGGGCCCTCAGGTTGGACAAGCTCCAGGATTTGGACGGGGGAGTCCAGTAGGCGGAGTGTTTGACGGGCCAAATAGCAAACGCCGCAGGTTCTAACTTCCTACTTTGAATGGAGAGACTGTTTTTTATGGGTTTGGTACTGCCACAGCTGAATAAGTCCTCTTTCTGTTTGTTTGCGTCCTGACTTACCTTTGTGTGACGTGAAGACGCCCCGTTTTTCCTCTCAGTTTTGTATATTTTAAATTTGACAGATGTGCACATGGTCCTGAAGCAGAATTAACTCACATCTGCAACGTTTGAACGCACCTCCCGTGGGCAGCTTCTCCCCCTTATTCCTAGACAGAAACAGTCCTCTGCTTTTTTTTGTGTGTGGCCAGTTTTGGATTGAATTGCTCTACGTGAGCAATGAATATTTAATAGACTGTACACCAGTTAGAGTCAGAAAAAGACCGCTGACCTCTCCGACTTAGCACCAAACCCATTTACTTAGAAAGTGAGTAAGTCATGTCAGTTAACTCCAGATCGGGTCATATTGCTGAGTTAAAAAAATTTCGTCCTCCTTTTTAAAGATACTGTGACTCTTGACTGAGAAGTTTCATCTGTGAGTGAATGTTTTTGCAGAGTGCATCTTGTATTTGACGGTCAAAAGGAATAAAAGCTTTTATAGTATGATGTCTGTGTGATGTGTCTTGTGTAGAAAACAATATTTGTCAGTTTCATACTAGCTTACTGATAATATCTGGGTGGTAATTTCTCTGCACATTTTAGGAAAAAAATATAAACGATATTTACGTATTTTTCTCAATTTTTGATTCCAAGTGGAGATATTAATATTGAGTTGTAAAATATAATAAATACATTGTAATACTGTGAATCCTCCTAACTTTATAATCTGATAATAGAGGAAACTAATCATGTACCTGTGTGTTTAAACATCTGTGCGTCTATATCTATGCAACACAAACTAGGGTCCTGGTTCTCTGGTTTCTGGTTCCTTGTTTGTGTTGATTTTGGCGTCCCCTTGTGGACAAAGTAATACCATTTACATCTTTAATGGTAACTCACCGGGAAAATTTTCTTTTTCTTCACTGTGCAGTCCTGTACCGCATCGGACATCTACCCCCTCGCAGCGGTTATGTTAAGAAATTACGATATAGATATTTTCAGTCCTATGGTGATCGTCTGGTTTGCTTTTAAATGCCGTCAAGTAGCATGACTGTTAATTTGAGTCAGTTTGGTAACTAGCTGAAAAGTCCTCACAGGAGCTTTAAATAAATGCTTATTTTGTATTACTTTACATTTTAGTCATGATATACTGTTGTAAATATCAATTTGCGTTTATTTTCTTATTTTTCATGTATTTCATGCAAGGTCATGAGAATTTCGTTTTAAGACATGGAAAGTCACGAGACTATATCGGCCAAAATGTACGAGTTACAGTTGGAAACAAGATTAGTTGTAATGGGACCTGCGGGGTAATTTTCTCCATTATTTTGACCCAATCAAAGCAAACTGATTGGCGCTTTGAGGCTTAAAAAAGTGTTTTTGTAGCGTGAAAGTTTGGCGCCACTGTGGAGGGGGAGTGTTGCTTTTCTTTGCCGTGCCCAAGGCTGTTCATTATCAACAGAGAGCAGGTAATCATTGGAGTGATCCACTTTTAACGGGGCTGATTGCCGCCAATTTGGGGAATGAATACTCGGTGTCTCTGGTTTTTCACTTTCTGGCCTGGTTCTACTTTAGCCCAGTTTGTGGCCCACTTCTGTTTCTGGAAGAAGAATTGATTTTCAGGCAATAGTCATTCTTCCCCAAAACGTTTAGACTATCCTCTTACCTATGAAGATTACGTGTGTAGACTTACTTAAAAACATAAATGTTCTGTCTACAGCTAAGGAGCAGAAATACCTTCCACACAATCCAAAGACGTCTCTTTTTGTGGTTTGATTGAAGGAGAACAGCATCGTTTAAGGTTTGAATGTGCCCTACATTATGACCCTATGACCTAGATTGCAGTTATTACTATTCATGCCAGTTTCCCAAGGAAGTTGGATCACATTATTGTGGTTTCAGGTTGGCGGCCTGGAGCTGCACACTTTTAAGAGGAGTTTAGACTCAAGCTTCTAACCTTAAAATCTATAAACCTTTATCTTTTGGATCTAAATCAGTTTTGTGTTGAAAATGCTCCCATGATTACAAGAGTCCTGTACTAATAGTATTTCCTTTGACAAAAAACGTAATTTTTTTGTACATTTATACAAAGTGAAGGAGCTGGGCCTCCAACCTTAAACTGCAAGTACTTTGGTGATTGTCGCTATCGTACCTCATTATAGTCGTAGTAAAGTTTAGAGTCTGAATTTATTATTTTAACTATTCCACTGAGTGTTTAGAAACTGTTGTGAGTAAAAGTTAAGATTTAAGAAACTTTAATTGTTTACCAAAAAACTTTACGGTGTTATTAGTCAGCAGTTAATTAAAGATACTTCAGATTGGAGAAGGAGTCACCTTACAGGTCTAGGAGAATTCTAAAGTCCAGGAGCCAAAGTACCAAGGTAAAAGCGCGCGCAGCTCATACCCAAGTGTGGATCCTGTCTTGTAGCGTTGTAAGGTAGTCAATTGGCTCTCAATGAGTGGACCCCGGTTCGATTCCCGCTAGTGACGGGGTAGTTCAAAGTAATGAAATGATGAAAATTTCCTTCTATACCGTAATCGGTATAGACTCCTGAAGAAGTGATGATCACTTCTAATGATGGCCAATTCTGATCGTTACTAATACTCTCCAGCCAGGAGTTGGTATCAAACCAGGCCCCATTGGGTGCCAATAGACTTCCATGCAGGGCAATTAGATAGGATCCACACTAGGGCATGCGGAATGCCCGCTTTTATCATCTTACTTTGGCTAAAGGACTTAAAAATTTAACTAGATGTGGGTAAGGTTTGAACCCACGACCTCAAGAGTCTCAGGCAGTCTCCTTATCCTCTGAGCTATGTGAACACACAGGGTAATTCCGGGTTTGTCCTATTTCAGTCTCCTTACTAGACACTCGACTTTAAATTTCACCACAAGTGTATAAGGCAAGGCTTGAACCCACAACCTCAGGAGTCCCAGTCAGTCTCCCTAACCTCTGAGCTACGTGGACAAACAGGGATAGTTCCAGGTTTTTCCTATTTCAATCTCTTTTCTCAACACTAGACTTTAAATTTTACTGCGAGTGTATAAGGCAAGGCTTGAACCCACAACCTCAGGAGTCCCAGACAGTCTACTTATCCTCTGAGCTACGTAGACACACAGGGGACTTCCGGGTTTTTCCTATTTCACTCTCCTTTCTAGACACTAGACTTGAAATTTCACAAGTGTATAAGGTGAGGCTTGAACTCACAACCTCAGGAGTTTCAGTCAGTCTCCTTATCCTTTCAGCTATGTGGACACATTGGGTTGAATTCCGGGTTTGTCCTATATCACTCTCCTTTCTAGACACTAGACTTTAAATTTCACTGCGAGTGTATAAGGTAAGGCTTGAAACCACAACCTCAGGAGTCCCAGTCAGTCTCCTTATCCTCTGAACTATGTAGACACACAGGGGAGTTGCGGGTTTGTCCTATTTACCTCTCCTTTCTAGACACTAGACTTAAAATTTTACTGCAAGTGTATAAGGTGAGGCTTGAACCCACAACCTCAGGAGTTCCAGTCTGTCTCCTTATCCTCTGAGCCATGTGAATACACAGGAAAGTTTCGTGTTTTTCCTATTTCAGTCTCTTTTCTAGGCAAAAGACTTTAAATTTCACTTAGACTTGGATAAGGTAAGGATCGACTCGTCAGCCTCGGGAGTCCCAGTCTGTTTTCTTATCCTCTGAGCCATGTTGACACACAGGAGGATCCAGTCTGTGTTTTATTCTCTTTTACTGTCCTTTTAAGACACTGCAATTTAAATTGAAAGAACAAACTGATGGTCAATTCCTGATCTTTGTGTACTCCAACAGGACTTTTTACCGTTAACTCTGTCTGAAGGTAACCGCACAGCATAAAGGAACAAAGTTTACTTCATTGAACACGAGTAAACCTGCCAGAATCGAAAGTTTAAAATCACTTTGCTTTTTCACATACAGTAGAGGCTCAACAGTCACTGAATCTTATACAAATTAGCAGAAAAAAGACCACAGAATGGCACTACAACCCACTGTGAGCATGTTGTTTCCTCCATGCTGAGCCCAGCTGACTGGGGCTTCTTTTTTTTTTTTTCCACTGAACTTTATTGGTAATGTTTGCACATACAAACAGTTGTATATAAAACAACAGACAGGTGCTCCAATATATATGTATTATCAATAAATAAATAAATAAAAATAAACACATTAAACTTAGGTTATTATTAATAATGCCAGTAAAGTTAAAAAGTAGGGAAGATAATAAATAAATGAATAGACAGGAATAGGAAAAGAACAAAAAAAAACAATTAAAAAAAGGAAACAGAATGTAAATACATTACTCTTCTTTGAAAAACCTCTAGTATATATCTGTGGATGTGGTGCTTTGTTTAGTGTCAACTAGTGTAAGGGATTTCATGTACTCTTTTAACTCATGAAGCAAACTTCTAAGGTGGGTGGAGTTTTGGAGTATTTGCTTTTGTGTATGTGACATTTGCCATACAAAATGAGTAGCTGACCGGGGCTTCACTTTGCTGCTGCCACAGTCAAAATACGCATCCTGTATGTGATAGACAGCGCTGCTCTATGGAGCAAATACGTGACGCTGCTGTTTCACGCTCAATACGGATCCTGTATGGTTTAGCCTTTAGGGTTAGGATTTTTATCTTAACTATACTAAGACATGTTTAACATACTATACCATAATATTTTTATCAAACTATACTATGATATTTTTATACAGAAGTTAATTTAAAATAGTTCAGATTAGTTCAGGAAGGCAGGGAGGGAGTCGCCTTGCCTCTAATAGGCCTCCTTCAGGGTGTTCTCCAGAGCTTTGCCAACAAAGGAGTCTGATTCATCTTGAAACCTAGACCCATACCTGTCTCTGTGGCTTAGAGGGGAAAGAAACTGATTTCTCCAGAGGCCATAGGTTTGATCCTTACCTTATCCAGGTCTGGATGAAATTTAAAGTCTAGTGTCTAGAAAGGAAAGTTAAATAGGAAAAACCCGGTATTACCCTGTGTGTACACCTAGCTCAGAGGATAAGAAGACTGACTTGGACTCTACCCAGGTCTAGTTGAAATTTTAAGTCCTTTAGCCAAAGAAGATAAAAGCGGGCATACCTCATGCTCTAGTGGGGATCCTATCTAATGGCCCTGCATGGAAGTCTATTGACACCCAATGGGGCCTGGTTTGATACCAACTCATGGCTGGAGAGTATTAATAATGATCAGATTGTGTCATCATTAGAAGTGATGATGATTATTTATCACTTCTTCAGTATTGAGACATTAGATTTAGGTCTCTTTTTCTCATGATTTCATTACTTTGAACCACCCCATCAATAGCCGGATTCAAACAAGGGAACCCACATTAGGAGCCAGTTGACTACTGCACACCACTAGAAGATACAAGATACACTTGGGTTTGAGCTGCGCACGCTTTTAACTTCATACTTTGGCTTCGGGACTTTAAAATTTACCTTGACCTGGATAAGGTGGGGATTGAACCCACGAACTCAGGAGTCCCAGTCAGTCTTCTTATCTCTGAGCTATGTGGACACATAGGAGAAGTCTGTTTGTTTCTTCTTTTACTTTTCTTTCTAGAGACTATACTTTAAATATTACCTCGACCTGGATAAGGTAAGGATTGAACCCACGAACTCAGGAGTCCCAGTCAGTCTTCTTATCCTTTGAGCCATACAGACACGCAGAAGAATTCTGTTTTTTACCTATTTCACTCTTCTTTCTAGACCCAAGACTTTAAATTCTCCTCAACCTGGATAAGGTTAGAATCGAACCCACGATCTCAGGAGTCTCAGTCAGTCTTCATATCCTCTGAGCCATGCAGACACACAGTAGCATTCCGTTTTTTTCCCATTTCACTCTCCTTTCTAGACACTGGCCTTAAAAACTCACCTCGACCTGGATAGTGATCAAATCCATGACCTCAGGAGTGCCAGTCGGTCTTCTTATCCTCTGAGCCATGTGGGCACACTGGAGTATTCTGTTTGTTTCCTATTTCTCTATCCTTTGTAGACACCTGCCTTTAAGTTCACCTAGCCCTGGACAAGGATCAAACCCACGAACTCAGGATTCCAAGTCAGTTTACTAACCATCTGAGCCATGTGTACACAACCTTGATATGTTCAGAAACCCTTTTCACCCTTTTTTAATTAAAAACTGGCCTACAATAATTCTCTGAGTACTGGATAAGGATCAAACCCAAAACACAGGAGTCCCAGGCAGATGATTAAACCCTTGAACCACAAGGACCACACAATCCTTATTTTCCCAAAAGCTTTTTTCCTCTCTTTTTTCTAAGCTATTATTTTACTTACTCTTCCTCAAGAAAACAAGAAAACTGCAAAAACAAAGAATATATGTGAAAATGTTAATATTTGTAGGTAATCAGTCGTAATTGTGTTGCCTTTTCTGTCATTTATTTATTATTTTCCTCTTTTCTTCTTTCTTTTTTGACTTTGACTTTGCCAGCTGGGATTGTTTGCAGTAATACCCCCCATTTAGAAGCACAGTACATCGTAACAACACCTGGAAGCAGGAAGACACTGCTGCATCATAATTAGGTGTGCTGCAAGGGTCTAAACTACATGTGATTGAGATATAAATAGAGACCTTAGAACCAGACCTCAGTGCCCACAGCCTTGATCTCATCAAAAATGGCTTTGTATCAGTTTTTCAATGATTTCTCAAGTCTTATTTTTTTAGTCTTATTTTATATTTGATCATCTGGCTCATAATGCTAAAGTTTAGATGTTGGATGTAGGAGGCTAACACATGCCTTGCTCTTTGTGACCTCTTCAAGCATTCGTCAAAGATCTGAATCCGTTTTTGAGGAATTCAGGAGAGGAGAAAGTAGTAAATTGTTAATAGACAGCGATTCTTCCTTAGAAAACTTGGTGTCAGTAGTTCATCAAATTCATTACCAAGCTTCCTGACACTTTTCTCCATGATCTCATTCTTTTCTTTCTTTCTTTGTTTTTAGGTTAAATCTGAATGTCCGCTGAATGAATGGAGCGGTGTAGTTAAAAATAGGCAGACCTATTTTTTCCTGCGTTTGGGCGCCGCCTCCAATCCGTGCATAAAGACGCATTAACAAGTGGCACAGCAGCCGATAATCCAGACAGGAGTTGCCTTTGGTGTGAGCGCAGCGCTACATTGATGGTGAGGACAGAAAAGGAGAGACAGGGAGTTTGTTCACTCTCTGACTTTACTTTGTTTCTTATTTGACTTAACCAAATTTTCACAGATTCCTTTTTTACGCGCTGTGATAGCTGATTAAAAAAAAGTTTTCTCTGACTTTATCGAGCTTGTGTTGACATGGTTTATTCCCTCCGGAGGTGGAGGCTATTGATGGGATTTCTCTCACCGGTGCATCATCACCCGAGGATTGCCGGACAGTGAGTCAGGGAGCGTTTGGAGGCTGGATGGACAACATGTCTCCACAACAGGACAGCCTCGGTGGACTGCAAGCAAACAAACGGGTGCGTTGTATACTGATGGAGAACCAGTTTGTATGTTTGGAAACACAGCTGTGCGTTTAATCAAAAGGCAAAGTGTCATTTACGCATCATTAATGCTTTATTTATTATCATCCGGAGAGTTAAACGGGGGCAAACTTCTCAAGAGGAGAAAATGCTGTCATATCCAGCACCTTTATTGGCTCACAGACGCGGTAAAATTATGAAAACAGTCGTATTGTGAGTTAACCCGCTTATAAATATGAATAAGTATATGGTTTGTCACACATTAAGGCTTTTTACGGAGGTGAGACCCCACTTGAAAGTCTTCAAACCCCTGAAATGAGAGGAATAGTGGCAAAATCAGGGTACAAATAATCCAAAATGCCTGTTAACTCGTGTTTGTGTAGTGTATGACTTTTCAGACACCTTTAATTAAGACGTTATCAAAGGAGCTAATTAGCGCCGTTAATGAAAGGCAGCTGGTTAACCGTCAAAATAAAGATGGCGTCAGTTAATAATTATCTGTTGCTAGCAAGATTGTTAACATCGTTTCACAAATATTCATCATTCTTTTTGTGTTTTAAGCAGTTTTGATAGCAGATACAGACACAAACACATGGTAAAGTAGTGATTTACTAACTTTTTTCTAAACATAAGTTCACTTAAGCACCTTCAAAATGGTGTAAAACACATTCAGTACTATCAGAGGCTGGTATGTGTTGCTTAGTATGTGGTTTCCCAGCTTTAAACTCATATCTCCACATGTTAGATTTATTCTTAGGAGTGAAAGGTAACATTTTCATGTTTGCCTGAATGTAAGGAATGTCCCAGCACTGTGTGACCCTGTTAAATCAATGATGTTACATTGTGAAATGTCAAAAATGTGTGGAGAAGGTGATAAGATGGAAGAGGAGGGTGACATTTTCTCATTTTGACTTGGATTGACTTGAGAAATCCTTTTGTATCATGACAAAATTATCCCAAAATGATTAAGAATGTAAAGAAAGTTTGTAGATGATTAGAAACTTAACTTTTGGTTTAAATCCAGTACTAAAATATAGCCTACAAACTGATGTTTTAAGTCATAACAGCCTCACCTCGAAGGTTTTCTTAGTGTTAAAAACAACAACAAAAAAAGCACATGCTAACCTAAAAAAATAAGGTCAATATAGATCATCTAAGTACTGGATGGTGTATGTTTGCATATTAGCATGCTGTTATAGATTTAGTGTAAAGAAAAAGTAATTTAATTTGATAACTTTTGGTTAAAAGTGTCATTATAGAGGGTCGGCAAGCTAACGAGCTCCAAAGCTAACCTAATAAGTAACCTTTAAAGAACAATATATAATCCAGTTAACACCATCCACATAATATTTGACCATATAAGCTTTTTTTTCCAAATAAAAAATGGATAAAAACTTACAGTTTGAATACAAAGTCAGTATTTTTAGGACATACTCACCGTCTTCTTTGGGTTTTATTTTACTGTATTTTTTGGTGCCAGAACTATACATGGTTTCGGGAACATTGGTTATAGTGTTACTCGCAAACCGCCATTAATTATGAAATGTCAGGTACACCGCTGCAGTCAGATACGCTGATAGTGTTCTGCACAAATCCTCCCTCACAAACGTTTTAAATCGTTGAAAGTAGGATTAATAATCAACCAACCTGCTGATTTAGCCAAGAATAACGACAGCGACTGGTTCGTGACTGGGAGTTTTAATCATACATACAACTAAATCACTGTGGTTGTGTAATGTTTGTTTATCACCTTGCTTCACACTCACAAATCCTTCTACAATTAGATGGAATAAAACTTGAATGATCCTCGTGGGGAAATTAGGATAATAGGATCTTAATATAGTTGCAAGCGGCAGCTGGAAGGCTGCTGTACAATGGGAACAGGGGATTAATTTGGTGTAATGGTGCCAGTACTTTACCACTCCTGGATTACTTAAACACACTGTAAGGACAATTAAAGAAAAAAAAGCGTATAAAATCTGCAGTTTAGTCGAAGTGTGAGAGAGGTCAGGAGTGTCATGGCAAAGAGATAGATGCTGCTGAGCACAGAGGTAACCGTGAAAATGTCGTCATCTGGCTTATGTCCAAGCTCAGACATTCCCATGAGTTTAAATTCTCCTGCTTCAATCCGCTGCGCCTGTCCTTTTGGAGGACACAGTCAGATGATGTGATGAATGTGCTGACCATTAACGATTCTTACGTAACACACGAGGAAAGCGTAAACATTGCACACACGTGGAGTAAATCTTGCTCGCCCGTCTTTGTAGGATGTTGTTTGTCATGGGAAAATATGATGAAGGAAAAGGAGAGAAGGAGTTAGAATGCACATGTTAAATGAAATCTTCATTTGTTATTGTAACATACCTTCTTTTTCTATCGGACTCCTCTAGCGAATGAAGAGTATGACATATCGACGCCAGTCTGCCCCGTCTCTTGTCATCACGAAGGCTCTCAACAGATCCAAGACACTCTCCAGGTATGGTAAAATACAAAAAGAGACAATCATAGATCATGTACATATTCATAAACAACAGTAACAGCTGTGTAAACTTACCTGGATTATAGCAGCCAAAATAACCAAAAAGTTACAATGAGTAGAAATGTGAATATTTAGCGAAATCCAGCGGACAGATATTAAACCGAAAGCCTCCTTACTCACCCTCAATGGTGGCCTTTGAGGACAAGAAGCTCCTGTGATGCATGAGAAGAATTGTCCTGCAAGTTTGTACCATCAAGAACTCTTGACTGTTCATGATCAAATGATCATCTTGACTTTGTCTGTTATGATCTTGAGTCAGTGATAGTGTTACCCCCGCTGAAATGATTACGCAGAGATTAAACGCCACACTGAATAACAAGTAAATGATCTTGACTTAAAGATGATGCAGTAATCCTCATGTGCTTCAGGCAGGGATCTTGCCTGACTTTAGCCGGCTTATTTAAAATAGTTATGTTCTCGATCAAATGATGACAACGATCTTGACTAATTGATACCTTTGTTTACTCAAATACATGCAAAAAAGGGATCTTGACTGAAGAATTACCACGTTATCGTGTCTTTACACACATGTTGTAGTCTTGACCAAATGATTACTGAAAAATCTTGACTACACGCTTATACTCTGACTCAGACCAAACAATCATCAATCTTGTTTTAACACTTAGGTTAAGATCTTGACCCGTTAATCAGTAGTCTTGATAGAATATTAATGTTGTGCTCTTGATTACATAATAACCTGTTAATCTTGACGATGTTGATGTCATGATCTTGACCAAATAACTAACTGGTGATTCTGACTTAACGCTAATGTTGCGATCTTGACGAAACTTAATGTTGTGATCTTGACCCAACAATAACTGGTTGATCATGACTTAATATTGGTGTTAAGATTTTAAAATGAAAAAAAACAACTCATGATCTTGACAAAACAATTATCAATCTTGACTTAACACTGACATAACGATCTTGACCAATTATTCGGCGATCTAAACCGAAAACTGATGTTGTGTTTTTGACCAATCAGAAACCATATTCTTTTTGCTGTGGTAACCAAAACACTACCCAGTGACTTAGTCTTCAAAATTATGTTTCAATCTTGACTTATCAATTATCAATCTTGACCGAAAACTCAAGTTGTGATCTTGACTAATTATTAATGTTGTGTTCTTGAATACATAATCTCTTGATCATGACTAAGTGCAGGTAAAAATGTGCGTTGTCTTTATTTAAATCCATGTAACAGTAGAAAATAATCCACGCAAGATCCCCACTGGGGTAGTCTGTTCAGTTTGTTTGGGGCTATAGATTGAACTTGTTGATAAAAACGCCATGTGACTGCTGTGACTTAAGGAGAAAGAACAATCAGCAGAGAGAGCGTTTGTGGCCGTGATCACGTCAGGAGGGTAACTGCAGGTGCTGGTTGATGTTCAGGGTCAACACAAGTTCCAACAGCGTTATCTAAGGTTCTTGGAAACAGTCTTCCATATTCCATCTCTCTTACATAGTGGCACCTAGGGTCAAGTAGCTCTAATAAAACCCTGAAACCACACTCCAACACACGGGAACGCACGCACTCACACATTCGCATGCCTCTCGCACAACCCCGACTGAGGTGTTGGATCCACTCAGGTAGATAATCCTCCTGTAACACGGCTTTCCAGAGGATCAGGCATCTACTAATAGCCCTGCCTTTGAACATATTGAGTGGGTAGTGGAGAAGAAATAACCTCATTAAAGAGATCCTGCAAAGGTGGGACCCACCTGGACCGCTGACAGTGTTTGTGTCCCTGTTTGTACGATACACTTAATAACCTAAGAGTGACCACGTGTACTCTGGACAACTTGGGAGTGACTAATCAAATCATATTCCTTCTGGATGAATGAATAATGATCTTAATTTGAGTGTAAGGACTTTCGCTTAAAATACAGTGTATTTAAAGGGACAATAGGGATTTTTTCATTCAGTCAAAATTCTATCCAGAGGCTTAGACTGTAGTTTTTGTAGCAATATTTGAGGACCTAATTTTTACCCACCAAGCCCTCTGCAGCTTTTCCTTTTCATAGGCAGAAACCACGAGCAGAACCAAACTCTTCCCGTAGCAAGATGAGCCCACTTAAGAATCGAATTTGAAGTTTCTCTAACCCATACCTCACCCAACCCCCAAACTGGTCAGCTAAGAACCATTACATAACACAATTTACATAACGACGAGCGTGGGAATCCTTTTTATCTTTCATTAGCTTCAATTCGATTCCAACTTGATGTATGTTGGAATCGAAAAGAAGGAGAGACACAGATCTTAACTAAATAATCGAATGAAAGGAGGTCAAACTGAGACTTTTCTGTTTACAGTTGGACGTCAGCAACAAACATGTCCTCTGAAAACCTCAGACATCTCCTTATAAGATTGAAAGGTTTCACCCGATGACTACATAGCCGCTTAGCATCAACGGCCAGTCACGCCTGATCAAAGGCAAGCTACAGTATCCTCCTAATTAAAGGCTCGTTAAAACAGCATGAATGTATTGTGGTACCAATACATTGAAATATACAAAAAAGAACAAACAAAAAAACAACTTAATATCCTAAAATGAAGAAGTATCCAGTGGAGGGAGGTGAGGATGGTTGTAAGAAGCTGTAACGTCCCTGTGCAGGTGAAAACAAAAATGAAAAACCAAATTAAAGGAACTTTTGGTTAGTATCAGTTTTGGTGCCCCCTGTGGACAAAGCAGTAGTGCCTTTCCAAAGCATAATATCATCCAGCAGACAGTTAAAGGTGATCTATGTTATTTAATGTGAATATTTTATGTGTAATTTGAAAAAACAGGGGTGTTCCCTTCATTGCTTATCCCCTTAAACCAACTTCAGATGTTAAAAGAACCATCTAAAAATGATCAATCTTGATGCTCTTGGTTGCTTTCTGATACCAGGGACCGGCGGCACTATGAAATTCAGTCTCTCGTAAATGTAAAAAAATATCCTTCTAGGAGCTTAAATCTCTTTGTCTATTTTAAAATCAACATTATTTTGAACACCAAGATTAGAGAATATGGGTTTGACACAAGTTTGCAGGGACCCGAGTCTGGAATCACAGAGTCCAAACATGATGACTTCAGCCTTTTTTTACACAGAGTTTAAATGACCCAATGTTGTCCATTTCCTCAGAGCTGTCCAATAAGGGTTTCAGGGAGCTTTTATCTTCTTTTCCAGGGACAGGTACACTTATGTATCGTCTGCATACAAAAGGTAAGAGACACCAGGTTTCTTAAAAATGAAACCTAGGGAGAAAAAGTTCAATGCAAACTGTATGAGTCTGAGAACTGAACCTTGGGGTACCCCACACGATAGGGAGATGAGTTTGACAACAAAATACATGTTAGAGAAAAAAATTCTGTAACATGTTTTGGTTGTTGCAGTTCCTAGCATGTTGATTTTGTGCACATGTCTTTTTTAGACTAGTTTTACGCAACGATGACTCCTGCGAACACACCGTGAAAAAAGTAACAGCAGGTGTTACTTTGAACCGCTTCTCTTAGGTTCATGGCACTTTTGGCACCTGTAGCAGTAGTGTGCATACGACGTCTGATAAAATTCCTCCCTTCCTTCAAAAATATCACTTTAATGTGAGTATTTGTGTGGGAAAAAAAAGCTTTTTTTATCAGCTTGCTGTCAAACATCTCGTCATCCACCCCATGGAATATTTTGAGTGGCTTGTCTTATGTTGTTGTAACGGCGGTAAAACAGGATGTTTTCAAGTCTATGTTGTTGCATTTCAGAGATAACTTTGTGATCCCTGTGGTCCCTGAGTCCTGCCCGCTGGTCCAGTCCTTCCTCACCGTCCCCGGCAGGTCGTTTCTCCTTCACGGACACGCTCAGTTGAAAACAGGCATGCAAACCCAGGAGAGACACCTGTTCCTGTTCAGCGACATCCTCGTGATTGCCAAGGCCAAGTAAGCACAAGCTTGTATTTTTATCTCGGAGAGCGGCAGTTACGGACGTTTTGGCTTTCTCTCATTTCCCGCCGTGATCCATGGGGTTAATACCTTTGTGTATGATTAAAAGAAGTGCGTGTGTATGTGTTTGTATCTCAGGTCAGCCAACCACTTCAAACAGAAGGCTCAGGTGCGTGTGTGTGAGATGTGGCTAGCGAGCTGTTTGGAGGAGGTGTGTGAGGGGAGCACGTTCCCGGAGAGGAGCTTCGTGATGGGCTGGCCCACCTGCAACTGCGTCGCTTTGTTTAGGTACCCACACACTTTCCACAAGATATAAACTTCCTGGAACTTTTGTGTTAAAACAGTCTCAAAATGGGTTAGGTTGAGGTGAGGCAGAAGTTCATGCCAACACAAGCTCTTTTCAGTAACCCTAAAACTTTTTTGCAGTTAATCTGCTGGAGCTGCTGTAAACTTGACCTTAAATACCACACAAAGAGGAGACAGACAGGATAGGAAGCCTATTTACAGTCATACTGAATTGTTTAATTGGTGAATTCCAATTATCTAAGCTGCTTGGCCTGAAATCAAAATCCTGCCGGAACCTAATAAAACTTTTTAATGCTGATAAACCCTTTAAAAGATTAGAAATTACCCAAACTAAAGGTTGCCTACAAGGTTGAGAAAATGTGAGCGCTCTGTGTACTTCTTCTGAATTAAAGGCCATCTGAGGCCTCGAAGACAAACTTGTGGTCGAGTTGACCGATTATGATGATTATGATGATGATGTTTGACTATGTCCCTCTCTATGTTCCCACCAGTTCACCAGACCTGAAAGAGTGGTGGCTGTCCATCCTTAAAAGGTAAAATAGTGTGGTGTGTAATTGATATTGTATAGTGAGTGGGTGAATATGCATATTAGACTCAAAAAAAGTGAGCAAGAACTTGATGACAACCCTGAGGTACATTATGTGATCACGAAGGAGTTCTAATTTGCGTTATAACACTAGACAATCCATGACTGGTATCAGCCAATAATGACAGTCTTGCTCCTTTGTATCCTGTTATCGATGGTTGAGCTGCCCAGGCTACTCTGTGTCCTTTTACTGTCATTACTTTCCATCTTAGCTGAGTATTAAGTATCAAATCCAACTAGGTTACCGTTCAGAAAGCTGTTGTGTGACTAAGGGAGGAATTCAACTGGCCTGTTTCTCCTCTTCTGTCTCATCTTAGTCGGATAAAAGAAGAGAAGGAAAAGGAGGAACCTAAAACAATCCCACTCAGAGTGTACGGGAAGGGAATCAATACTTATGCCGTTGTGAGTTCATTTCGACTTTCACCTTTTTCAGCTTTTTCCTTAATCAAATGTCATCATCATTTATTTTTTTTTAACTTCTGCTGCTTCCTCTTCACAATCAGACCAAGATGCTTCCTGTCAGCACCTCCGATTCGACCAATGAGGTGATTCGACTGGCTCTGCAGCAGTTTGGCATCATTGTAAGTAAAGAAAGAGAAGTTTACATGTCTCCATTAAAGTTTCTCATAACTTATTTTCCTCAGTGGACTAAGAGTGTTGGTTTTTTATTGATTAAACACAGCTATAACAGAAAGATAACAGTACTGTTTGCCACTCTGGTTTCCTAAAATGTATTTGTGTGTCTCTTTAGGGAAATGTGAAAGACTACCAGTTGTGGGTCATCTCCAAGAGGGACAACAGCCTCTACCCTCTCATAGGTCAGTGACTTCGGATGTTGTTGTTGTTGTTGTAGTATGGCATGATCTTTCTTTTTCCATCCTTTGGGGGAGGGGGGCATGACAGAAAATATTCGCTCTAAGCTCTGACACACGAGTGAGGAGGTTTTTTTAGACACAGTAGAACCATTCATGGTGCTCCTGCGGTGAAGACGTGAGGGGCTCACAGCTTCTCTCCTCTGTTTCAGGTCATGAGTTTCCCTTCAGTATCCAGATGAGTCATGTGAGACACACCATGGCTCTGGGAGGCAGCAGAGATACGCCGGCATCGCCTGCGGACAGGCAGCGGGCCATGCAGGTGGAGCAGATGCAAGTGTACAAACAGTGCCAGTTCATCCTGAAGCCTCGGCCCGGTGAAACACTGCAGACATCTGCAGGTTCGATTGTCTTCAGATTAATCTTTTTCGACAGACTCGACGGTTGAAATTATATGCTAATGCACTCTCCGATTCTCTCATTTCAGATGTGGGTAAAAAGTCCTTTAAAAGGCGGCGATCCCTGATCACCTGGGCCTTTTGGCGAGGCTCCTCCTACAGCATGAACGAGATGTCGGACACAGCTCACGGTCGCCTGTTCTGCCAGCCACTTAACCTTATTTGTGTTGACGGCACTCCGCCAAAGCCTATCATGGTAAGTGGGTACACTGAGAGCTACCTTATAATTAAAGGGATATACCGGCGTGAAATTAATTGAGGGTCAAACACACTGTAACACCGAGTTAGACACCCCCTTGAGAGGTGAATGTTGCTGACCGCTTGCTTCTCTAGTTATACCAACTTTAGTAACGACCGCACGATAGCAATACACGGCGGTCTGAGGAGCCGTAAACAAACCTCAACCAAAACGCCACTCTATAGCCACAAATAATGCTCAGAACAGCACCTAACTTCATCAACAGTACATATAGGGTCCCAGCCATAGTACTAGCTTCCAAACATCTTTTTAACTTTGCCTAATTTCTTTAGCAAAGAGACTAAACACAACTCACCTACTCTCTTCCAGCAGCCGCTTGTTTGTGGCAAGACCTCAGGCCAGTCCATTACGGACTGCTGCGGGGTGCCGCAGCTCAAGGAAGAACATTTATGATCATTTCTTCATGGAAATGCAATCAGACGCTAAGGCAGAAGAACTACCGCGTCTGAAGTGCAAAATGATTAATATAGTGATTATTACTTCAAGGAAATGATAAAGGAATTAGAAAAGCACTCGGAGAGCGCAGACCTCCGCCAAGCAGCTCATGTCCCCCCTTATATTGTGATTCACACCAAAACTTTTACTGTTACGTGTCTTTTATTAACTTTTATTTGTGTTTAAACTGGTATGTTCACTGTTCATAATGTTCCTAAAACAAGAAATGCCCTGACCCGGATTCGAACCCAGAACCTTCTTACTGTGAGGCGACAGTGCTAACCACTACACCACTGTGCCGCCCATTGGTTATCTTTCAGCACTGAAAATTCCAACGACACCCTTATTTTTGTGTGTTCTGGATCACAGTATCCAGAATTTTGTCTGGATCAGGATCAACCTTTGACACCTCATAAAACTCATTGAGATCCTTTTGTGTAATTTTTTACGAAAGACTGGCCATTTTTATAGAGTTAAATGCAAAAATTCCAAAATTTTCCCTATCTCACAATGATAAAGAATCCTTCAAAAAATTCCTGGATCCAGAAGGCGATCCGGATCACCACCAAAATGTAATGGGATCCTACTGGGGCTGAGATGCACCTCTGGTGAAAATTTCAGGTCAATCCTTCTGTTACTTTCTCCGTAAAGTTGCTAACAGATTAACAAACAAACAAACAAACAAACCAACAAACCAACACTACCGAAGACATAACCTCCTTGGCAGAGGTAATGATCATAAATGTTCTTCCATGAGCACCCCGCAGCAGTCCGTAATGGACTGGCCCGAGGTCTTGCTACAAACAAGCAGCTGCTGGAAGAGAGTAGGTGAGTTGTGTTTAGTCTCTTTGCTAAAGAAATTAGGCAAAGTAAAAAGACGTTTGGTGGCTAGAACTACAGCTGGGACCCTCTATGTCCTGTTGATGAAGTTAGGTGCTGTTCTGAGCATTATTTGTGACTATAGAGTGGCGTTTTGGTTGTGGTTTGTTTATGGCTCCTCAGACCGCTGTGTACTGCTATCCTGCTTTCCTTACTAAAGTTGGTGTAAGTAGAGAGGCAAGTGGTTGGCAACATTCATCTCTCGAGGAGGTGTCTAACTCGGTGTTACGGTGTGTTTGACTCCAAATAATTTTACGCCGGAATATCCCTTTAAGGAAATCTGGTGCCGGGAGCTAAATGCTAATATCAACATGCTAAAATGCTCACAGGAGCCTTCTTACATAATCAAATTTATAGCCTTGTTAAGCATCTAAGCATGAGTATGTTTACTAATCAACAGAAGCGGATAGGATGAGATTATGTTCAGACATATCCCAGGTTAATCGAGGTCATCTTCAGGGCAGCATGAATGATGACAAGGGTGCAATTCAAAATGTTCCCTGTGGTCAAATGGATCTCACTAATAACTAATTGAAAAGCTGCAGAACTATAGAGGCATCAACATGCAGAGCAGACCTGCCAAAATGATCCCTGCAGACAGACTGTCATTCACAGTGAGCCTCAAACTGCTAAATGTGGGAAATGCTGCGACAAAATCATGCCCAGTTTTCTACATACTTGGTCTTGTTTTGGTAATCTGGGGTAGTCTAGATCCCCATCTTTTGTCTGCGCACACAAATAAATGCACACATACTGTCGCCCTTCTCCAGGACATGCTGGTGTTTCTGTACCACGAGGGCTCATGCACCCGGGGGATCTTCCGTCGCCCGGCCGGAGCTCGGGCTGTCAGGGAGCTGCGAGACTCTCTGGATTTGGGGGTTTTTCAGCTCCCTCTGACGAAAGATAATGTCTTCATCATCGCGGGAGTCTTTAAAGTGAGACTACAGCTGTGGTTGTTGAACACTGATTAATTTGCCTCCTTTCTTGTGTGTGTCATGCAACTATGGGAGACCAGTGGGCCTTGAGATTAATTTAGTAATGCAATCTAGATTATAATCCTTTATTATTTTAAAGGGATAACAGAGAGGCTCTGTGCATGAGAGCTTCAACTGGGACAGCAGAGGTTTCCTCTTTGTGTTTCGTCTTGATTAGTCATATATTAATTAACCTAAGGGTGCATGTTTTCAGGATTTCCTGCGCAGCATCCCGGGTAGCTTGCTGTGCTGTGAGCTGCATGAAGAATGGATGGATGTGTTGGAGGAAGATGAAGAAGAAGAGGAGCAAGTGCAGGATGTTCAAAGGTAGGAAGTAGATACACTTCAGGCTCTTTATGTGATGAGACCTGTCAGGTATTTACAGCCACGGAAAGGTGTAACTGTAGACCTGTTTTTTTCTTTCTTGTACAGGATGGTTCTTCGCCTCCCAAGAGAAAACACCATCTTGCTACGCTACCTGTTGGCTATGCTGCACGGTATCCAAGGCAATGCCCAGGAGAACCAGATGACCAGTTTCAACCTATCAGTGTGCATCGCTCCCAGCCTTCTGTGGCCGCCTGGTGTGCCTTGTAGCCCCGAGGTGGAGGGGGAAGGAACCAAAAAGGTCAAGAAAGGAACTTGCTGATCTTTGTTGAATATTTTCTAAGTGAGCGAATAGAAAAGAACTAAACGCAGGCAAAATCTGAGAACTTTTAATCAAGAGAAATCTGGTTAGAAAAAATCCTTGGACAAAGCATTAGCAAGAATGCTTTGGATAAAAGCTCCTGTAAGTAACCACGGACAAATCAGTCTTTGCTAATCTGGTCCTCTACATGCTTCAGACAATGACTCTCAGCCTGTAAGAGCAGATCAGTGAGAGCAGTAAGTGTTTCAAGTCTAATTGGACACAGGTGCTGCCATGTATTTTAAAAGGCAATGCTAAAAAAAAGAAGAAGAATTTCGTATGTCTTAAGTTTTTTCGCCCAAAAAAGAAGCAGTCATCAAAATTACCAAGGTACCATGTGCTTTGTCTGAACATAAATTCCCAGAAGTAGAGCAGGACATTGCAAGTCAACTGGAAGAGTCAACGGTGGAGAATGGTCTAGCTGAGTGCAAAGTGTTGTGGCCTTACCTTTCTTTGTAAGTTGAGAGGGACTCTGTGGATCACATGGAGTTGGCCAATTCATTCCACCATTTCCTAACAACAGAAGACAAGAGTTTGGAGAGTGAGTCGGCCGGAACCAGGTGTCTGTCAAGGCTTGGACATTGTAGTCAAAAGAATTAGTTAATATTGCTTTGTTTGTTACCTGCAGACTGGCAGTTCCACAGGTAGTTGATGTGGTTAGCACTGTCTGCTGCTGGTACCTGTTTCTTGGAGGTGACACTGGTGGTTAGTCAGTCAGTCAGTCAGTCAGTCAGTCAGTCAGTCAGTCAGTCAGTCGGTGGTCATTTTGGTTGGCCGTCCCGCATCCTGGCAACCTTGCTCAGGTTGACTTGCAGCTCTTTACCCATACGGTCTTAACAAATATGGGCTGACGCTCCAGCGCAGTGTGAGCAGGTGTGTGCAATCCGGTTGATTACCAGTGACATCCCACCACAGCTGATATCACTTGAGCAATCAATAGAGGGTGTGACACACCCCTATTGTCTCTCTTATTAATTAGAACCACAGTGACACTCCTCCTCCTCTGCTCAGTCAAATCAAGATGTCACAATGACTGAGTGGCTTTAATAAAGACTCTTGACCAATGTTTACCACAGTCACTCTTTCTCTCTGTAACCTAAGCCAGTCCTGCTGTAATAATGATGCTCTCTTGAACTCTAACTGGAAAAGGTGACAAATAAAACATTGTAACACCAGCTGCTGCTCAGAAATGATGTTCTGTAAATGTGAAGAATACAGCCTTGAAAATTGCAACTTTCCTGTCAGCTGATAAAATGCTCCAAATAAGAAATATTTCGGGGCACTGCTGGAATATGTAGAAACTTTGTTTTCTTCCTCCTCTTTCTGCAGGTTTGTGATCTAGTAAAGTTTATGATTGACCACTGTCAGGGGATTCTGGGAGAAGATCCAATCTCACTGTTTGGAGGACCACCACAAAGAGTCAGCAGTGAAGAGATGGGATCAGGTACTGACACGACACAAACTGCAGTTTGAAAGCTTTACATAGGGCAACTTTTGGGCAGCAGTAGCTCAGGAGGTAGAGCAGTTGACCCATAACTGGAAGGTTGGTGGTCCGATTCCTCCCTATTCCTAGTCTGTCTGTTAGGCAAGGAAAGACACTAAACCCACTTTCCTCCCAGTGTGTGTGTGTCTTCCACTGGTGTTTCAAATTAAATTTTATTATATGGCGCCAAATCACAACAGTCATTATCCCAAGACGCTTTCCCCAGCAAAGAGCAGGTCTAGACCACGCTCATTGTTTGATGAATTACCTTAAGATGGGACAGATTTGACCCATCTCATCTAACACGAGTGACAGTGGCAAGGAAAAACTTCCATTTAACAGGCAGAAACCTTGGTAAGGACCAGACTCATGTTAGACAGCCACCAGGCTGAGTTGGGGAGAAATACGGAGACATAGGAAGGGAGAGAGAGAGAAAAAGGGAGTAGGAAGGAGAGAGAGAACAAGCAAGGATAAGGGAGGGAGAGAGCAGTTTGTTCAGAGGTCATAATCATGTTTTCTTTCTCTTCTCATCCCTGGACCCTCAGACTCTTGGCTCTACCCTCTGACCGACTCCTCCTACGACAGTCTGGAGAACGATCTGGACAACAGCAGCAGTAGTTCTCCCAGCTTATTCAGCCGAGGCGCCCTGAAACCACACCAGTTTCAAGGCAGCCTGGACTCCATCTTGACATTCAGCGACTGCGACCAAGATGCAGAGCTGGATACGCAACACAAGCTACACCCACCAGAAGAAACCAGAACTCTAACACAAGGACCAGAACTCTCCTGTCCCATCAACAACACTCCAACCGTGAGCACCACCACCAACCTGGAGTGGCTGTCCCTGGATCCTCGGCATGGGCAGCGGCGGCGGCGATGCTCGGAACCGGCTATCGCCTACATGGCCAAGTACCACCCAAGCGGTGGTGCTCTCACTGGAGAGGATGAAGAAGACGAAGACAAAGAGGTGTTTTCCAGTAAACAAAGTAGCCAAACGCTCACTCCACCTACAGATGAGACCAGAAGTGGTCGAAGAGAGTCTGGACATGGTCTACAGCCAGCACCCACCAGTTCCCCTCTTAGTGATGAACCCACCAAGGTGACCACACAAGGGGGATCAACTACACAGACACCCTCCAATCCTTCTACAGTCCCCTTTACAACATTCAGCCCGAGGTCCGCTCCCCCCCTAGACCGAGGGACAAGTCAGAAGGCCTCACCGCCGAAAGAAGCGCCAAACTGGGGCGCCTTGAAAGACAGCTGCAGCCTCCACCCAAACTCCTGGCTGAAGAAAAGCAGGAGGCTGTCCCGCAGTCAGCAGGACAACCTGGAGAAGGAAGAGGACGCGAGTGGGGTGAGTCTGGATTACAGCAGGAACACAGACCGTCCCTTACCCTGGATTTTACAATCCTTAGCTTATTTAAGAAAACTGCTCCAACTGTCAGGTCCTGCTCACCACTCACAGGCTTGCCTCTTCTAATAAAAAGTATTTTCGATCATAAGAGTCGTTCTAATTGCTTCCCTCTTTGGTTCTTTTCAAGGCCAGTGGTTCAAGGACTGTGGCCTCAGTATGGGGCAAGCAAATTTTACGGTGAGCCAAGTTTTACAGCTTATTTAGACAGAAAAGGTCAGAGTACTCAAGATCCTTTAACGCTTTGCTCCATCAGAAGCAGTTGGAAAAAAACAAAGCTTCTGATGTGAGATGATGCCCCTCCTTGGGTTGTTTAGTTAGTGGCTCTCTGTCCAGGACTTTTAACCCAAGCCCAATCTGGATTTTGGACTCAAGTCCAGAGAGGACACTTTATCTGCTTCTGGTCAACTTTGCTTAAGGTTAAGAAGTGAGTCCATCTCACTTTGACCCAGTAGACCCTCTGAGGACTGGCCTTTTTTTTGTCATACTTATTATGACAGAGGAAGTTGAAGAAATAGCTGCTTACTTGTCGTGTTCTTCTCAATACCAAAGAGGTGTGTTTGTTTCAATTCGCAGGAAGGACGCAGTGAGCCGCTCCACCTTGGTACACCACCCCGAGAGGAAGGAAAAGCATCCGAAAGTGGAGGAGGAATACTGAACTCCAGCTGTCAACCAACCATTAAAACCACCTGCAGAGCCTTAAAAGACGCAAGAGGAAGAGGAAGGGGACATGTAAAGGGACAGTCCGCACAGCTTAAACAGAACTCATTCAGCCCCCCTTCGCATCACCGCTCCACAGGTAGTCTACATTTCCCCTTATCCCCCTGGTTACACTCCACGGACTCCAGGAAGGATGTCCAGCAGGTTGGCGACAGTGATGTCAGCGATGGAGGAGTCACGGACCAAGGGATTGTGTGGAAGCCAGGGTCGCCATATTTGTCTCACAAGAAAAGTAGATCATCTCTATCTGTTCCAAAGGAACACAAGTCCCACTCCGTTGAAGAGGAGTGCGACACCAGGCACCAGCGCAGGGTGTCAGAACCAGGGAGGCAGGTCATGGATCGGGCCTTCCAGAGGGAGCGTCTGCCCAGCGACCCGGGACTGAAAGTGACCGATGTGGACTGGCAGGGGGAGACGTCAGAAGCCCGGTTCTGCCTCACCCCTTACGCCACTAGAGCAGTTAAGGAGTACTTCTCCTCTCACCAGGGGAGTAACCCTCAGAGCAGCCAGCAGGTGGCGCTCGCCCTAGTGGAGAGCCGCAGGGAGTGGGTGAAGAGATGCAGCGACGCCACAGCAGAACCAGACTTTGACCAGCTTCTGTTTGCTGAAGAATCCTACGTGTGATTAATCACTTACTTACCTACTCTGAGAACTAGAAGATAGTTAATGTACTTGCCAACTTCAGAATAAATCGCTGTTGCGTGTTTCAGCTGTAAGGTCCTTACACACCGTGGCCGATGCGAATATAGAACGCGAAATTACGAAATATGAATTTTGACGTGCCTGACTATACACATCAAGCCCAATGCGATTGTGCGACTTTCCGGGGGGAAAAGACACATCCCAGAGAAGACTTTTGCCGGGGAAAGTCCTGCCTCCTTCGCCTTTGATTGGCTAGAAAAGCTGGAAACGTCATCACACACTCAAGCCAAATGGTCAGCACTTACTGCCAATCAGCGGCAATAAGATAAGCACATGAAACAACCGTTAGCTTACATTAGCACCGATGAAAGTTAAAACAAAGACGTTTGGCAAACCCTTAAAGCACACAAACCATCGTCATATGAGAAATCCGACGCTATGACTCTCCACAAGTTGTCCTTCAGGTCTTTATCTTTGTAATGTTTGTGTCTTTTATCAAAAATCACTCTGTTCTCCGACACGTAAACAATCAGCCGGTCGGCCATGTTGGATATACCGGTGAATCTGACGCCGCAACAACACGCAATCTAATTGGTCAGAAGTGGACACACAGTATGCGAAACTTTAAAAAAATCAACCGTGATCCAAAAAAATAGATGCAGCAATATCACAGGACGGGAAAACGTCGCTGATGTGAACGCTTGTATTGACAGGATACGGGTTTGAAAAGAACATATTGACGTCCAAAATAATTGCGCGACAAAAACACTCCCGGTGTGTAAGGACCTTAACTCTTAAATTGTGAGACAAACTTGCCTGAGTGTAGACGTGACATTGAATTATTAGGCTCTAACACAACAAAAAAAGAAAAAAAAAAAAAAACTGACACTGCCATCAAGGGATTTTATTCAAGCTTTCGCTTCAATATCCTCAAGGCTGGATTTACACATACAGACTGAATACACTGCTGATAGCTAAATTAAGCTAAATGCAGCTAACTGCGCTCTGCAAGCAAAGGAACCCCCATAAAACACCCTCCTCTTCAACAGAATTACTTGTTTTTCTATAAAGGGGTTTCTAATTAGCTTCTTGGTTACATTAAGGCTAAGAGCTCAACACTATAATGTCCAATCAAGGGCGCAGTCCATTTGGCTCACAGGTAGGAACATTACAGCTGCCAGCCAGGCGAAAAAGGCTAATTGCTAGTTTGCTGATTAGCTGAGTTAGCACGGCCAGGAAGGCGGCAGCAGCAGCGGCCATCTCTTCACTTCATAACTTATTAGGTAGGACACAACCTCAGATTTGGTAACAGTAAAGCCTTAAACAGAGTATTTAGAAACTGAATTAGCATAACAGAGTTTTTGCTTCGCCTGTAGTGTAAATGCAGCCTGGGTGTGGTATGAACTTGCCAAGAACTGCACTTTGCTTTTTTATACAAATCATAATATACATAATCATTTCATAACCAGATTGCTTATATAACCATGATTATAGTTGTTGGGAATAACTTTGTAACTTCAGTTTAGGTAAACAATCTGTGGGTATAACTCGTAGGTGCCAACAATGTTGTTTCACTGAAGCCTGTACTGATGTTTATTAACCATGTGTGGTGTACCAGAGTTTCAAACATGTGAATACAACCTTCTGCAGGGATACATTCACAATCATGGAGCTTTACATTATAGGCAGCTCGACCCTTTCTTTGATTAGGCACAGGACTTTTGCTTTGTGATATTGTCTACGCCTCCTTTCTATGCGTATGAACGAGGATAATGCGCCTCTATAAATCTGTGTTTGAAAATAAAACCACCTTTGAGGACAAATATGACTGACACGGCTGGTTTATGTTTGCAGGGATATGATGTTTACGCCATTTTTCACTCTTAAAGGACATCAGTGCAACACGCTGTTAGAAAGGTGATTTTTTTTATTACATTCTTTTTCACTCTATACACAGATATATATGTGTGTGTTCTAGCTATGTACAATCACATAATGAAATTATAAGGTTACATGATGGGTTCAATCAAACAAACAATAGTAGGGGTTTACATAGAATAAAATAACAGGACCAGGGCATGTCAGCATCAGCTCAATGTTTAAGGCCTCGAGAGCTGTTAGTCGGTTCAGCTGCGGACCACTTTAACTGCATCACTCAGTGAATACAGCTGAATTTACACAGGGAGGAAAGGGTCTAACAGCACAGGAGGACCAGATCCTAAATGCAGAGTCAGTGCGAATCAGTCAGCGGTATAAAAGAAGTGAAAGATACTCCTTTGCTAGTCAAAGGCAGTGGTGACCGGTGGAGACTGAGCTTTTGAGCTGACTTTCTGAGGTGAAGATGGTTTTCTGAGTGGGATTCAATGAAACAGGAAAGATTACCAGTTAGCAGTAGCATGATGATAAAGGTCTGTCTTGGACGAGAGTTGATATCTTTGACACTTTGATTCCTCACAGCTACCAGAGGCTGCTGTCCTGTGCGCTGAAACATACAGTTAAACTTGTGATTTATCTTGAATTTCTCTAAAACTGATCGATTCAGAGAGTTGTGTATTCTCATGTCCTGGTTATCCAGATCTGGCTCTAGTTGGAACTGTGTTTTTGTTACTAATAAAAAATAAGGAGGAGCTGGTTCTGTGGCAGACGAGCAGATGCAGCAGCGCTGACAGAGTTCACACCTTCCATCGTCCCTGTACGCACTTATCATACCCGCAGTTCTGACAGGGCACAACCGCGCTGTCTGCAGCCGCGCAGTCCCAGTTAAGAGGAGCCGTCTTTGCTTTGTCTGATGTCTGCTACGCTCTCGGGGACGCGAGCCACGATGCCCTCGATTGACTTTGTCAGGCAGATCTGGCAACCCAGACGAGACCTGTGGGGAAATTAAAGCATCACATCTTCAGTTTTGTGTACTATCTCTGATACGTTCACATTGAATCAAGGTTTCACACATATGGGCTAAGATTTGTCGAAAGACTAAAATATTTTTTTGTCAAACTATAATTTGATCTTTGTATCATGTTATACTGTGAGATTTTAATCGAACTATACTGACATTTTGTCATACTACACTATGAAATTTTTATCATACTAAACTATGACATTTTTATCATACTAGACTGACATTTTATCATACTATTCTATCATATTTTATGATACTATACTATGACATTTTTATCATACTTAGCTGTGACAATTTTTCAAACTTTACTTTGACATTTTATTATACTTTCCAGTGATTTTTTTTATCATACTATTTTATGATAATTTTATCTTTCTTTACTGATATTTTTTATCATACTATTCAATGATATTTTTATCATACTATACTATGACATTTTATTATACTTTACCATGATTTTTTTATCATACTATACTATGACATTTCATCATACTTTACTATATTTTAATCATACTTTACTATGTTATTTTTATCATTCTATACAATGATATTTTTATGGTTCTATTCAATGATATTTTTATCATACAATACTATGACATTTTCTCATACTATACAATGACTATGCCATAGTAAAGTATGAAAAAAATATCCCAGTAAAGTATGATACAGTGTCATAGTATATGACATTTTATCATGTGATCCTGTGACATTTTTTAGTGCTATTCTATGATATTTTTATTAGACCATACTTCCATTTTTCTGATCCTTTAGCTCTTGAACGCTCCACTTCATACACCAGTATTCTGCTAGTTTTGCTTCTCCTCTATCCAGTCATAGCTTTTTCCTTTAACAGCTGTCTGCTGCTGCTTAAGGGCCTGTGTTGATTATTACCATTTCTCTGCCTGTTTCCATTTGAATCAACACACTCTGGCACATTCAAAAATATTGTCTATTGTCTATTCAAAAATATCATATCATTCAACTCCACTTCCCACTGTGTTATTTTAGAAATTTCAATGTGGGTCAAGTGTGACTGATCAGTTACAGTTTTGCAGCTTTTAAAGCAAAAATTACAGAAAAGAAGGCGGATGGTCAAAAGTACAATATATCATCTGTGCTTCATTTTCTGACATCATATTCATACTAACTCAATTTCATGTTCATAGAAGTTCCCTCTGCTGTTTATGAGGTTAGTGTAATGCTCATGCAGGAGGACAGGCTCTCTTGTATTTATCTCTTTGTCCTTCTCTGATTAACTGATCAGCTCTGACAAATCTGATTACATCCAGGTAACTAACTTATCAGCATAATACAGGATGTGACATCTCTGATGCTGTTGAGCCCGTTTGACAGAAAAATAAAACACTTCACTATCAGTGTTTGAATTAGAAAGCGTTTTGACGGGATTGTTTGGTTTTCGAGGTTTGTTATTCTGAGGTGAATCAATAAATGCGCGCGTTTGCGTCACTTACGTGTCAGTCAAGCCGTAAGCTAAGTCTAGCATGTCCATCTCCTCGTCTGTGACCGGCCCCAGCTTCTTGTAGACGTCCTCGTCGAAGATCAGATGGCATGTGGAGCACGCCAGGGTGCCCTCGCACGCTCCTGAAGATGACAGCACACAAACACAACTTTACCTGACAGATAAGGCTCCGCTCGGTTACAGGCGGGAAGCTATCAGTTTATCTCGTTGAAAGGGTTGCAGATTTGCATGAATGACAGAGTGTTTCTGGGTTAGCGTGAGCTCTCATACCAAAGCCATCAAAGTCGAGATCTTCATTAATGACGACATCTAGCAGCGAGTCTCCGGGCGAGCCCTTTACTGTGATCTTCTCTCCGTCTCTGTTGATGAAGTGGATTGTCACCTTGTTGTCTGACCTGAGACAAACACAAACAACAGAGTTAAAAAAAAAATCACAATTTTTTTTATTTGAAATGATCAGACATGCTTCTTTCATTCATACATTTAACATATAAAGCTTAACATAACAAACGGGGAATCTGGACCAGTCAATATTTGCATGGCAGGATTTTAACTCCCCTGGCTCATGCTGCCCTCTAGGGACCCAAACTAATCACTGCACACAGTTCAGCCGGATGAAGAAATGAGCTTGGAACATCTCTGAGTTTTATTTGTGAAACTGTGGTCCTATTCTTGTCTGATAAAGAACTTCAGCTGCTCCACAGTTTGAGGTCTCTTTTGACATGTTTTTGGTTTCATGATGTGCAAACAGGTCGGTGTAGACCTGGACTAGATGGTAGCATGTGCTGCTCTAAAACCTCTATTTATCATGTGGTCCCGCCTCTTTAGGGCTGCGAACGTGGTATCCATGGTTTCCAAAAAGAATGTCATATTTTCAGTCAGAGCACAGAAGAGTTTTCCACTTCTCCATCAGACTCACTCTGATCCATCTTTATCCACCATGACTGCATTCACACATGGTTTCTTGAATGCTGTGATGAACTAGCTTCGCAGGCAGTTAGGAACTGGAATTGATAAGATTTTGTCGATATCCATGCCATTATTGATTCCGCTTGTCGATTCAATTCTTTAACGATTCCCTAATCAATGCCTTTCTTTGATTTTCACCGTTAACTCAAAATTGTATTAAGTTCTGATAACAGTAGTCTAAAAATAATCAAACGACAAACTATCAGTACAGCGTTTACTTCAGTCGATATTAGGTCAAGAAAGAGGACATTACCAAGCAGAGTCGCGCGCAAAATTTCGAGGGTTTTTTGGGTCGGGTTGAGTGTTTTTGAGGCGCTTCTAACTCAGTAGGTCCAAGTCTGGCATGCACTGTGCTTATGTTAACACAGGACATACATGCTGAGACGGAGCAGCAGAAGAAAGGAATCATTAAGGGAATCGTTAAGATGAAACGAAAACGATGTCGATGGATTGAACCATTTGGTACCGGTTCTCGAGCTCATGCGGTGATTTGCACTCCAGAGTCACATCTGTTTTTGCTGCTTTTTGGTACCTTAAGATCACAGTTACTCCGATCTATGAAAACCCTGACTCTTTCAATGACGTTAACATACTATAGATGATAAAATGTGTTGGTCTTCTTTTCTTCTGGCACATCCTATGAGTCATTTTTCGCTCCAGAGAGTCGTTACTTCACATCAAAGTTCACATTTACTCTTTAAAACACATGCTGCCAGTGTTTTCCTGACACCTTTCAAAATTTTCTGACAATCCACATTTGTTCATTGTACATGGCTAAATCCTGGGTATATTCAGCCAATTAATCGTTACCTTTCAGCTCCAGGATAAACATTCTTCGTCTGCTTAGCCATGCTGGTGAAGTAACTGTTTCACTGCACGAAATCTTTAGGTGGATCTTTGATCGAAATGCTGCTTTTTTAGAAGTTTTTCTGCACTTTTGAATGTGAAACTGAGGCTTTTTAAATCGATTCAGATTCTTTGGAGCCTTGTCAAACAAGTGACTCTTGTTTACATACAAGGAACACAGAGTCCCTTTTTTAATCACCTTAGCCACACAACTACAACAAAGACCAATGATTTCTCTCGTAGATAATTCTGTACTATAAAAGAATGATCCAATATTGACTTTTGAGTACACACGATAGACAGGTGGTCTAAGCTGCACAAACACAGAACTACCAGGGTCTAAAACCTATGTAACCCTCATCTATAATGTACATAATGCACTCAGTGACCCTTGGAAATCTCCAGACCGGTCAGACCCCTATATAATCCGCTTACAAAATATGTCAATTATAAACCTTTCAACCGTACCCTCTCATGTACTGCATGACCCGTTAAGCCAAAAAACAGCCAAAGACCTGGAAACAGCCGCCTGAGATGTTGATGGCAGGAGCGGACTTCTATACATGGTTGTTATGCGAAGGTCGGGTCGAATGTTTGTGTGTTTAAGGCCGGCCCAGAATGTCAAACCCTCAACCTGGGTCAGGTTCTGACAAGTTGTTTGGCCATGGGACGGCCAGCCTTGATCGGAGCCTTGTACCGGGACAGATGGATGAATCACATCAGCCTTGTGTTTGTGGGGAGTTTCAGGCTCTGCTTTCAAGGTTCAAGAAAACAATCCAAATTCTGCAATTTTGGATTATCAGCATTTTCAATCCAGCCTAAACGCAACCCTGTTTCAACAAGCAAACAGCTGTCCCTGTGCTGTTTTGTTGACTCTAGATTGTGTATCTTGGAAGAATACACTCAATCCACAAATGTGACACTGGACAAGCAAGAGTGCAATTCAGCTGATCCTTTAAGCTTTGGGTGCTGATCTCAATGCTTTCTACCAACTAATTTTACTGTACAAGGGATCAGCTCTGGAAACAGGGAGCAACACAGAAAATTAGAGCTTTAAAAAGCGCGTTTTGCATAATATCAAGATGGCAACATCGTGAGCATGAGAAAAGACCCCTTCACAGCTCTTTCAACATGCTACAGAGCATGAGCAGAGGAGAAAGGTGATGCGCTATAATTAGGTGTTTTTTGAATGGGGTTTGGTGCACGGATCTGTCCTTACAAGACCGCAATCGAAGTAAAGGGCGTCGGGGTACAAAGTTTATCCAGAGGTGTATGAGTGCTCTCTATGTAAATCCACTTACCTAAGAGTCTGTGTGCCGGTGGTAAAACTCCTCTGACCGGTGAGCCAGGCACTCGGACCCACAGCCGCCGACCTCCGCGTGTATTCTCGTAGCCTCACGAGGGCGAGTCTTCTGAAAACGGTTACCAAAGCCATCTTAAGTTCGCACGAGTTAAAAGAAAAGAGGTGTCAAACTCTATCCGAGCTGCTGACCACACAAACAGACGTCCCTGAAGTTGTTTAGCCGAGCTAGCTCAACTAGCTTGTTTTATGTGCAAGAAGTCACTCTGTCACTGTCACGTTCATTGCGTAACATGTAACGTATAACAACTCTCTGCTGCACGAGGTTCCGAGTGATTTAGTTCATCGACGGGTGATAGTCAAGGCAAAAACAACTCATGAACAGCAAACACTATCAGCTGTAATCAAGGCACAGTAGTTTATGCGACCGAATAGCAAATGTGACGCTCCTCAGATGCGTTTCCTGGCAAAGCGAGCAACGTCAGAGCAGGCAGGATAACATCCGGTCAGGACTTCAAAAATAAGAGCACCGGCAACAAATGTTTCAACTTGACAGGTGCTGAGTATGGAGGCCGAGAACTGCCCCTGCTGCAAATAAAAAATGAATAAAAATAAATAAATAAATAAATAAAAAGAACGCCACTGCTGCAATAAATAAATAAATAAATAAATAAATAAATAAATAAAAAGAACGCCACTGCTGCAAATAAAAAGGAATGCAAAAAAAAAAAGAAACCACAACGGAAGTTACTGATGAAAAAAAAAAAGAAAAAAAGAAACTGAGGCCCGCTGCAAACAAAAAAAGACACAGTGCAGATACAAAAAAATGAATAGATAAATAAAAACACACACAACAGAAGTTAATGATACAAAAAAATAATAATACTTACGAAAATAAAAGGATGCAAATATAAAAAGCTGCATCGGAAGTGAGCTGCTGGGGACCATCCAGCAGCTGGCATATCATAGTTACTCCACATTAGAGACTATGACTACTATGGTGGCAGAGAACTGCCACTGCTGCAAATAAAAAAGAATGCAAAAGAAACGGTGCAGATTAAAAAAAAGCCTCAATGGCAGTTGATGATGCAAAAAAAAAAATGTGGTGTTGCAATTGTAAAAAAAAAGAAAAAAGTTACTTACTGTGAAAATAAAAGGATGCAAATAAAAAAAGCCACAACGGAAGTGAGCTGACCAAGAATGATGATGCACCGTTGTTTTATGATCTAGGCACGTAAGACAACAGCAAGAAGACGAGCAAAGAAGTTAGTGGAAAGGTTACTCTTTAATTTGGCTTTGTAAACTTTTCGATGTGTCATTTGGTAAGGCCATGTAGCATGAGTCGATATGAAGTTGAACTGGAAGATCCTGGTATAGTGTTAGCTTAGGCTAACATCCGTGCTTGCATCTGTGTTAGCTTAGGCTAACAATATACCGGGAAACCCACTACGCCCTGAAAGACCACCCAGGAGAGGAGAAACGAGTTTGGTAGCTCTACAGTACGGTTACTTTACTCATAGAAATAAGTATGCAGGCCCCTCGCTTTTTGTCATTATTGGTTCCCGGCAGCTCACTTCCGTTACACCTTTTTTATTTGCATCCTATTATTTTTTCTGTAAGTAACTTTTTTATTTTTTGCATCGACACTTTTTTTTTTTGCGTCATTATCTTCCGTTGTGGCTTTTTTTTAAAACAAAACTCTGCACCGTTTTTTTTTTTTTTTTGTTTTTTTTTGCATCGGTAACTTCTGTTGTAGCTTTTTTTTTTTTACATTCCTTTTTTTTTTTTTTTTTTGCAGCAGTGATGGTTCTCGGCCGCCGTACAACTCATTTCGAGGTCAACGAGGCGCTTTCACACATTGATATTACATTTGTGCTTTTATTTTGAAAATACAGCACCCGTCGCCAACTGAAGGAGAGTTGTGTCTGTACACGTGCTTGCGGAAGTTTGCCAATCAGAGTGTGAGAGAGTTCGTGCGCTCGTTTTGCCTCACGGGGTCAGTCGGCGTATTGAATAAGCGCCCTTTCCTCATCGGGACCCGTCACTTTAGGCAAAGTATCCCGCCTGCGGGGTAAACGAGTGAACGACCGAAACGCGCAAGTGTTGCTCAATAACATTTAAAGCCTTCAGTGGATTTTGGCGTCTTTTCTGCTTCAAAATCAATAGAAGAAGAACAACATTTGTTGAAAAAAAACAAGAATTTTAATTATGTAATATGAAAGAAACATTTATTTGGATAGAGAACATTCATTAAACGATCATAGTGGCGATATTTGACCCCAGGCATGAACAATTTCTCATTTTTTATGAGTTTTCCAATAGCAGTGGGGTGTTACTGCAAACACGCCAGGTGGAGCCAGAGATAAACAGTGGAGTAATTATTGAGTCTCTAATATAGACCACTGTGTCATTGCTGCAATAACTAAAACATTTACTAAAAGCATGTTAAAGAGCCACATTACTGCCATGATAATAGGAAACAGGGGTCCTAAATCCTTTTAAAGGTTTCTCTAAGTCTGCAGCACTGACAGGATGAAAGAAAAGTATAGATTTAATTATACAGTAATTTAAGCTGCCATTTAGTGACTGCCACAGTCTTCTCCACCCTCTGGCATTGTTAGGAAATTTGATCGAGCTACCCTCGATTGAACCAAGTGCCATTCACCCCTTACATATTTACAAAACCCAGAAAACCGAAAGAGTTCAGTATTACATGACATGAAAACTGTCCATTTTGTGTGATCACATCTTCACATCAAAGGTCGACTGCTGACAGTTTGTACTTTATTATCTGCTGTTGCATTCAAACCCCTGTCAGACATGACCTAAAGGGCAAAGTACGAAGAATACTCCATATTAATCAATAATCCCATTATGGGTTTATGACCGAGTGGGTCGCATATTAATGGGCAGCTGTTTGTTTCAAAGTGGCTCAGTGTTCATTGCTGTTGTCTCAGGTAAGCGACTCAAGCTGACACACCTCTATGCATCAAGTGTAACCAGACTGAGCAGACTCTTATAAAGCACAGGGAGTGGAGAGGAAGACACAACAGCTTCGGTATAATAAGACGACAGTGATAACTTGATCTGTTTGTTCTAGTGTTCGCAGGATGCTCATGCTTGTGCTGCTGTTCCTGACACTGTCAGGTAAGTCACTTCTTTTGTTAATTTTACTTGAAGACTCCAAAATCAGGCAACTGGACTGTGTAGAGTTGAGAAGATGTTCTAAGAATATCCAAGAAGCTTCTTCAGTTCTTCTTGGATAAGAGGCGAAACGTCTTCTCAACTCTCCACAGTCCAGTTGCCTGATTTTGGAGTCTTCAAGAAAACCATGACCTGGATGAATGAGAATCTACATGGACATTTTGTTAATTCATTTTGTTAATTTTAGTTTTTTTCCCCCCTTGAAATTTATTCAAGAACATAATTCTTGTTTAATGACTTCAATAAAATATGAATATATCTATATTGTGACCTATGAAATTATTTGATTTGCAGATGATGTGATTCTCTGCATTTGTGTTTTTCTTTTCATCAAAATCTATCAAGTTTAAAATTTTGAATGTTGAATCCCATGTCCTGTATGTACTGTGTAGTACTAAAGTGGCGCCCATGGTTTCCAAAAAGAACGTCAAACCTTGACACAGTAAATGGGCTCAGGTTTAGAGCAGCAGTTCAGGATAATTTTCAAGAGTTTTCTATTTGTAAGGTGCGGTTTTAACCTACATATGTAGATGCAGAGAATACTTGAATAGTTAGTTCTGAATAGTTTCAGAAGTAATTATAAATAAGGGGCCGTTTAAGGTACAGGAATGCTGATTAAGCTAATTTGGTTAACTTGGCCATGTCATACTAAACTGCGGCTCTGTTGCTCACCATCATAAATAGTTCAAAGCAGTGTTGTAATCAGAGCATCTCTCTGAACTCTGCTGAAATGAGACTTTGGACACCGTGGATTTATCCCACTGTAAGTAAAAAGCTTTGGCCGACATCCTACTCTCGCCTAATGGTTAATAATTGATATAAAAGGCCAAACTGTTATGTTTCTGTCAAAGGAGTTTGTTTAACCAGCAATGACGTATTAGGCTGTATGATCCTCATTGTGACCCTTGACACCCTTCACAGGTCTCCAGGCTGCCCCAATCGCAGGCCCTAAAAGTTTGCAGAGGATTTCTCCAACCTACAGGCTGCCTGATGGCTTTCGACAGGGCACTGAACACTCTGGCATCCGTATGCCTATGCCTGAAGACTTTCGACAAGGCACTGAGCCCTCCAGGAGATTCATCGTTAACCTCAAGACCGGCCTAGTGCAGGATGACATCAGTGAGATGGGGAGAAGAGTGGGTAAGAATATAAGCAAAGCTAATCAAGATCAACACGTGAACCCATTTTGGTGTCTTACTTAAACCCAGTTTCTTTTCTAGATTTCATTCCTCCTAAAGGAAATGGATTTGGAGAGATGAAGAGAAGACACTGGCCACTTGAAGAGGGTGAGCGACCTAAAGGCAGAGCTAAGTGCAGCGCTTGGTGTCTGATCTAGAAGAGCAACACCTCAGTGCTTCACATTTGAGCAAAAAGTAAAGCCATAGGTTCTTGACTGAAGAATCTAACAATTGTATGTCTTCTAGTCCCTGAAGATGTTCCAGCCCAGAGAAGTGGCAATGGTTGGGTCCGTGTCAAAGAACCCTCTGCGTTTCGTCTGCCTGATGGATTTAGACAAGGAACTGAACCAGTAAAGACAATCCCAGAAGGTTTCAGACAGGGAACAGAACCCATAAAGACCATTCCAGATGGTTTTAGACAGGGAACAGAACCCATTAAGACAATCCCAGATGGCTTTAGACAGGGAACAGAACCCATGATCCCCGCCTCAGGTGCTCTTATGCAAGAAGCCAAGCCAGCAATGTCCATCCCAGCTGGTTTCAGACAGGGAACTGAACCTGTTCGTAACATCCCAGAGGGTTTCAGACAGGGAACAGAACCTATCAAGACAATCCCAGAGGGTTTCAGACAGGGAACAGAACCTATCAAGACAATCCCAGAGGGTTTCAGACAGGGAACGGAACCCATTAAGACAATCCCAGATGGTTTTAGACAGGGAACAGAACCCATGATCCCCGCCTCAGGTGCTCTTATGCTAGAAGCCAATCCAGCAATGTCCATCCCAGCTGGTTTTAGACAGGGAACAGAACCTATCAAGACCATCCCAGAAGGTTTCAGACAGGGAACAGAACCCATTAAAACCATCCCAGATGGTTTTAGACAGGGAACAGAACCCATGATCCCCGCCTCAGTTGCTCTTATGCTAGAAGCCAATCCAGCAATGTCCATCCCAGCTGGTTTCAGACAGGGAACAGAACCCATTAAGACCATCCCAGAAGGTTTCAGACAGGGAACAGAACCCATTAAGACAATCCCAGATGGATTTAGACAGGGAACAGAACCCATTAACCTCAAGGCACCAGACAAAGACAGTTGCATGCCTAGGGGAGGTCATCAATGGAAACTGCTATGAGTACAACCCCACACCACTTGCTTTTCAGGACGCACAGGTCAGACACACTTTATTTTATAGTTACAGACAGAGGGTTATTCCCTCATTTAAAGTTTTTTCATGATCCAATCTCAGCTCTAATCCCTAAATCCTTACTGACAATGAATCGTAAACTTTTTCTTCCCAGCTTTTATGTCGAGCTCGATCCCCAAATGCTGAGCTTGCATCTGTGACAAACGGTGATCTGCATTCGCGCCTGGTCTCCCTGGTGACCGAGGGTGGCAAGAATAACCCCAGGTTGACGTGGCTGGGAGGCACGATCAAGGCAAGTCTGAGTTTTCATCAGTAACCCCTTATTCTTTGTTTAAGAATACACTGCAGAGGTTATGAGCTTTCATTAAGATGTCTCTCCTCTCAAAAATAGAATTCAAAGTAAATTATATTCTTCAACAACATAGCAATAATAGAAACAAAGACTCTTTTCCAGCACTATCTCCATTTACTGTTTTAACATGCTCACTGGCGTTGACGTCGGCACTGTACTCCTCTGCAGAGTGGAGGCCAAGGGGAGTGTCATCAGATATGGTATCAAGAGGACAGATAGTGTTATTGTTACCTTGGTGGAACACTGACCTCTGAACTTTTATTTTGAAATGTTCCATCTGTTCCTGGACTTAAAGTCCCCTGCAATGACTAAAAAAAAGCTACACTTTTAGAGAGATTATTCTAAAAGCACTTATTCTCACAGAGAACTTTCTACAGTGTAATTGCCTGAAGAACATTCAAATAATCCCTTAATTACAGTTTAAGCTTTTATAAAGAATTGTTTGACTGAGTTTGTTTTTGTTTTGCCTCTCAGAACCAGAAAGCCTCATGGAGTGATGGGTCAGAGTGGAAATACAGTGACTGGATGCCAGGTCATCCCAATATACACACTGATAAGGCTGTTTGTGTGGAGATGTTCAAGATAGGTAAGGTTTGCGCTAAATACAAACAATACACAAGTTTTGCACAAGTAAAACCACTTTTAGGTGAGAGATGTTAAGTTTTAAAACACATTATTACTCGTTTCATTATGTACAGGTGTGTGGTTGCTTTAGTGTCACTTGATCTACTTTTACTAATGTTTTCTTTGAATGAGGTTAAACTATTTGTTACATATTAAACTTTATTGCTCTATTAATTCAAAGGTTGTGAATCAAAGAGGTTGAGATCAGCTTGAGTGTATCACAGAAACTTGATAAGATATCAGAATATTAACTTGACCTGAGGTATTACACCCTTTGGCACACCTGAAAATCTAGTTCACAGACGCCCTCAGTGCCCTTACACTTTAAGCTCCACACTTCAAGTTCCTTATAGGAGCTTTAAATATTTGAAACTCTAATACAGTGTGTCCTTAATGAACCTGTCCCTACCACTTTTTGCAGATCAGAGCTGGTGGACTGCAGCCGACTGCGAGCTGAAGAGAGCATCCATCTGCTCATTCTCCATCTCTGCGTGAAAACCATAAAGAAACAGCATTAAAGTTAGTTTTCTCTTGAATATCTTTAACAAAACAAAACAGAAAACAACAATTTCCATTACTTTTTGATACATTTTCATGAATCCGTGTGCCACCTTGAATAAAACCTTGAATACTGCATGTATTTACGAGTGTTTTTTTTCACAACTGCGGGGGTAAATAAAGGAAAATTTCTCTCTTACCAGACCGAGCTTCAGTCTTCTGTTTGTGAGAAGATTAACCACAAACTCCAGTTAAATTTAGACAAGACTTTAATGATCATTTTCCACTTGTGTATACAAAGCAGTTTGTACAGATTAGGGAGCCAAGTTAAAACAATTTGTTACAATTTAGTACCTGGAAAGTGCAAAAGTACATTTCAAATACGCAGAAATAAAAATCATGCTGTACATTATATACTGTATTCATAAATAATCACAGATATACACACATCCATTTGATGACAGTCACAGAGAATGTTGCTAAGACACAAAATAGTACTTTGTCATTTTGCTCTCAAGTCCTACTGTATAGTCCTCTTGGCTGGAGGAGGTTTAACTTCTGGAATGCTGCGTTTACTCTTTTTTTTCTCCGTAAAGTCAGGGGTGTTAAGCTTCAGCAATGAGAGAAACTAGCTCTACGTTAATCACACACTGGGATAAAGGCACTCCGTTTGATGCAAATTCAAACAGTGGTCTTTTTGTCTGGACGACAAATGAGGATGAATGAAAGAAAAAAAGCTGCATTGAAAGCTGCACCTTTTACAGAAATCTCTTAAAAGAAGGACACAGGTTGGTCTTTGCACTCTTCTTGTCCGTGACATTTAAATAAGAACTAATTACAACAGCACGTTAGAAAAAAAGGAGGGTAACCCCCCCCCCGAACACGTGACTTCGGTTCACAGAAACATGGACGATGAAATCAAGGATTTGGCGATAAAAAAATAAACACGCATCATCGGCATGTCCTCACACACACTTGAATACACTCACACGAACAGGTATGGTGCAAAAATATAAACCACACAGTCTAATCCACAGGAGCTTTGTACTGTGGCTTCTTTGTGTGTGAGTCTGATATCACAGATTTCCATTCATACAACATGTACAAACAAACGAGACATGTGAACCGTTTTAACGTCTCTAAAATCAGTCACTTCAGGATGAGCAGGAATGAGATGTAAAAAAAACACAGAACGATGCAGATGAACGCTAACTGCGGTATTTTTTGGCGAGGAAGAATGGGAGTTTGGGTAGTTTCACTGTAGGAAGACGAGAGATAGAGGCATGGCTTACAGAGAAGAGAAAAAAAAAAAACAGCAAGAAAGCATCAACAGCCGCCCGGCGAGGGAGCTGTATTGCTGATAACACTGACATCTCAAAAAGCCCTTGAGGAATTCATCTTTTACAGCCGTCTGAACAATCATCGGAGATTTACATAAACCATACTAGCATCAGAAATCAAACTAAATGTGATTCAAAAAAACTGCTACTTTGACTTATAAATAAACATCCTTTCAAGTAACTTTGAACTATTTTACTGTCATGGAAGCGTCTTGACTTTGAGAGTGTAGCGTTCTTCCTGTAGTGTCTTCATATAACTTAATAAACATTGAAGGTTATGGAGCCCCTGGAGTCCCACTTTATCTTGCACGCACAAGTTAATAACTGATGTGATAAACTCTTTATATAACTCAACATAAACTAAAGTCCTGCAAAGGTGATTATCTCATACTCATATGTTAATAACTTACAGTCCGGGAATGCATACACTGTTGGCTCCTAAACGCCATTAATTCATGTGGTGCTGCTCCGTCACAAGGTAAATTCGCCATTTCCTCAAAAATGGGGCTACTGCGCGGATAAAAAGCGTCCTAACCGAGGAAAAGTGGACTAAATTTGCACGACAAACACTGCTTTTGAAAGGCTGAAACAAGACAGTAACTTGTGTGCACAGGGAATTGATTAAAACCTTAACGCACAAGATAGTTAACCTGTCTGTGCAAGACTGCATCTTGTGCACAAGATTAGGACTTTTACACACAAGGCAACTTTTTCCCTGTGGGGTCATTAATAAGACTTAAATGATCACCAATGGGAATTCAGAGGCTCCATAAAAGACAAACACCACGGATACTGTTTCTAAATGTGTGTAAGATGTTTCTAGAACAAAACAAGACATCTGCATCCAAGTGTATCCATGTTCCCAATCACTGTGTCTGCTACCTAACCTCATCACCGACTATAAATGCCATGCCGAACAGATGCCAACTTCATTGGCACATGCATATATCCTTAAAAAAAACAAAACGAGGAAACACAGAAGGAGATCCATGGTAAAAAAACAAACACACACACGCACACTCACACAGGTATATACACATATAAAACGCATAGGAAAGGCAGAGAGTTTGGTCTTGTGAGCGATGGAGCTGTCTTACTGCATAAGGCTGCTGTGTGGGCAGCTTTGAGGCGACCATGAAAAGGATCCGCCTTCAGAGCGCGGGCCCGCCTGTCTGCGTCAAAGGCAAACTAAGGAGGGACAAAAAAAGGCCACTTGAAATCAGAGTGACGGACACAAACAGACGCAGAGACACGATGGAGAGCAGTTAGCTGACAGATTCTGTCGAATTAATGCTAATCAGATGCTTGGTTGTGTTGTGGTGTGGTGCTGCTTATGAATCCGAACCACAGCGCCGGCGCCGTTTGGTCAACCCAAAGCGTGAACACACACACAAAAAATAACACGACAAACAGATTTTGTACTGCTCAAAGTTTCAAGCACCACAAAACCAGGAGAGCACATTCATTAAACAGAACAAACAGAACCTGTTTGGTGATCGACAGGTATGAGGGAGGACAGGGTGAGAGGAATGTGGGATGTGCGTTGGAAAAGGAGGGGCGAGGGGAAGCGGGGTAGGCGGGGTCTGTGGCGGCGGGTGGGCGGCACTAGGTGTTGTATTCTGTCTCCCCCGAGGAGATATGGGTCCTCCTGGAGCCCCACAGCTTCCGCGTGATCTGGCCCGAACGCATCTGGGAAGAGTGGAGGGAGAGGAAGAGGAAAAGGAGGAGGAGGAGAGGGAGAAAGAAAAGCGTGAAGTGAAAGGAAACGGGAGAAAAAAAAGGAGGAGGGGATATGATTCATGAGTGATTGGTTCACTGCAGCTTGATTGACTGGATTTAAGAAAGTAATCAAGCGTGATTCATTCAATCTAAGGAGTAAACAAAAAGAGGAAGAGCGGTGATTCAAACAAATCAGAGGGAGGACTACCTGTATCAGCCTCTGACATCTACTCTAACTCTTTATTTACATTATAAAACACTTGAGTCTAACTTGGCGCTAGGCGGATCGTTTGCATTTGAAGATTGTAGCTACATCGTTAGTATGGCTTGGTTTGCAGAAGCGTTAATAAGTTTCACAGCATATTTGTTATATTTGTGGAGTACACTCAGACATGTAACGTAATGACACTTTAGGTAAACAGCATGGGATGGAGTTTCTCCCGGGTCGATGGCCAAATCAAGTCAAATATTGCACCGGCGCCAAAATCTTGAATACAGAATGAGGTAAGCACATGAGTCGTTTTCTGATCACAGTTGTCTGCTCAGCTACGTGCCGAAGGAATGTGTTACATCTGAGTGGCTGTGGTTTTAAATGTGTGTGTGTGTGTGTGTGTGTTTCAGGTGGCGTGGCTGCGGGTGACAACCATCCCTGAGACGGAGAGGTGATTCAAAAGGTCGCTGAGGGCGTCGAGTTTGAGTTTTGCAACGCCGGTGACGTGTGGAGCAGGTTTATCTATGTTGGATGTGTACAGTGGTGTAAGCATAGGGAGGGTGGGGGGTGGAGCTGCTAGGGTTTGAGGGTGTTGGAGGAAGGAGTGAACACCAGCTGGTCGCGCTGGTGCAGCAGGCGCGTTGGCGAGCGGGCTCTGAGCGGGGCCAGCAGAGGGGAGGCCATGAGCGGCGATCCCTCCAGGCTCTGAGCGATGTAGTTCCTCAGCGAGTTCTTTACCTCCGCCGGCTTGCCCACGCCGATGATGATCAGCTTGCCGTCCTCGAGGCCCACCAGGACGTGGCTCTGCTCTTTGGTGACGGAGACGCAACGCACCGGGACGCGCATGGCCATCGGCTCTGCACTCAACGACAGACTGCATAGCGGAAAAAAAGTTAACCGTCATATTTATTGCAACGAAAAGAACAAAATGTGCGAGTTTTTTTTAGCTTTAAATGAAACGTGAGCCTTTACCTGTAGAGGTCTCGTATGGATAGGTAACCCTGCTCGCTGCCGATGACCACGTATTCTCCTGAAACACACATGTCGGTCACCTGCTCCTTCAGAGGCTCACTGCAGAGGCGTTTCCCATTCACAGAATAAAGATGGAGAGCGTTTTTATCCTGAGGAGAGAGAGAAAACATCCTGGAGTTAGATTTGTGCGAATCTAGTTTGATTTATTAGCTTTTGATTTGTCGTTGTCGTTTTCTTCCCCGGGTCGCGAGGGCAGCAGCTTCAGGAGGGAAGCCCAGACGGCCTTCACTCCGGCCACTTCCACCAGCTCCTCCGGGGGGATTCCCAGGCGCTCCCAGGCCAGGCGAGAGATATAATCCCTCCACTTGGTCCTGGGCCGGCCACGAGGTCTCCTCCCGCTGCTCCTCCACGTCGAGAGGAGTCAGCTGAGGTGGCTCGGGCGTCTGGTTAAGAAGGCTTCTGGACGCCTCCACATGTTCGAGGTGTTCCAGACATGTCCCACCGGGAGGAGACCTTGTGTTTTTGATTTGTAAGTTTCGCAAATTTCCACGTGTGTTCGAGACGATTGAAAGAGAGGAGGCTTGACACCGTCCTACTGATTTAAAAACCATTAACTCCATCGAATTTGCTTCATTTCTACTCTCTCGTTTAACCTCCCCTGCACTCTTGAAGCCTCCTCCACCGTTGCCACACGACCAAGCTTGTGTACCTTCAGTGTCGCTTTGCCTTCTACGCAGGTGTGGACCAGCAGGTGACCCTCCCAGGATACGGCGAGGTGGAGGATGGAGAGCGGGAGGGAGCTGTCGCACGGAGGTCGCAGGCAACGCATGTACTGACCCCGCCGCACCGTGTGGATGATCACCGTCCCATCCTGCGGCAAACACACACAAATGAATCATCAACTGTACCTAATATTTGGACCTAACTCGTCAAATAGCAAACACACTGACAGAAGCGCGTGGTTGTACGTGTTCTTACCCGTGATCCAGACACAGCCATGTCCAGCTCAGTGCTGATGCTGACGCTGACGACCTCATCCGTGTGACCGTAGAGCACTTGAACCGGTTTGGGATAAAGACCCACAGGAGCTCCTCCCTGAGGACACACAAGGATGACAAAAATGATGGATTATCTGATTCTGATTGGTCAGATAGGTTTAAAGGCGTTGTAAATCACTGATTCGTTTGTCGTTACCTGCTGCAGAACCTGCCACACCATGCAGGTCGTGTCTCTGGAGCCGGAAATCAGGTGAATGCCGCAGTGGTCTGTGGACAAGCAGGTGACGATGTCTGGAAGAGAGGTGAAGGAAAACACACAAATTACCACACAACCGCAAAAAAAAACAGATTCAGACTTCTGTTATCGCAAATTCAGCTTGAACTCAGCAGCCACCTGGTGGTCAAACACTGTAACAGCTCCAAAGATCCAGAATTTGTAAAAATGCTTTTTTTTTTTTCTTTTTTTTTTTACCCATGTGTCGAATGTGCTGTCCCACAGTCTTGCCCTTAACCAGCGAGGTGACCCTCAGGCTGTTGTCCCAGTGACCGCCGCTGAAGAGCAACTTGCCGTCGTGGGAGACGACGAACAACCCGGCTGTGACCTCTACGCCGGGGGCGAAGGGTCCTGACAGAAAACGCTGGGTCCTGGGAGAAAAGGGATCATTTACAGGACTGTCTTGGAATATTATTGGTGTTTTCTGGTCTGCTCTGTGGGGTTTTTTCTCACTTGGAATTAGACACAGTGGGGTCCTTTATGAAGGTGAAGTAGTTAGAGATGTTCTTGTTGTAAGGCAGCCACCCGTGGGTCCCAACCAGGCAGTTCTTACTAACCGTCACCTGCACACGATGCAGAAACAGACGTTAAATCAGGCGGTTGAATTAAACTCTCTGATGGTTATTTTGTCAGGGCTCACCATGGTGTCGGGGCTCCCCTGGGTAATGAAGGAATGTGACTGATTCTTTGGCACCACGGCCTTCACAAGCGGCACATTGTCACTGATGCCCTGCAAAACAATCAGAAAATAACATCTCTAAGCTTGATTTGATTTGTTAAAACTTCAAATCAACTGGAAAGTAGGAGATCAAACCTCGACAAAGAAGGACTTGAGGTCGCTGAGGTGCTCAAACATGTTAAGGGGACACGAGTCCAGCTGAGCTTTCCTCTTCTCCACCTCCTCTTGAGACAGACGCACAGGGTGGGGCTCCTGTATCCACACATAGAAAAGTCTTAATTTGATCTATCTATACAGAGACAGATCATCATTACCTTAAATTAAGTCATCTGCACCTTCAGTAACTGGCACGGCGTCTGTCCGAAGTTGCTGATCATGCCCTCCAGGGCTTTACGCTCCTTTTCATCAGTGATTGCATCAAGGTCCACGGCTCCTGTGTTACCAAACAAAAGCCCTTTCAGTTTTTCCTGCCACACAGGGATTGAGTCTTGCGCGTTTTAGGAAACTAATCATGACGTAACGTGAAGCTGTTGTGAGTGTTTTACCTTCATATGTGCAGTAGTAGAAGACGTTGAGGGCCTCCACTGCTGCAGGGCCCTTTTGCTTGTACCCGAAAATCAGATCGATCCACTCGTGAAGGTGTGCTGATACATACTCTGACTCCTGTTTCCAAATAAAAAGACACAATATTGTCTTAAACTTGCAGAACTACACCACAGGCCAAAAGTTTGGAAGCAAGATCAGATTTGCACAAAAAAAGATCATAGTTCCATTAATATACTTTGCAACACAATTAACATGACTATTGTGTAAAGAGTATCTTATCAGAAGACATTTTGACTGTAATTATTAGGTATTTGAGTTATTGTTGCTTAGACTTTGCTTTCTTTAAAGTAACCTCCTCTGGCTTTAACAACAGCTTGGCATATACCAGGCACTCGTTCCACAAGTTTTCTAAGGTATGTTCCAGGGATTGCATTCAAAGCTTTCTTAAGTTCATTAAAAAGATCCAATTCATCCCACACAAGCTCAGTTGGAGAAAGGTCTGGAGACTGAGGGGGCCAAATCATCTTTTGAAGAACACCTTCCTCTTCTTTTTTGTCTAGGTAACCCTGATAGAACTTGGCAGTGTGCTTAGGGTCATTGTCTTGCTGCAAAACAAACTTATGACCCACAAGTCTGAGTCCAAATGGAGCAGCATGGTGCTGGAGGATGGAGTGGTACTGTTCTGTCTTCATGATACCCTTTACTTCAAACAAATCTTCTACTCTATCACCTGCATAACATCCCCATATCATGGAACTACCACCTCCATGCTGAATTGTGGGTGTAACACATGGTGCTTTCAGACGTTCACCAGTTTGTCAGCGGACATAGACTCTGCGTTTTGAACCAAACAGTGCAATAAGGATGGTTAAACTGCCTCTCACCAGGGCTTTGCGGTGCTTGTAGATGAAGTCCTCGGGAGATTTGGCCCATTTTGGCAGAATAACATCATCAACCCTTTCCTTTGAGATCTGCAGGCGACCCAGATCGAAGCCTGTGTGACAGCAGGGATAAAACACACCCTTTAAAAACGTTAAAAGTCAGATTTAAATGTTAAGTCAAAGGTGTGTTTCTTCACCGTTTTGGTTCTCGAGGAATTCTGGGAAGTAGAAGAACTCCGGTATGAGCTCTTTGACGTCATTGGGATTGTCCATGAGGGTCTGCCATGTTGCGGGGATGGAGTGGAACTGCCGGTCGGCACAGTCGAACCTAAGTTGAGGCGGGAGGGTTCAGATGAGTTTCATACACCAATGTGAACTAACAGGAGAGAGGTGAAGCCGCCTTACCGTCCACTTTGCAGCTGGATGTGTAAGGAGGTGAAGGGCTCCACTCTGATCAGGTAGTGCATCACACCAGCAGCGTTTGAGTAGTGGGTGCCGTAGTGAAACCTGTCGATGGTGCCTGTCGGGTCCTCGAAACTTTCATACCTGATAAACAAACAGTTTTTATACCTTTTTATTCCTAACAAATAACAATGATTTAATTAATGGCAGTAACTGAGGGACAAAAAAATCATACTTCTCTCTAACAGCCTTTGCATTGCGCTCATTTAAAACAGCCACAGGTTTGGACAGGTCCCTGAATACCCGAGGATCTGACAGGTCCAGTTCCTCTGAGGTGTAATCGGCAAGGATCCAAGGAAACTGTTGACATGCTTAGTTAGTTCACGTACTAAAAACAACGCAGAAATCAAAGTTTTCAACAGAGCGTTCAGTACATACCACAGGATACTGGGCCAAGTTGTTGTACGTTCTCCCTGCGATCGTGTTAAGTTGCATCAAGTAGTCAAAGTTGGAGATCTCCCTGTTCACCCATTTCTGGAATAAAAGCAGAAACTCTATAAAACTCAAATCTTAAGAGGCAGGACTGCAGGTAGGCAACACTTCTGATACTAAGCCGTGCCGCTGAGATTTACGCAGCATGTGGTTTTGCATTGTCTTGACGAAATAAGATCTCCCCCTGAAAAGGTCTTTGTCTGAGTGGCAGCAAATGTTGCTCCAAGACCTGTATGTGTTGTTTAGTATTAAAGGGATATTCTGGCATAAAATTAATTTAGATTCAAACACACCACAACATCGAGTTAGACACCCCCTCCAGAGATGAATGTTGCCAACCGCTTGCTTCTCTAGTTATACCAACTTTAGTAACGACTGCAGGAAAGGAATACACAGCGGTCTGAGGAGCCATAAACAAACCTCAACCAAAACGCCACTCTGTAGCCATTTCTTCATGGAAATGCAATCAGACCGAGATGCTAAGGCAGAAGAACTACTGGGTCTGCAGCGCAAAAGTATTAATATGGTGATTATTACTTCAAGGAAATGATAAAGTAACAATCATAAATGTTCTTCCTTGAGCTGAGTCACCCCGCTGCAGTCCGTAATGGACTGGCCTGAGGTCTCGCCAATCGGCTGCTGGAAGAGAGTAGGTGAGTTGTGTTTAGTCTCTTTGGTTTGGTGGCTAGTCTATGACTAGGACCCTATATGTACTGTTGATGAAGTTAAGTGCTGTTCTGAGCATTATTTGTGGCTATAGAGTGGCGTTTTGGTTGAGGTCTTTTATGGCTCCTCAGACTGCTGTGTATTGCTATCATACGGTCGTTTCTAAAGTTGGTATAACTAGAGAAGCAAGCGGTCGGCAACATTCATCTCTCAAGGGGGTGTCTAACTCGGTGTTACAGTGTGTTTGACCCTAAATTAATTTTACGTCTGAATATCCCTTTAATGCGTAGACTTCCACTACAGAGCCCTGCCTATTTTTCAGATAGAGTTTGATTGCTACCATCCAGCACTGGGAGTATTGTAGGATTCAATCAGACTCACTGAAGGACATTATTTTGAAATTCTCGAACTGTTGGCTCAAACATTTTTTTCACAAAATTGTATTGTATTTTTTTAGGAATACAAAACTTTTTCAGCGTTTTGTCGTCTCTGTTTTGACCTTTTTTCTTAAACACAACAACATTTTCTCAGACTAACATTTGATGTTCTGCGGCGGAGTCTGGACTTACTTCTTTATTTAAAACTTGGTTGTGTTTATGTGTATTTTATTGACTTTACTTTTCTACTGATATGTCTTTTAATTGTTCTGTAAGGTGTCTTTGAGTGCCCTGAAAAGCGCCTAAAAATAAAATTTATTATTAATATTATTATTAGTAGTATAATTATTATTATTATCATTATTATAATTATTTTCAGTTTCAACACATGGTACTCTGTCCTTGCACTATCATTGATTTGAAAAGTGTCCTAACTTTTTGAAGTTATCCAAACAAATGTGTTTGGAGTTTAAATATCCGACTGATATTTTGGATGCAACAACTTTTAAAAGTGAGTTTCTGAGGAACTTTTTATCACCTTGTGAACTAAACTACATCAGGAGGAGACAAAGCCGATCAAATCTATTCTTCAAGATTACATTGTTTGCGATCCTAGGACTAGCCCACTCCCAACTGTGTGTGTGCTAACAGATAGGATGACGATTAAATCATGACTTCTCTCTTGAAGGCAATGAAATCAGTTAACTCCTGCATAATAGTCTGTATAGATAAGAACTGGTTGAGGCTGTTTGATGTGTGATTATTTGTGTTATTGCCTCAAAGTTCTCCATCCTGACCTGTGTGAGTCCAGAGGCTTTGAGGAGCTCCTGCGGTGAGCGGGTCCCGTAAAGGCTGAGGGATCGCAGCAGCAGCATGCGGCTGTAGACTTTGTTCCTCGTCTCCTTCTTGAAGTTGAGGAAGTAGTTTGTCTGGTCGATGAGGAAGATCTCCAGAGCTGAGCGGCGGAGATTATAGCGCCGCAGGTGGACTTCTCTGATCTGAGACAGCGGCCATTTGAAGTCGTGGCCCACTCCTTTAGAGAACAAGCGGAGAGTTAGTGTATGTGGAAGTTTTTTGAAGTGTTTTTAGGTCATCATGCCTCCTCCTCCTCACCTTCCTCCTTCTCCTGGCTGCTGTCATAGAAGTAGATGTGTTGGGTGGTGAGCTCCAGGCGGCCTGGCACCACGTCCACCACCGTCACCAGCTCACAGTCCTCCCACAGAACCAGCTTCTCCTTCTGACCCGCCTCCTCTGCTTCAACCCTGCAAAATATTGACAACAGGCTGTGATTCTTGCACTAATATTTTCTTTGTGATGACGTCGCTCTGCAGATGCTGTAGTTGTTGACTGACTGGTTGTTGGCAGCGGCGGGGTCGTCCTCTGGCAGCTCCAGGATGTCGTCCTCCAGGTCACTGACTTTGACCTGCTTCACAGCCTCCAGCAGCAGAGACTCGGGGTTTACACGCTGCTGATGGACGCCTGTGCAAAGCCAGGGAGACAGGAGAGGATTAAAAAATGCGAGGGGGCATCCAGAGACGGTGGAGTGCTTAATACCGCATGACACCGGATATAAACTTTCAAACTCATCATACAGCCTCTGTTTTGTTCCAGAACGAAAAGATTTACAAACAAATATACACATCTACACAAACAGATCAATTTTACTGACATTTCACCTTCAGGAAACACTCATCCGAACTCCTCTCCTTCAAATGTTTTTTTCACTCATTTTGACACATGCAGAGTGTTATTTTAACACCTCCAAAGCTCCTGCTGGCCTGCTTTAATAGAAAAAATACATCTAACTTTAGAGGATAAACACACAGCAAGATGCCAGACCCATCGGAGTCCGAGCAATCTGTTTCCTGCCAGACAAATCCAAGCAGCAAGGTCAGTAACTTGTTTAAAATACAAGGATGTGAGAGTTTTATTTCAAAATGCTGGAAGACTTTAAGACAAAATGCATTTTCAAAGGTTTCCCCAACAGGAAATATGTTCTTGAAAAATGCACTTATAGGTATTTGATCCATTATGATTATAATATCAAGTTTTAGCTGGTTTTCGCTGGTTATAAAGCCGATGTATAAAGTAGTATAAAAATGAAGTATAGTAGTAAGTAAATGAAGTATAAAAAAGATGTTTTAGGGGATAAAATAGCTCTGAAAGATCTCATCACATATGTCTGATATTTGCCAAGAGATCTCAGACTGCGCCGCTGCTGATAAATACTTTTTTCTGTGTGTGTGAAATTAATTAAGTGGGCATATATCTCTATTTTATCCTCTTCTGTTTCAAACTAAACTCATTATTTAACAATTTTTTAAACAAAAGGAGGCTTTGATTCAAAAGTGTTGGCAGTAAATCTGTTTCTAGACTCTAGACTCAATATTTGACAGACCCCCTAAAGCATAACTGTAGATGAATTTGTCCTGGTTACAATAATGACTGATTAAGATTAGCTTTACAAAACTTTAATCTCACATCTGCTGCATTAGAAATATTACAGACTAATATTATCTCATCAAAAATGAAAGAAAATGATGTGAGTAAGAAAAAAAACACACTGAGCAGAGCAGAGCAGAGAAGATGATCCTCCTCATGAGGTAAATGGAAGAGGAAGACATCCTGTACGTTTGGCTTTAAGAGGATTTTCAATGTCAGTCCTTTTTAATCTGCGTATTAATGGTGGACTGGATGAGTCCCTCATATCATATCGTACTGTACACATACTTGCTCTTTATCTTCACATCCCTTATTGAGAAGGAGTTGAAGTATTTTTGGTCAATAAAACCACTTGGATTAGGAATTTTTCAATTAAAAATTAAAGAATTTAAGTGAAATGGGAAAATCCACCAAATCACAAAAGTGTAGAGAAGCTCAGTTTAAGTTCACTCAGAGGTTCTGCGCTCTCACCAAGGTTGTCTCTCAGACCGCTGGCTTCTCTGTGCAGGTCAAAATTGTAATTCCGGACCAGCTTCAGCCTCATGCGGGAAAAGTTTTCAGCACTCGACACCCTCCAGTGCATCTCGTCCTGGTGCCTGTAAGGAAAAGTCATGAAACACAGTTAAAATCCAGATCTTCTTGTTTTCAATTTAAACTTTTTTGGGGCTGAAATTGTTTTAATTTGATTGAATAACACATCAAGTAAAGATGGCTTCAATACCCGCCCAGTAAAGAAAAGAGAGAAGCTGATGTACCTTTCAGCCCAGGGCCCCCTCTCACACACCAGACCCCGTCGTGCTGCCTTCCACTGCCTGAGGGTGGCACTGTTCTGGCTGTGCTGCTGCTTCAACATGCTGTTGTAGCGCAGGTTCTCCTGTCGGCTGCGGCGAGAGAAAGGCTCCACAAACTGCTCCTGGAAGACGAAGAAAGAGTGGGAGTCAAACTTTGATTTAAAGCAGAGTGAAAAAAGAGGTTTCCGAACTACTGTGCAAAAAATCTTCAAGATGTCAGGGAAGGAGATCCATGCATCGAATGTGTTTCTTTAACTCACCTGGAAGCGAATCTTGCTCTCCCCTCTCTCCCGCTCTCTCTTGTGCAGGCTGACCATAAAGGCCTCATAGCACTCCTTCCAGTACAGAGCCATGGTCTCGTGACCCTGACTGAATGTTTCAATTTCATACTGCTTCATGTACGGAATAATCTGAAGGCAAAATGGAAGAAAACTTTTGTTTATACAACCTTGATTTCGAAAAAAGTTTGATATATTTGATAAGGAATAAGATTGAAAATTTTTGATTTTAACTAAAAGATCAAAAACACACAAATTTTCGACTCCCGTACATATTTGTCGAGGTAGACGCGCCACTCAGGTGAGTTACAGTACAGCTGGAAGTCCTCGAAGAAGGACGGACTGCCGTTGGTGTCAGGTAGCTGAGGGAGGTGCAGCTCCATGTAGAGGAGCCGGTGCACTTTGGAGAGCAGCGTTCGCAGCAGAGGAACCAGGAAGGAGTACGTCTCCTCGGTTTGCTCCTGGATGGAGCGCCGCAGTATGCCCTCCACCTTGCCTAGCAGGTAGCAGGCCTCATCCTGGCTGGAGACCTCCTTGGTTTGAAGGATGCCGTTCAGCTTGGCGGTGGCCATTGCACAAACCTGAGACGAAACATACTTGTTATCGTGTTTCCTTTCAACCAAACAATGCAGGATTGGATAAGAGGGAAAGCTCACATCTGGGTCCTCCTGAGCCATGAAGCCCAGCAGCAGCCTCAGTCCCACTTGGGAGAGCTGGAACCACTGGGTGCCAGATGTGTACCACACCATGAGGCTGTCCATCAGCGTCACCGTCTCCTCCAACACCTTCTCTGTCCACAGAGCCGGGTTGATGAGACCCTCTGCTTGCAGGAAGTCCTGGACCATGTGAAGCAGCCGCACCGCGTTCTCAGTGTGCTGCGGCAGCGTGGCAGCAGACGCCTCACGGTTATCGCTCACTGCCCATTCCAACATGCGCTCCATGAGACTGACACACAAAGAGGGAAGACCGACCTTTAGAAGTCAACATGATTTCAGCTGTGCTGTACTGAGAGGATTAAAAAAAAAAAAGAGTCCTGACCTTAGTTTGATTTGGTCCACAGGCAACAGCAGCTCATTCGCTGTCCCCAGTTTAGTGAGAGCTGAGAAGACCTGGCCGCGCTCCAGCCACGCCGAATCATCCGAACCTTCGACTCCTCGCCACATCACACAGAGTATTATCTCTTGCAGCATGTTGCACAGCTCCTCTTCTGCCCGCTAGGGGGCGACGACACACCGGAGAAAGAGAAGCAAAAACAGAGAGGGTTATTATTAGAAGAGATGAGATTCAACAAGGTTGCGCTGATGTTTGAGAGCAGAAGCACAAAAACAGAAAGAGTAGATAACAGAAAAATGATAAAGCATGTCCTCGACGTGTGGATGCTTTTCCTTAATTCAGAACTTAATCTTTCTAATTCCTCCCAAAGCCATGTGACAGCCTGACTTTAAGTATGATCCCCCTCTCTAATCTCAAAAGCTGCGTTTCAATCCCAAAGTAGCTCTTTTAAAAATGAAACATTTATTCTACATTTGACAGCCTCGTGCTGCGGGAGGGGACCAGCTGTCCTTCTCCCACCTCGGCCCTCCAGGAACTCTGTGAAACGACTAAAAGAGTCCATTAGATGAAAGTCAACGCCGTGCTCCCTGAGGTGGCGGTGACATTTCACCCACTGAGTTGGAAGCACTCGCTGTTCAGGAGTGTGGAGGCAAACTCGAGGATGTGTGCTATGGTAGAGGGTTTGTCACCACCTGCTTTTCTCTGCGAGCTTAATTAAAATCTTATTTTAGGTGGTGTTCATCTCCAATGAAACAAACAACAACTGAACAATTACTGTCTGTGAAAACAATTAAAAACACATCAGTGCACCACAGAGTCTAACTGCATGACAATCAAGATGATGAATGTCGGTATCATGAGCTACGTTTACACGTGCAAAATCTCTTGATTTGATTAAATATTTCAAGGGTCAGAAAATCTGAATACACTGTTTATATGGGCACAAAATCAAGTGATCCGATCATGACGTGTGTGTATACGTGCACCATGTTTTATTCCGATCAGAAGTGTTTGGAAATGCACAGAGTTGTCGAATTTTGCTAAAACAAGAAGAAAAAGAGTTGTATTGACGCTTGTGTTGTCAAATTTTTGACTTTTGCTCACTTCATCCAATTCAGTTTTCCCCCTGGGTCATTCCATGTCAATTCAACCAAGAATCTCCACTCACGTCACAGATTTTTCTAGCCATTTTTCATATAACTATGGGATAACATACAAATGAAAAAAACTCCAAAGAAGCATTTTGCACTATGAGGAAGTAATATTTTACACAAGCAGGCAAGTGGGGCTGACTCCAGTTGAGGTCAGGACTGTATAATGTGCCAAATGTGGCGATTTTCGACCTAACGTACCACACATTTAGACTGATTACCCAAAAAGTTATGGAATGCCCATCTTGAAACTTGAAGGGATGCTAGTGGACATGATAGTCTTTCTTTAGTGTAAATATGAAGAAAATTGAAGGACGCGCGTTTTTTGCTATTTCCAATTTAAGTTTTTGGTCTTTTATCATTATTTTCTGGTCCAATTTGGGAAAAAATGTTATGAACAAAAACTTGAGAGCTTTAAAATGACACCTGAATCAGCTCTCTAGGTGCCATACTTCCACAGATATGAACACTTTTGTAACGCATGTCATGCTAATTAGCCAAAAATTCGTTAGCCCCTATCTCACTAATTAGATGGCTTTGAACAAAAATATTTGAGATCTGACAGGTTCTCCTGAAGGCCAATCACTCCACCAAATTTTATCAAAATCTGTGACGTGAGTGGAGATTCTTGGTTGAATTGACATGGAATGACCCCCCTGTTAAATACTGTCACGAGATGGCACCCTTGCTTACTTATATTACTGCTTTGTCAAAGGTTGTGCTGTACTTGCAGATGTGACATCATTACGCTGTATGTACGCCTTGTTATGTTACCGGAGGAGCAGACACGGCACCCGCTGTTGTGTTTTATGCGAGAGTGTTAATAATGAAACCTCCTGTACTGACCTCAATAAATAAAGAGTGAAGACTGAGTCAGGTTAGAGAGTCACGATCGGAAGAAGTGTTTAAATGGACGAGTCTTGGAATAACGATAACCCTAACCCTAACCCCAATCGATCTGAATACAATTTTTTCCGATTGCGCTGAATTGGCTCAGACTCTTCCAACTGACATGTTTACATGACGCATTTTTATTCCGATTATGTGTGCCCATGTAAACGCAGCTACTGTTTGGTTTTCCAAGTTAATGCTGCCAGAACTCATGAGGGGCAATAATGCAACCCCCTTTTATTCTTCCCTATACCTGCTAATTTTTCCAAGCAGAAGCGTACAGCACTCAGAGTGTAAAAGTTCAAAACATCTTCCTGATGCTCAAATAGATTTAAAGTTTGACATCCTTTTTGTAAATCAAGGACACCTTGTCCTTTTCTGCAAAAAGGAAGTCAAAAGCCAGCAGCCCTAATGGTATAAATGTAGATAAGTGCTACTGCATGGGTAGCTTACACATCTGGGAGAGCCTCATAAACGCTGAGCAGCACGCACAAGTTTAGGAGCAATAAATGCTGACATCAGGATAATGCATTATCCCTGGAATACCTTACATATTTCATGAAGACAAAGCGAAACCACAAAGACAAGAACAGCAACATCTGTGTGATCCCATTAGTGAACGGGCCTCTGGTTACACAATCAGGACAAGAGAAACGACAAGCATCACTTGACCTACCTCGGCATTGTTGAAGGATTCCCCCAGTGAGATGTTGTCGCTGAACAGAAAGCTGTCTTCAGTCAGAGAGGAGGTAGGGTCTCTATCCCCGGAGCCCCCTGGGAAAGGCTTAGAGGTCTCCAGCGGTGATGGCGTGCTAGGCATGCTGCCAGGCGTTTGGCTGCCGCTCTCTCCTCCTTCGTAGGCCTGAAGGTGGGACAGATCCAACGTCAAGCCCCCTGACTTCCCCACCACCCAAGGCTTGCTGTGTAGATGCGGCTCCGTGGATGCAGAAGACGAGGGCGTGTCCAGGAGCGAGATGACATCCCCGTTCTCCATGCTGTCCACAGAACGGGTGTCCCCTATACTGAGGCGGTCGTCTTCTAGGCGGTCCAGGCGGCCTGTGCTTCCCACCCGTCCCCTCCTCTCCAGCGGCAGCTCTAACCGGTTGGCGCTTCCGGCGCTTGTTGGTCGATTCAAGTCCAAGCTGCAGGTGCTGGCGGTGTCGGCGCTCCTCAGCGGCAGAGAGCCTTCTCCGCGCAGGTAGAGGCGCATCAGAGTGTCCTGCCAACACTGCTGCCGTGAAATCTGGACCGCAGCATCCTGTTGGGACTGGAGCAGCTGGTACACCTGAAGACAGAGGAGGGAGGGGATTAAAGTTTCATGACACCTGGAGCATCAAAGGAGAAAAACAACCTGGAAGATACAATTTAACACAATTAGCTGACTTCTTTATCAAAATACTGTGTTTATTTTAGGAGATTTTCTTTGATCATTTATTTTATCTTGATTATAACATCCTGGAAGAAGCTCAAGTCATGCGAATATGAGATTATGAGTGTCAAGAAGGAGATAGAGACAAAAATTTAAGCTGCTGTCTCATTGTTTAAGAAGAAGTTAAAGGCACAGTAGGGAGTTTTTATCCTTTGTTGATTCTGGCGCCCCCTTTGGACAAAATCTGTCATGTTCTTTTCTGAAATTAAGACTGCATTTCCTATTAGCAGCATCGCTCACTGTTGCAGGGATGTGGTTTTGGCAAATGTAGTGGCAAATAAGTGGAATACAGACGACAACAGTGATATTATCGAAGTGGAAATCTTGAAGGAAGTTTTTGTTCCAAAGGAGAAGCCACAAAGAGCTGAAGGCGACAGACCGCAAACCTCCAGCTCCACAGAGACGTAACTCACTTTTTAAGTGTGCTTATTTGTTACGTGGGGAACTGAAACTTCCACTTGCTTTTCTGTTGAACTGCGACCAAAGCTGCTCAAAGACAACCCCAACGCCAAAAAAATGGATGATTTCGTGACAAATTTCAGTTTTAATTTGATGCCGTTAAAAAAAGAGTTGAACGAAAGATAAAAAATAAAACAGAAGTTGTGTAACCGCTAAAGGAAAAAAAAAAAAAAACACTTGGAGGAACATCTCAAAACTAATTAAGTGAATTTGCAACAAGCTTTCCAGAGAGGCTGAGTCTCTCAGGAGCAAAGATGGAGAGGGTACAGAAAGTGGAAAGCTTCTGACGATTCCAATCAATCCCTGGAACATTCGGTCGTTTCCTGAGTCTGCTGCCGATCAATACACAAAATTAATCGTGTGAGTGTCTGCAGGTTTAAGTAGAGGTGTTTCCTCACCCTTTTGCAGACGATGAGGCGCACGCTCGGTCCGGCCCGGTGAGTGAGCTGCACCAGAGACATCAGGTCTTTGTAGTTCACCACGTTGTCTGAAGACAAATGGAAACATTTTGCATTAAATCTGCACTTTCATGTCATTGATTTGTACTCTTTAACGACAGGAAGCAGCCTGTCAAGCACCTGTAATGTCTTTCCAAGATAACATATGGAGTTCAGTTATGGTAAATCCATTCAGGAGTGCTTCAACGCTCCATGAGGATTCGCTAAAATGGATTTAATCAATTCAATGAACTGTTTCTGATTTCACAGGCTGCAGCAGAGAGTAAAAATCGAACTGCTGAAACAAAACAAACAGCCCTGTTAATGACAAATCGACTGAAATGCATCAGCCCACGCAGAATGATACACTCAATTTAATGAAAGGAGGTCACATACCTGTGTGGAGGACCTGGTTAAGGAGACAGCGAATCAGAGTGGGCGTGATGTGAAGTTCGGAGAAGAGCAGCGACAGGCCGGCGTAACCCGCCTCCCTCAGCCGCAAACGCTGCTTGTTCCTCTCGTAGACGCGGTCGCAGCGTAGCATTCGCTCAAAAAGCTGAGAGGGGAAACAAAGAGACAATGTTTTTCTGTTTCTGTTTGAACACCATAAAAACACATTTGTATTCATTAGTTTTCCCACCTTGAAGACAAGCTCTCGTAGCCGATCTGAGTGCTTGTTATTGAGCAGGAGGGCGTAGCAGGAGTCGGCTGCACCGGGTTCAAAGAGGAGCAGGAAGATCTGGTCTTTGGCTGGGCTGCTTTGGAGAAGGCTGAGCAACAACTCTAGCAATCCACATAACTGCAACACACACAAACACACACACACAATCATGTAGACATTTATTGACTTTGTGCAAAGCTGAGAATCATCGACATAAAAAAAGACGGTAAAGATGAAGACGTCTAAGTCATCCAGGGGGTGGCATTTGGAGACTCACTGACTTAATGAATGAGAATATATTGTCAGGGAGACAGCAGATGCACAGCAGAGGAGGGCTGTATCGACCACACGCTCATAAAAGAGTGATGTAAGCCTCCACATATAGCACAGCGGTGTAAGAGGATATGCAAAGTGACACATAAAATGAAAAATGAGACAGGACCAAAAGAGGAAAAAGAGGGGGGTTAAAACGAGGTGTGACAAGAGGAGGAAATGGATTTCACAAAATAGCTGACGGACACGGAGTCGTCTGACAGCCTCATTTAAACAGGTGCTGGAGCTTTACAGTGGGAGAGGAACACAGTCAGATAACGCGGTCTGCTGCAGGAAACAGTCGCTGTGATGGGTAATGCTTACAGAGGGGAAATAGTTTGATAATAATGTGGAGAAGCTGCCGGGCGGGAAATGAGCCGACAGCCGCCTGCGCAGGCATCGCTGCAGAGTCTCAAAACAAAAAAAAACAAACAATGGAAAGCAAAACTTGGTGTACTGTTTGATGTTTTTTTTTTAATTTTATTTCCTCCTACCCTTTATTATATTATTATTTATTTAATTTGCTGATGCACTGTATGTTTTATGTTGTAATGATGTTTTTGGTGTGTGCTTGTGTTAATTGTTTTTAATTAGCTTCGTTTGTTTGTTTTTGTGATTATTACTGTTCTGTCTATTGGTGGTTTATGTCATGTTATGTTATTTTTGTTCAAATAAAAAAAAAAAAAAAAAAAAAAAAAAACAGCAGTGAAAGGTCATTTTCTGTCACTATTACATCCTCAAAGAGCAACAAAAGTTGGTATTCAACATTTGAAGAATACAAGAGTCATCCTGTTAGACATAATGACTTCAAATTTCTTTGATGTTGGCCTGATTGCTTTTTTTTTTTAACCGCTGACTGTAAAGCTGGAAGTGAATTAACCTTTTGTTCAGTCTTGTTCTCTTTGGATCCAAAATTAAAGGAGCAGTTCAATCCTCAGCTTGGAGAAACAATGTTTAAGTACAGCATGATCCAGCACAACATGATGGCTTCATTCAAATCTAATCTGGCACCTTTCTGTACGGTTGTGTGAGTATGCAAAATCCTCCAAAATGATGTCCTGTTCCTCCTATTCACTGCTTTGATTTGAACTGCTGTGCTCGCTCTATTCACTTCCTCTTTGTGTCGCTCTTTTCTGCATCAGGTTTAAAAAAAAACACCCCCCACCTGTTCTTCATCCCCAATAGCAGCGACGTATCCCAGAAGGCTGTGCATCTCCTCCTGTGACATGCCCTTGCTGATGTAGTACTTGATGAGGCCGCAGAGAGACGCGCGGATGGTTCGGACGTCATCCTCGCTCAGGTCGCCTTCTTTATTGCTGTTCTTCCTAAAAGCACAGAAGAGGAGATGATTGCGGTTTCTTAGAGAAAAAAAGGACAAAAGTTGGAGAAGTTTGATCTTTTTACTCACCCGTAATAAAGGCGCACAGTGTCCAAAAGAAACTGAACTCCATATTTTTTCCTGAACTGCTTCCTGTTATCCTTGATGACCGTGGACATGTACTGGATATGACCTGCATCATAAGGACACAAACACATCATTTGGTAAAAAAAATTAACACTCATAAAGAGAAACTCATATTGAGACTCATTCACACTCAGGTCTTGACCTATGCGGAGAGGGAAGTCTCCTTTGTTCCAGATGTTGAAGTTGAACAGCAGATGTGTGTGAAGCTGCTGCAGGAGAGGCTGGTTCTTCTCATATGTCACCTGCTCGATCAGGAGCTGCATGGCGACCAGAACGCTGACGTCCACGTGACCTGCTGGGAGCTGAACACACAAATAAAGAAAACTGTTGAGATGTTGAACTTTTAGCTGTATTTTATGCACATTTGAAGACCTTAAAGGAATATTAATAAGCCACTTGTTTGTAACGAGACCTTAGGCCAGGCCATTACCGACTGATGCGGGGTGACGCAGCTCAAGGAAGAACATTTATGATCATTTCTTTATCATTTCTTTGAAGTAATAATCACCATATTAACAATTTTGCACCGCAGACGTGGTACTTCTTCTGCCTTAGCGTCTCGGTCTGATTACATTCCATTAAGAAACGATCATAAATGTTCTTCCTTGAGCTGCGTCACCCCGCAGAAGTCCATAATGGACTGGCCTGAGGTGTCGCTACAAACAAGCGGCTGCTGGAAGAGGCTAGGTGAGTTGTGTTTAGTCTCTTTGCTAAAGAAATTAGTCAAAGCTAAAAGGATGTTTTGTGGCTAGTGCTGTGGCTAGGACCCTGTATGTACTGTTGATGAAGTTAGGTGCTGTTCTGAGCATTATTTGTGACTATAGAGTGGCGTTTTGGTTGAGGTTTGTTTATGGCTCCTCAGACCGCTGTGTATTGCTATCCTGCGGTTGTTACTAAAGTTTGTATAACTAGAGAAGCAAGCGGTCTGCAACATTCATCTCTCAAGGGGGTGCGTAACTCGGTGTTACCGTGTGTTTGACCCTAAATTAATTTTACGCCAGAATATCCCTTTAATGCACAATGAAGAATGAAAAATCTGAAGATTGAAAAAGGGCTATTTTGCAACAAAAGACCAAAGTTTCCCTGCTTGTTTAAGAAACATGTATACAACAATGTCTGACGCCCATAATTTGCCTACACAAAACAGATAAGGAACATACTGGAATGAGGAAACATTTGTTGTTTATTTGGACTTTTAACACTCGCAGGGTGTGGTTAGTTTACCCACATAAACCACCACCACATCTGAGATATTTCCTTTTATCTGCGTCTCTGCGGAGGCTTTTATTTTCCCGTTGTGTAAATGTTGATTCTGTGGGATTTCCACCCCTTATCACACACAAAAAAACAGCTTTGCAGGAAGAAAGAATTAGGATTGACACACCATGCGTGTCACACATTGTGCTGGAAGGGTGAAAAAAAAAAAGGCCATGCACAGACTTTAAAAATTAATCGGACGTCAGTCAGCCGAAGTTTTTAATTTGTGGCCACGGCACCAAACTAATCCAGCGTAAATAGGCCGAGAAACAAAAGCAGCTTACGTCTCTTTTCTTTGGCTAAATATTATGTTGAAGTTTGTGTATTTAATATATTTAGTGAAATGCACACAGCTTGTAAATCTCGGTAAATAATTCGAAACCACACCTTAAATCACAAGCTAATCTGCTTCATGTTGATTTGAAAAGGCAGGACGTGTTTTTCTAGAGAGTGTGAGGTATTTCCTGTGCACATTACCTGAATACAAATATATACTAAATGCACACAACAATAGGATTCAACAGAAACCTTCTGCAGCAGGGCTCCCAGTGTAGCCACACCATGGGAATAAAGCAGATTCTCCTGGTTGATCAGATGTCTTTGCAGGAAATGCTTCAGTACCAACAGGAAGGTGGCCACTAGATTTTTCTCCAGTCGTGCCTCTGAAATAAAAAATTCAAATCGATTTGACCCAGTTCCACTCTTACATCAAGATAACAGGAAATAAGCAGAATAAAGGAATACTTTATGGACCTGATGCCCTGTTCGATGGGAGGATGACCCAGTCTCCGTCAGCTGGAGTGGTCACATCCGGGGTGATGAAATCGGACCCAGCGCCAGGGTCACTGGCCTGTTGATCAGGGGTCACCAAGGACAACTGCTCCAGTACGGGGAAGAGCACTGGCAGGCCGCCCACACAGTTTATCATATCCTGCAGCAGATAAGACAGCAGCTCGTATTCAAACTGAATTTACATTCCAGCAGTAAAAAGATAAAGGGAAAAAAATTATGTGATAGCACGAGCTGCACGCTGTATCCACCTTGATATCCCAGTTGACGACCTTATTTCCAGTAAGGCGTCCGTGCAGCATGTTTGGGGACAGATCGAGACAGATAGGATTCCTACAGGCCTGCGGACACATGAACCAAGTTTAGTTTTAAGATCGCAAATTCACTAACTAACAATGACTAATAATGATACTGATAATGGTACCACTAATGATCTCAATACTGATACTAGTGTTTGCATCGATACTAGTCTCAACCCTGATATTAGCCTGATAATGTCACCAGTGGCCATACTTACATAAGCATAGGGACTGCTACTCAAGCTGGCATTTGTTTAAATACAGATAATTACCAGCACTAATACTGATATTGGTATTCCTATCATGACTGATACCGATATAGGTACCGACACCAATGTACAGGTCTGTAAACTAAGTACCCATTGCATACTGTAATTTTATGGTAACAATACGAGTGATATTTGCATTGCTACTTATGCTGGCATTTGCTTTAATACTGAAAGTTATCAGCACTAATACTGATATTGGTATTCCTATCATGGATGATACTGATATAGGTACTGATATCGATAAATACAGGTCCATAAACGAAGTACCTACTACATATTGCCATGTTACCGGTAGCAATACTGGTGTCATCTGCACTGCTACTTATGCTGGAATTTGCTTTAATACTAAAAGTTATCAGCACTAATACTGATATTGGTATTCCTACCATGACTGATACTGATATGGGTACCGATACCGATAAATACAGGTCCATAAACTAAGTACCTACTGCATATTGCGATTGCAATATGGTGGTGATATCTGCACTGCTGCTTATATTGGTATCAGTACAGATAGTGATCCTGGTATTGGTACTGACCATTACCATTGGTTATCATTGGTAGCTATGAGTATCGGCATTTGCATCTGTATTGGTGCCTACAGTGTTATTGGTACCGATACTGGTCTCTATGTCAGAAGTCTGGCTTTCAGTAGGGTCAAGTTACCTTGGGTGAGTAGTGCAGAAGCAGTTTGGTTGAAAAATCACCCAGTTCTGATTCCTGGGCTTTGAATGGAGAGATACAGTTTGGACCTAGAAAAAAAAGGACACAATTGTTTGTCAAACACACAAAGTTTCATCAGTGTCAAAGGAATTTACAGCTCTTTATTTACCTATCTTATCATTTCTTTACTGTTTCACTTCTTTAACATATCCCTTAATCTCCTCCTTACCAGCACTACAGATGGCTTTAATGTGATTGGGCTGCAGGGGCTCATGAAATACCATGACGCTCCCCAGCTGGCCCTGCAAAGACGTAGGGCTTCCCCACTCGCTGTCTTGTGTCCCCGCAGAGATGAGTTTAGTCAGGGACTCAGGTTTCCCCCCGAGGAGGCCTCCCCAGGTCTGTGGTGAGAGGATGCCACCCAGTGAGGAGCGAGTGGTGGGTGTGGTAGCACTGGAGAAAGGAGGGTCTGGGATCTGGGAGGGTGGGGGAGTGGTGGTTCGGTGGCCCGCTGAGCCGATGCAGCAGGACGTGAACGGCTGTGGAAGGAGAAACAGAAATTCAGTAAAAGAACAACAGAATGACTAGATGGCTGAACCAGGTGTAAATAAGTTTCCAGGTGGTCTTACCTCTGTCATAGTGGGATACTTGAGGGGAGCTGACAGCTTCTGCTGCCCATCTACATAAATGTACACCAGACTCTGTCCAAACGGCCTCTTGCCTGGGACGTGCACCACACCTATGCTATGCTGTAAACAGAAAACCAGGCGGAATTGAACGTCTTTAATGCTGCAATCTGCTTCCTTTAATTAGTCTCAGGCATTTGATTTGAAGGTGCTAATCTCCTAAATGTAGGGTGCTGCCAGATCTGGGGATTTCAGAAATTTTTATGCGCAACCTTCTTTAGGAGAGGTGAAAAGTTCAACTACAGCCACATTTATTCAGAGAAAAGGGAACGTTACAGTTTGAACTCTGTCTCTTTACTGTCACTGACAGGTTTTTGAATGCCATCAAAGCTAACTCACCCAGAGGGAGTCACAGAAGCAGTAATCAGGCAGCATGACTGTGACGTACTCCTTTTTTGTGCATACAGCCACGACAAGGACCCCCGCTGAGCTGATGAAGGCCTCGAACCCTGTCCCTCCAGGGGTGAAAAAGCTGTACAGGTTAAAAGAAAGAGGAAAGCAATTTAGGCAGGTGTTGGTATGTAGGATGCTCTGCCTTTATACCTCAAACTCTCTTTATTTGTTGTTTCTTCTTCTCCTCTCCCTCTCACCTGTAGAGCTGCTTCCTCTTGTCCTTGCTGGGTGGGCCGAGCTGATCCTGATCAAGCGACAACCAGGCGAGAAAGCTGAAAGCAGAGCCGGGCCAGCGCTGCACTGTAGGAACTACAATCCCCGCCATGCTAGGTGACAGATCAAAGTACTGCATTGCGCTCTCTAAGCCCTGCTTCCGCACCATGGCCAGAAGAGCTCTGAGAGCGGGGCCTACATGTGGGTGAGCTTGAGAGGACTCAGGAGGCCTGAGGAGGCGCAAGAGTCCCAACAGTTCTCTCGCACTCAAGGACTGGGAGCCCAGTGAGCCCACCAGTCCTAGAAGGCTCTCAGCACAAGAGCGGTGTAAACGTTCATGGCGCTCCAGGGCGGCGAGCGCTCGCATGACCATAGCAGCGTTAACGCAGGTGGCGCGGGTCTGTCGGTTGAGGCAGCTGAGGCGGCGGAGCCAGTCTGCTGTGAAAAGCTGCAGCTCCGATGAGTCCAGCTCTGGGAGCCACTGGACCAGCAGCAGCAAGGGTTCGACGTTACTGATGCCCAGGAGCCCCACTGAGGTGTGCTCACCCTCCACAGCCTGCAAACAAACACAGAAACACCCAGAGGATAATTAACCTTGATGCTGCACAGGCGCGATGGATTAGAGAGCCACAAAACCAATCAGGTTACCAAGAAAGCAGGCAGGACATCCCTAACCTAATTTCAGAAGCCAGTTACCATCATCTGACTATGATTAAGCCTCTGGGAGAGACAGGAATATTTGGAGCTTCTGGTGCAGTCAGCAGATATGCTGACAAGGAGAACCTGAACCAAGATTTTATATATTATATTATAAAGCCCTGCTGCTGCTGTACTACATGCAGAATGTGGTTTGGCTTGGTCTTGCTGGCCCCTCAGCGTCCATGTTTTCCAAAAAGAAAGTCAAATTTTGATGCCAGAGGAGGGATTTTCACTTCAGCTCCATCTTAAGTCACATAGTCACCTCCCCCTGCTCCCTCAGATCTTCCTCGTCCATCCTTCTCACCGTTCCCCCATGCCCGCCTCAGCCCAGCAGCTCCAGAGTTGGGGAGCAGAGCTTTCAGCCGCTCTGCTCCCCAACTCTGGAACTCACTCCCACCCGACATCCGGAAAATTGACTCTCTCCCTCTCTTTAAATCCAGACTCAAAACCCACCTGTTCAGATTAGCACACTCCTTATAATCTACCTTGTCATATTTTTGCTTATTTTATTCATACATATCTATATTTTTTTCTATTTTATTTTATTTTCTCTATTGCTTTTATCTTGCTGTTTTATGTTGCTGCTCTTACTCTGTAAAATGTCCTTAAGTGTCCAGAAAGGCGCTTATAAATAAAATGTATCATTATCATTATTATTTATAGACTTGCTGTTATGTGATTTTGTCTTTAAAGCCTTTTACTTTTCTTATTCATGTTTTATAACAGTCCCCTTGGTCTCAGGATTTTGTGGTTGGGTTCCTGTGTTGGCTGGGTATCATGGGCTCTTATATTGTCTTTGTTTTAATGTCTTCATTTCAATGATGTCTCAGCTCATGTGACATTCATCAAAGCTTTTATGTCTCCCAACAATTTTTATTTTATTTCATTTCTTTATTGCCAAGAAAATCCTGTTTTCTTGTTGTTGTTATGTTGTTTTTATCTTCTTTGTTTCCCTGCATGTTGTGTTAAAAGTGTTATATAAAGTTATTATCATTATTATTGTTGTTATTGCTATTATTGTTGTTGTTGCTGTTGTTGTTGCTGTTGTTGTTGCTGTTGTTGTTGTTGTTGTTGTTGTTGTTGTTGTTGTTGTTGTTGTTGTTATTAAATGGGCTCAGGCGCAGATAAGTTCAGGTGACTTTTAGAATTGAATTTCGGCCCTTCTTTTAGACCAGTGGTTCTTAACCAGGGTTCTATCAAACCCTAGGGGTTCGGTGAGTCGGTCTCAGGGGTTCGGCGGAGCCTCCGCCACGGTAGCCTGGCTGGGCCATCCTGTTGCGTCAATCACTTGATGTTCCTTCCCACCACAGTCTGGATTTCGGCCCATAGAGAGCGTGTATTCCCGATCAGAAAATAAACGGGCCAATCAGAGACCGTGTTTCCACTGTTACCCGGACAACAGGGAAAGGCAGCCCCTGATTGGTCCATGTGTAGTGTTGACGTCTAACACATGCTGCAGGACTTTTCAAAGCCCCGTTCATTCAGAACGCCGTTAATTCTGCAGTTGACTCTGCAAAGTCGGCAGAAATCGTTTATATCAGCAGAAGACGTCGGATATGAACAATTTCTGCCGACTTTGCAGAGTCAACTGAAACAAAAACAACAGCAGAAGTCACACTGATTCGCAGGTATGTAATTTGTTGTGAGTAAAAAACATACCTATGTCTTGAATTAGGAAAAAAATCATATTTGATTTATCACTAAAGAAGGGTTCGGTGAATGTGCATATGAAACTGGTGGGTTCGGTACCTCAAACAAGGTTAAGAACCACTGTTTTAGACCGTTTTAGCCATCCTTACAGGTTATTGTGCTGCATACAAATACAGTCTTACCTAAAATGGATCAATGACTAGTGAAGCACAATATGCTCCTTAGCAAACAAACTTAACAGACAATCCATCTCTCACCATGTTCATCAGTTCCTTAAGGAGGTGCCGTGACGGCTGCCCGAGTGAGGTGAGAACTTCATACAGGTGATTGTAACCGATCCTCTCTTTGAAAACCTCCTGCATGATTATTTAGGGAGAAAAATACAAAGTAGAGTACAAGCTCATGGCACAAGAGTTCAGAAATATCTTAAACATGCGTATCTGAAGTGTTGCTACCTTTGCAGCTGGTGATTTGTGCATCACTGTTGTCAGGGCTTTGATGGTTGCTACAGCGAGGGAGTCGAGTCGCCCTTGAAACACCTGAGGAGAGATTCATTATTACTTCCTGGACAAATCACTTTGTTTTATTGTGAGTAGTTACAGATGATTGGTCACAAATCAAATCCCCTCATATTTCTAATGGATGTTTCAGCACTTTAATCAAGTGGCAAGCATGCACACAACTTAAAGCTGCATTCATGTATCATCATTTAAGGCACTGAGGACAACATGCACCACACTTGGAGGAGTTAAAAGGAGATTAAAGTGGATGCTTTGGAGTTTGACTAAATTTTGTCTGTGCTTCTGATGATATTCTGAACCTTTTTGTTGCTGCAGTAGAAGCAGGCATCAAAGTTTCTACTGCAGACTTCAGAGAGCAGTTATGAGAAGTGTCATCTTTCTGCTCCAGGTAAAAGAAAAGCAATCCTTTTAATAGATCTGACTGGAGCAGGAAGCTCTCAGGGCTTTGTGAAGACAAAAGGAAATAAAAAACCCACCTCCACACACAGACAGTCACACCAAAAAAGAACCTCATTTTTTTTTCCTCACGCAGACATCCAAAAAAGAAGCATGCAACCCATAAAACACGTGCCAAACAATGCGAGATAAACACAAACACATCTCCGTCCAGCTCTGTCCTGCTCGTGTTTTAAATCTTACACCATTATTGTGGGTAAAATTAACTTCTAAAATGAGGCTTGGACCAGCTGGAGAGGGAATGTGGCAAAGAAATCGAACACTTAGATCATCTTCATTGAATCCAAAACCACTGAACCCTATTAGGACAAACACCAGGCCAATGTGACAGCATTCCAGTTGAACCCAGAGTTAACCGCAGAAACCAGGACAATATGGAGGGGAAGGGGGTGCAGGAGGGGAGTGAGGGGCTGGGAAGCTGTGAGGAAACTTAAAATGGCTATTAAATCAACGGAGTGACAGCCGTGAAAGAGGCAAAGCGGTCACTCCACAGCAAGACAGAGAGTTGTGTTGTGTTGTGTTGTGTTGCAAGATTTGGAGTTGAGGTTTGGTATTGTTATTGCTTTTGAATCTTCCTGCTGTAAATAAACAAAGAAGCTGCTTTAAACTATGAAGCTGGTGGCTTCAAACTTGCCAAGCAGGCTGCAGCATCTCCCTCTGCATCAGGTTACAGCTGCACAACAACAAAGGGACACTAGTGTCTGCGTCTACAAACTGGCTTGTGCACCTGTGTTCACATTAACCCTGATCAATGGAGGGATTATACCTAATAAAGGTGGCTCTGTGCATAAAAGAACAAAGAGTAGAAAGGGAGCTGGTTTACTTTGAGGAAAACAGGTGAACGGTTCAAGAAACAAGAGTCTTGTTAATAGATGGGACTATAAAGGGCAGACCTGAGACTAAAAGACATGCGCTCTAAGGGGACAGCTTTATGCTTTGAAGCTTCTAACTGGGTTAAAAGTGCAAATAAAACTATGTGAAAACTGTGATTCAAAGCTGACAGTGAACCTGTAAGACTTGTCTTAACCGCAGATTCTGTAATGCATTTTTAAATTCTGAGGTTAACATGTGTTGGTGTGATCGATGTGTTGGCTAGCAAGAATCACACAAGACTCGCCCAATTTGTGACATCACAAATTGGTGAAATCACAAATCCTTACATACGCGGCGTATATTCACATACACGTGTCTTGCTCTGTTCTTTATTTTTACCAAAAATCCCATCCTGCTGACTTAAATGCATCATTGATTGTAGATATTTTGTGAATAGACTGTGCAAACAGGACTGTATCTTCAGCTGTTCAACTAACACCCAAACCCTCGAGCCAGTTTCAGGCATAAGAAACTAGGACATAAAAATCATCAATATTGCCAGTAGTAGTTTTGTTTACTCTTGAAAATCATAAAAAGCCATAAATAGGAGTTTTAGTCTATTTTATAAACATGAAAAAATGCTTACTGGAGCTTTAAGTATAATGGGATATTCTTTGATTAAGAAAATTTCTATATCTTAAGAGTTTGAATCTATATGAAAGTGGATAAATTAATACACTTTTGTAGCAGATTTTGGGTCATACTATTCTCTGTTGTAGCTCTGTGACCTCCCCATGGTCATTTTCCTCTTGACAGGTGAACAGGTTTCCCTATTAATTCCACTATTTTTGCAGCTGTTGGACACTGCAGCTCCTTAAAAAATTTGTATTTTTTCATAAAGAAGTCATTCCCGTTAGAGACTACCACAACAGAGCAAGTTTAAGACCTACACTAACTTCATAACCACTTGATCTACACTCATGTCATAAAACTGATCCCTCAGCTTGTTTATAGTCTTTGCAAAGCCAAAACTACATCTGCTAAAGGCTGTTATATTTTATGAGAGTAGCAGTAAATTAAGAATATTTCTGTAAAAAAAAAAATTCACACTAGAAAAAAGATGGCGATGTATCATGTCGTTCAGATCTGGTGAATAAGTAACAGCTACAGCGTATTGCCTGCCAGCTCTCTTGACAGCTCAGTGACTGTGTGTGGTTTCTGTTGAGGCCTGATCCAATTACAAACAATTATGTGAGACCAAACATTGTGGGTGTCTTGCTGTGGAGTGGCTCAATGCTCCAGTGAGGGGAATGTGATGGGACTTTGCAGCAGGTGAGGGCAAAGTGCAGGTGAGTGTTTGGTGAGGAAGTTGGGGGCTTTTTTCTCGGCGGTACCTGAGTGTCCCTCTCTCCTGTCAGTAACCTGTTGTTGGTTATATCTTTCTGGTCCTTGTCTGCCGCCGTGCACCTAGCATTAACCAGCTGACACACACATAACAGGCAACATGTCAACACAGCATGTGGGGAGGTGGACAGAAAGAGAAAAATGGAGACAAAAAGGGAGGAGAGGCAGAGGATCGGTGCCAAGGGGGAGGAAAGATGTTGTAAGTGGGAGGAGAGGGTGAGAGGTTAGAAGCCGGGACCCTCTGCAGGGGTCGCTGTGAGGAGGCGTGTGGCGATCCAGCTTTGCTGTGGGGAGGCAAACATGCAAGGTGGGCAAAATGCTCAGGAGGACTTAAGGAATTGTTGGTTTTCTTAAGTGGGGTTATATAAGGTACCTCTAAACAGTAAGTGTGTTACCTACAGGAGATGCAAGTCAGCTCGGCCCTTTTCCAGAAATTCACTTCTGCAGACGGAGCCATTTATACCGCGTACCTTCATCTAGCTTATTTGAATCAAGTCAAAAACAAACACCATTCCCAGTTTAAATGTATGCTATGTAGAGAACATTCACTCTGTTCAACACTGTTATGGATATGCAAAACATACATGTGCATCAGGTGGAATATGCAAATGTATTGCATCATGAAAACAGTCTCAAAACAGACAGTGGCCTTCAGTGAATTTTCTCTATGACGCATTCACTCAGAATGACTTTGATGTTTCAGCGTTTAGTGGCTTAATTATGCAGTAAAAACAGTCCGTCTGCAGCAGCTGAAAGCCTAGAGCTGCCGCTGCACTGACCAATGTCTCCTGTGGGTAATACACTGCCATTGATAAATACCTCATAAAACACATAAACAAAACTGAACTTTTCTTTTTTAAACAGAGTATACAGGCTAAAAATTCACCAAGATGTAATTTTATATACACAACATGGTTAAAATATCAGGGGGCAAATTTCAATCGAAGGGAAAAAAGTAACTAACAGACCAACTTAGATATAAGAGAGTCAGTTCTTGAGTTAATACACTGATTAATTACACTTAAAATCAAAATTTAAAGCTACCTTGACAAAAACTAATAAAAAGACTGATAAATAAGTTAATAAAAATCAAATGTTCATACCACTGAGACACTAAAGGAGATGATTTATCTCTGGAAAATGATCTACTTTGTTCACCTAAGCCATACACTGTCACAGATGTGTTTAAAAATGCTTAGACAAATCTGTTTTTTAGTATACTTAACCTGAAACAACACTAATCACAGCTTTAAAATAATGGTGGATTAAGTCCTGCATTTATTACCAATCTAATTTTAAAAAGTCGGGACAGTATATAAAATAATAAAACAGAATCGCCTCTTTTCTCTGTGTGGACAGTCCCAGCTCACTAACACTAACAAGGATGATGTCATGCACGGCAACAGAGTCAGATTAGTGAAGAGGTAATTCAGGGAAAATCCAAGCGGGGAACTGAAGGTGCAATTCGGGACTCCTCCGAGCTGTAAAGTCTTTGTGAATACATTCCTCACCACAGGAAATCTCTCTGTACTTTCAAAGCAACATATAATAAGTTGGTGTTGATGCCGCAAAACCAGTCCTTGAGTCAAGGTTTAATCACTATCTATGATGGAGTCTTAAAAGCGAGCGGACCGCTCCATAAATAGAGACAACAGCTTGGAAACAAGGGTGCACAGGGAGAAGTCTTGATGATTTAAGACTTGAACTTAAAACAGCTTTTGAATCTTGTAGAATTAGACACTAGAAATGATCCTCTGGGAATTATTACAGAAGAAATTTTGTCCAATTTGAGCGAGAAACATTACAAGAGAACTGTCCGACAGAATATGACGCCGCTCAAACTCAGCAGTGGTTTCATGTTAAATTTAGATGGGAGGACTCGTTCTGTTACCTTGCTGTTCTGCAGCAGTCGTGTCAGATGCTCGAAACAGTTACTATTGAGGAAGATGGCTTGAAGAACTGGCCTGTCTGAACACAGGAACATGTCCCTGATGGTGTCTGAGAGACGGCGGGAAGGATGGAAACAGACAGGCAGGAAAAAAGACAGAGGGAGAAAGAGAGGCAGACAAAAAAATGGACAAAAAAAAGAAATACAAAGAAGTATTATTCAGCTAAATAAAACAACATAAACGAAACAGTCAGTATCCCTTTAATATTTTGAAGTCTTACCTAGCATATTTACTTGCAGTGCCACAAATCTACTCTCCCAGTGACGCCCCAGAGTTGGCACTCGCCCCTTCGCTTGCTGTTGCTGCTGCTGTTTCGCAGCCACCACAGCCGCCGGGTCCGAGTTGAGCAGCTTAAAATAATTTTCCAGCACAGAAGCGATCTCCACTTGCCGCTGGTCGGAGCTGGAGGCGAGGAGCCGCTGCACCACCTCCCGCAGGCAGCCCAGGGTGAGCAGCGACTTGCGGTCGGGGGCCTCGCTGTCCCAGTCCTCGCCCTCGTCTGAGGAGCAGCTGCCCATGGAGCAGTCGGCCAGCACCCGCATCAACACCTCCATGGTGGCGGGGGAGATGGCGAGCAGAGCATTCCTCTGAAGAAAGGGAAAAACAAGGATTGTATAGGGGTATAAGTGTTCATGATTTCAGAAAGTGATCTGAATAGAGTGGTGCCCGGAGATGCTGCCAGTGTTTCAGGATCAGATTCTTTACAGTTACCCTTTAAATGGCAAAATCGATCTATATTCTTTTTAATTTTACACTCAGGAACGTTATCCTGAAGTCCCTGAACTATTTCTCAATCCAGTTTATCACAGAACAGGAATTTTTTCCACACTATTTATCGCGTTTAACTCTTACAGAATTGGAGTAATAGGGTATATATTCACAAACAGAACTGTAATGATAGAATAAAACGTGTTTTAAATCAAATATGTGTAGGTGTAAAGGTTATATAACCTGAGAGAGACTGTAATAAGCTGCTGCCATGCAGTGAGTGACACATGATGGTTATTCTAATCATATAGAGATGCAGACGCTAAGAGTCTGACTGCAGCTGGGCTGAAGAGCCTGTGATGTGCTTCATCTCACAGGATGGGTGTCTCATTTTTCCACTCGTGCTCTTTTATTGCTGCTTTTACACGACGATGGCTTAATTGTGCCGACACATAAAGACTCAAAGGAAGACGGACCGCCGTATAAAAAGAGCTTTAAAAGACACAGACAGCTGACTTCAGACCTCAAACGCTCATTAGGTCCATTACGTAAAAAGCCACTACAGAACTTGTCAACATGGTGAACTCGAGCAGTGAATGTGTGCGGCAGCTCCAGGACTGTTAAAGGTGATATGGACACATTACAGGGATTGAACCTTTGACTTCCAGGTCAGTTAGAGGGCTTACCTGATCACCTGCTACTATGGCTCCAAACAGGTGCAGTAAGCAGCATTTCAGGCTCTCCTTTAGGTGCTCACTCTCCTGGAAGCACTCTGAAACAAGCGCGCACACGCAAACACTATTAGTGCGGTCAGTTGGTGTGATGTCAGCTATGCAAATCCAACTAAACAAAGTCATAACTCTGAGCAAACTGTCAGTGCTCCTATGATTTGTCTAGAAACAAAACACACAGACACACCTTTATCTCTCTCATAAGATACTCTCTCATGCACACCAGATAAGATAGGGCCTCACTGAGCACACACAGTGCACAAACACAGACATGGAGGCATGTGGCGGCCCTGTCAGTAACCTCCAGGTCATGGTGGTCCCAGTCATCCATTAACTCATCTGTCAACACGTTTGATTGGGGAGGAAAAAGGGGGACATCTTGGCTCCGTGATTTCTGCTTCTTATCCTCCAATCCCTGCTTCTACTTTTAAAAAGAAGTTCATCCAAAAGAGGCTCAAAAACTCTCAAAGAAAGCGAAACTTTTTCCCCTCAAACACAAAAGTATGAAAAGTGAAAACACACGGGCAAAGTCTGTCTGTCAGGTCGAGCGCTGGATATTATCTTTTAGTGCCAAACCACAGCAGCCACACACCAGACGCAGGACAGAAAGGAGGATTTGTTCAAAATGGCTGCCGGCGCAGCTGAAGTGGCCCTGACAGACACCATTCACTATCGGCTCATCTGCGCCTGGCAAACAGAACGCGCGCAACAAAGAGTGGATTCAAGAGGACGCGGCGGGGAAGGGAGAGTGGCGGCATGGAAGCACTTAGAGAAAAGATGGCGGAAGAAGAGAAGACAAAAAAGAGAGAGGAAAGAGGACAAAAGAGCGAGAACTGCTCTGAGATTACGAGCAAATTTTCTTTATGACGAAGCATCCGAATAGTCTCATTTCAAGGTTTAAATTGTGGTATAAATGACTTCACTTTTGGTCTTTCTATCAGGACCATGTTGAGATTTTTCTGTCACACTCAGGACTAAAAAAATAGGATGAATTAAAAAAAAGAAGCTTACGGTAAAAGAAAGGAACAAACTCGACGGTGAGCGGAGCTGCCTTGTACTTCTGTCTGCTTCGCTCTACTGTACCCAGCTGCTCCCTGAAGGAAGAAAAACACACAAACTACTCAGGTACAACAGGAAAACAAAACCAAACAACAACTCAGACATTACAAGATGAGCAACTCTTTGTTTTTCCTGTTAAAAAAAGGTTCTTTTGAGAGTCTGAACGTAATGTCTTCATCATATTTTCACAGCTGAAGAAACAGTCTTATGTGAACGCTAAATGATAGACTGAAAGGGCAAAAGACCACTTTGCCTAAAATCCCTTACAGGAGCTTTAATTTAAATCTTTATATATATAAAAAAGTGTAAAACCATTTTTTTAAAATCAGCACATTCAGTTGTGTTATTGTTGTCATGTTAATGTAAAGTAATATCAAGCTCGCTGCTGGATGTTGTTACCCGCAGGCTCGATGCCTCCAGTTGCGGTACGGGTCATAGAGGCTCTCGCAAAAAGCCAGAGCGTGACGGACAAACTCCTCCGCCTGGCTCTGGTCCACCATCTCCTTCTCTTTGGTCTTACTCTTCAGCTGTTAAAACAAAACACACACAAAAAACACATTTCCAGTTATTACCTGCTATCATGGGCCTCTTTTGGACCACTACAACCAAATTCATTAATGTTATGACTACAGTGGGTAACGTTACAACTTCAAATACCAGCTGGAACACCACCTAATATTAAATCAATTCATTATGTGCCAAAAATAATGATCAGAAAGGGTCAAATTAGACCTGCTGAATGTAGAGGGTTGTCATGGTGATGATGTGATTGATGTAAGAACAAGTGCCAATCTCCTCCACATTGGACAGGTTCCTATCAGAGACACAAAAAACAGACAAAAAAGTTGAACATTTCATTTGAAGAGTCTAAACTAAGCAATGATTCATAGGTAACAGTTTTTTTTTTTTTTACGCTGTAATTAGCCGTGCTATTTGTGTATGCGATCTGTCCAGACCTGCAGATGATAATAAGGAACTTGAGCAGCAGCAGAGCCAGGTTTTGCTGCTCGGGCTCCAGGCCGTCAGAAGCTTTCTGGACGCACTGCAGCAGCTGGTGGCGCAAAACCTGCAGGATGTTGTCGGGGAGGAGCGTCAACACTGGGGGGACTTCCTCAGGCCTGGAGATACAGAGGAATGACAAGTAATCTTCATTAGATAGGAGAAGGAGGAGTTTCTTTTAGATACCAGGCTTCGGCTCAATGTCAAAACTGGTGCAAATCACAGAGGGACCCTTTAAATGTAGCTCCTTATCATGGAGGTTAATCCTGGTACATATACACAAGGGCAATGTGGAGGAGCAGGCCCTGCTCTGCTTTCTCTCAGTCTCACACACATACACACACACATGCCTGGTGCAATGAGGCACTAATTCCTTGGAAACACACCATGCTTGCTGCACTGCTCATATGAGAGAGAGAGAGAGAGAAAGAGAGAGGAGCAAAACCAATGCAATGAGTGTCAGTGGGAAAGCAGCACAGCTGTGACAGCTGCAGAGGAAAAAAACAGAGAGGGAAGGAGGAGTGGAAGGAGGAAAATTACGAGAAGACGGGAGGACAAAAAGGCGACAAGACAGCGGAGAGGAAGATGAAAGGAGGCAGGGAGAAAGCAGGAGAGGATGAGAGAGATTAGTCAAGGGAGGAGGAGGAGAATAAGGAAACAAGAGAGTGAAGGAGGGAGATGAAGAGCGCTACAAACAAGATTTAGCCACCCATATTCCGCTTTTCTGCTCCACCTTTTTCACACGGTTCTCTCTGCGTTGACTGATTTCTCTCACCTCTGTCTGCTGTTGACTTACCCCCACATTAACCTGAACACTACATGGTTCTGTTTTGACTCCATCAGAGCATCACCTACAACAAACTGTGACCTCTCCGCATAAAAGCAGTTTGTTGTAGCCGCGCTACTTTGGGTCATGCTGTGATAAGCAGCACAGTACAAGAGATGGACAAGAGATATCCTCATAAAGCTGAGAGCGGTTCGCTCGGTTTGATGAGTGAAACTGAAACTGATAACCTAACGGTCAAAAACAGTCACTGGATAATGTAACTGATAAACTGTTGAGCAAACAAACCACGGTTAAACATGAGCATGGTCATTTCCTTTGAGCAGTTATGGAGTATCAAATGTGTAAATAAGGTTTTTATTAAATGATGGCCTTGATAGCAGTTGTGAAGACAGTTACCTTGAAGGTGGTTTTTCAAAGTCCACATCCAGGCATCGCTCATAAGAGCTGATGAAGATCTCCAGCCATAGCTTCAAGTAGTCTGGATCTCTCTGAGGAAACATAAGACAGGGAGGAAAGAGGAGGGATGAGTTAAAACCAGGAATATACAACACTGTGCATGGTTAGTGGCTTTTGCTGACAATAAGTGTCCAGACTTTAAATCTAATATTGTCTGGCAGCTGACGGGTCTTTTTTGCAGTATGTTTAAATCTACTGAGTCGTCTTTTTGACTTCTTCAGCCAGACAACAATAGGACACTATTTTTGTTGCTCTTCATTCTTAGAAGTGACAACGAAAACAAGAGCCTGACACACCCTTTCAAACGCTCATGCTGTTTTGTTTATTCTTATTCCTTAAGGACCGCGAAGCTTTGAAAAAACAAAACCTTTAAAATAAGAAACCTGAACTTTGTTTTCTACAACCAGCAAGTTCCTTAAAAAATTTAAAACAAATGAATGAAATGAAAGAAATCCAGTGGATAATGGAGCTGCCATCCCAGAATGTCAAACATGCCACAGTAGGAATGACTCAGGTGGTGTGTATATCTTATCACTTCAAGTTGTAAAGCTAAAACCTGCACCTGTCTCAGTGCAAAACTAGCCAGGCTGCATTCCCAGCGGAAGTTTCTAGCAGCCGGCTGATCAACATTTCCGAAATTCCTGGAACAAAGCCCAGCGAAGGATGGGATGGCAACATCAGCCACAGAGGAAGGCTGGCCTTGTTTTTCCTGCAGGGTCATTGTTCCTGGTCCAGACCCACAAGGACAAAATGGAAAGATCCCCACTTCCAGAAGAGTTTGGACGTGGAAACAAACAAAACACTGATTAGCTTGACAGAGACTTTTTAGGTTAATTTGAAGCAGGTTAGTGGCGTTCAGAGAGGCGGAGTCACTCAGAAGTAAAGATAGAAAGAGGTTCATCACTCTGTGAGAGACTGCGAAAGCGAATAGTTCAACGGTTTCAGAGCAACATTACTAAAAGTCAATTTACAGTACATTATATCATTTAAGGAGCTAAAAATGGACATGGCTCTGTAGTGGAAGTTACTGCATCGGTCTAAAATGACTTCAAACAAACTGTGAACTAAGTAGGTGTGTCAAGATCATGGGGCTGCAGCCTTTGAACGCTCAGAATAAGAATCAGAATCAGAATGTCCTTTATTGTCGTCATACTAAAAGTACAACGAGACTGGAGAGCTTCTCCTTTTCCAGTGCAATAGACAAGTAAAAATAAGGTAGTAAAAGTACCAATAGTCGTAAGAAAGAAGGTACTATATATACAAGACAAGAATTCTTCAGAACAGTAAAATAAAACGTATGTATAAGAATAGAATAGAAAGATGAATACGAAAAAGAAATATCAAAAATAAATATATATAAATAAATATATAAATATATGCTCCTTCAAGAGTCAGCCGACAAATCTGTCAGACTTTTCCAAGGCCTAGAAGGCTGCATCAGGTTGACTCATCTCTTTATTCACACACTGATACTTTCAAGATAGCCGACTCTCAATCTGCCCAACTGGTATTGTTTTTTTCATTTACGTATCTATTTAACTTTATTCAAGCCTTACTGAAATAAAAGTTTTCTTTTGCTAGAGTCTCCTGGACAAGTTTTACCTCAGCGTCAAACTGTACTAAAGTCCCAACAGTCAGACACATTGAGATAAACAAGCTCATTAAACTGTTTCCACTGATTTTCTGCTTTGACTTCGATAATGAAGCAGCTAATGGGAAAAACAGGTGGCCCCATGCAGCTCAGATAGAGTCATTAATACATCAGACAAGAGTAATCACTTCTCCCAAACCCCCCAGAACATCCTGTCATAAGGACTTTGGGCCATCTGGAGGGTGTGAATGAGCAATCTAGGTCAAGGAGGGCTGAAGAGGTGACAGGGGCAGATTACAGCAACATTGTGCATTTAGTATTACAGCTTTAGGAGAACCGGTTAAGTTGCCGCATCGTAATGCAACAGAGATCATTGCCCAGGAAGATGGTTTGAACCATTTCCCCTCTTAAAGACCACCCAAAAACACACTGTGAAGAGGAAAAAAGAAGATTGTAAAGCACGTCATGCTTTTATCTTGTCCTACTGGAATTAGCACCTGCCCACAGCGCCAAAACTCCTACCGTAATTTGACTATTTTTGATTTGACCAGCAACTCACCTGACATGAACCCTGTAGAGAATCTGTGAACTATTGTTGCAATCTTTATTGTGGATTTTACAGTGAGGTATTATTGAAGCTACATCACACATCCTCCCTTTATCTTCCCACCCTCGCAGTTTGTGTCCTACATTTGTCAGTCATCATAAAGGCAGTTTGATATGACTGATGCTGACAGAGGGAAAAGAGAAGTGCATACAGGAGCTACAACTGAGGTATGGATTTACCAAGCTAGCGTAGAAAGTAAATAAAACGGATAGGGAATGAAAATAATGCAGAGAGGATCACTTAAGCATTGTTTTTAATCTCTGTTCCTGCACTAAATCTATCTGAACCTTGACTCTGCAAAAGATCTTGACTAAAAATATCCCATCTTGCTAATGCCAGACAAACCGGAAGCCCCAAAAAATTCATGCCATTTCCTCTGAAGCTTTTACTTTAATGCAGAAGAATCGACAGATTAGGGCTTGAAACTGGAGGGGGGGGAAAAATACACAACCACTGGAAAAAATTTGGGTTTTGTGAGGACAGCAGTTGAGCCATCTGGCTAAAGAGTGGGAGAGAGGGGGCTGAAAGGCTTGCTGCTTCTGTCTGCGTGTCTGAGTGGGAATCAGCCAGAACGGGGCAGGAAGCCTTCTCTCTGCGAGCTTCGTGAAGTCATCAGGACAAGCCTGTGATGATGGCTCCTGTGTGTGTGTGTGTGTGTGTGTGGGAGAGAAGGAGAGAGACTTTCAAACTGAGTCAGCAACAGCCACGTGTGAATAATTTGTTCTATTGGAAAAAAAAAAACATGCCATGTCGTCTGTGTGTGTGTGACTCTTGGTGCTGCGGAACTTTAACTGCATTATTCGGTGACTTTAAGAAGACATAAACTTCAAATGCATGTGTACCATGAGGACTGGCAACTCATTAGATGATGATTTGAGTGACTGAATGGCTGTGTCGTAGTTGTAGTGTGTGTGTATTTGTGTGAAAGAATGCCCTCTTTTAGGCAGCAGCTTGGGAGCACAGATGCCCATTGAGGGTTTTGGACTGAGGCAGGCGGGGACACACCCTGCTGCTCTCCGTGGTTCTGTTTATCCTCGGCCCTCATCGCCGGCCGGCCTGACACGCACGCACAAGCACACAAAATGATCTGAATGCACATGTAGGAATCCCGACTCGACAACGGTCACCTTGTCCAAGCTCTTTAACAACCACCTTGTGTGTCAGAGTCTATCAAACGGTTCCCACAAGAGGCTCACATGTCTCTCCCATGCATCCATTATCATATTATGTCCTCTGCCATGCTCTGACATGGCATCTCTAATGGCGTATTGAAGCTAACCTCTGTTAAGCTAACAAGGTCACCGCCAGCAACACAGATCAATGCACTTAATTCTTGAAATTGAGATCCTCTGCTGACCTGCAGAGGGGACTACAACAGAGGGAGTGCTGATAAGGGGATCGATGTCTGGGTCCACTGACAGCTCTCATTCACTTACATGTAAGAGGTGGAAAACGCTGAGAAGAGCAAAAGCCGTGTGTTGACAGGAACAACACTCCATCTAATAACAAACTGCTTGGATCAAAACTAAGGATGCATGATCCGATATTTGGATCGGATATCGGCTCTGATAGTGACAAATTAAAGGGATATTCAGGCGTAAAATTAAGTTAGGGTCAAACACACTGTAACACTGAGTTAGACACCCCCATCGAGAGATGAATGTTGCTGACTGCTTGCTTCTCTAGTTTTACCAACTTTAGTAACGACCGCACGATAGCAATACACAGCAGAAATGTTCTTCCTTGAGCTGCGTACCCCGCTGCAGTCGATGGACTTGCCCAACGTCTCGCTACAAACAAGCGGCTGCTGGAAGAGAGTAAGTGAGTTGTGTCTAGTCTCTTTGCTAAAGAAATTAGTCAAAGTTAAAAAGATGTTTTGTGGCTAGCACTATGGCTGGGAACCTACATGTACTGTTGATGAAGTTAGGTGCTGTTCTGAGCATTATTTGTGGCTATAGAGTGGCGTTTTGGTTGAGCGTGTGAATCTCTGTATCGCTGTTGTGGTAACTTAGGTTGGTATAACTAGAGAAGCAAACAGTTGGCAACATTCATCTCTCAATGGAGTGTCTAACTATGGTGTGTTTGACCCTAACTTAATTTTACGCCGGAATATCCCTTTAACTGGATTGGATAGCTGATGAATGACGCCACTAATGTCAAGCAAGGCTAATGTCAAGCCTGATCCCTTCACTCATAGGGCAAGGTATACAGTTCATTCAATCAACAGTAGTATTGGATCGGTATTGGATATTGGCCGATGCGTTCAGCCCAAGTAATGGTATCGGATTGGATCGGGAAAAAAAAGGATTGGTGCATCTCCAAACAAAACTAGCATGGCTCAGGAGTAGAAGTATCCAGGTGCTAAATTTGACTTGACACTCATTTAAATCATTTCCAATCAGAAACCACGACAAGGTGACCTGTACTGAACTGTTGAGTATCTGAAATCTTGATCAGACAAGAACTAAAACTGGATTTGCAGCATGTTACAGGTCTCACTGGCATTTACAGAGAATTATTAAAAGAAGAAATGATACAACAAGATAAATACCGCGTCAACAATCTGATAAAGAAAGTCCAAAAGTGCTCCAAAATAAAGTCACAGAAAAGAAACAGAAGTCAAGGGAAGATCTCGTCATGCTCGAGTCGAGTCAGTTTAAACACAAATTAAAGAGTTACTGCTCTAATAAAAAGTTATGACCCACATAAAAAAACCTAAAGCTAATGATGCAATCATATCTGTGGCGACTGAAGCTTTCAAGCCGATTCAGACGAATGAATCTTTTAACCAACTCTGAACCTGATTGATCTATTATCAGCTGTTCTGTTTCGCTATGCCATGCAGCCACACAATGTGCAGCTCAGCAAGTCCCCGCCCCTCCAGACAGGCGCGGTCTGCCAGCTGCAGCCGTCGCCTAAGGGTGGCTACTTGCTTAGATTGGGTGGATGACCTGGTTTTGGTGGAAGTGGCATGGAGTCACTGAAACCACAATGTTTAAAGGCCCCCTCCCTGTAGGTTTTTAAAAGACGGCTGTGGTCTTTCTGTTCCCTGCACCATCATCACAACCCGACATCATCACTCCCCATCAGCCCGTGACACCTCCTCTGGCCGTGATGTCACAGCAGCTGGTGTATTCTGAGAGAGGAGGTGGGAGGGGTTAAAACCGCATGAGGCACGTCTGCTACACAATGTCAGTGACATCAGTGTTATTCTGGAGATATTCATAGCTCAGAGGAAAAATGAGAAGCAAGACGAGGACGCGGAATAAAATAAGCAGAGCTGAGATAGAAAACCAGCCCGAGGGGACAAACTTTGCATACTTAACTAAAGCTTGGGTGTGGGAGTTTGTGTAACTGTGTGTGGCATGGTGTGTCTGTGACAACTGAGATTAGACTGCAACAAGCAAACAAGCAGCACAGCCATGAAAAAGACCTGAGTAATCTACTCCAGCAAATATGTGAAACCACGGCACTTTCTCCTCCTCCTCCTCCGGGCTCCACTCTTCCGTTTTATTCACTCTCTCCCTCCGCTCTTTCTCTCCAATCCTTTCACTGGAGCCTGACTCCTGTAAGTGTGTAAGGGGTTTATGCAAATTACTGTCGTTTGCAGCATCTAGTTAGAAATTGCTCACCGTGCAGGGTTGGGAGAGGGGACATTAGGCAGGATGACAGTTCTGTATATCTCAACACTGCTTAGTGTACTCAATATGAAAACAGGCCTGCGCTTTAGAGCCACTGACTGGAGAAACAGAGAAACAGACCCAGCTGTAAAACCGTGTGATATTGTGCTACGATCTTTGGTGTACAAATGCAATTTATCTTGAGGGAACAGATTATTATCTTGTGCACACTTAACCGTGAACAAACTTGTTATCTTGTTTGGGCAAAATTAACACATTTTGAGTTGAGATAATGTCTTATGCATACAGGGTATCTGATCCTCTGCACAAGAAAAAACGTGTTCTTTCAAGATACTTATTTACTCTGATTTAGCTCATGCATACACATGCATTATCGAATGGTATCAAGAGCCGGCCCAAGCCTCAATGGGGCCCTCTACTTCTGCCAATAATATTGATTGTTGATCATTCACACACCTTCACAAATCTCTTTGATTAACATCCCATGACACGCAAACATACCTTTATCTTGGCGTTTTTTCTCTTCTTCCTCTTTCTTCCTCTTTTTCCTCCTCTATGTCCTTTTTTGTGACATTATTTTGCCCCACAACTACCTGCGTTTTGGATGCTCAGTGCACATTGCACAGCAGAAGGCACCTAACAGTAGCGGGGCTTTGACATATGGGTAGTAAGAATCATAGGCCTACATCAGCAGCAGCACTAAAATGTCTTTATTTTATTTTATTTTATTTTAACAATAATATATATTTGATCATACAGAAAGCATCACTCATAAATGCAAAAAATAAAAAAATATTTCAATTTTTTAAATTATTTTTTTCTTATTTCTCTTGGGGACCCCATAAGTTCGCTTATGCCTTGAGCCAGCTCTGTACAAGATAAATACGTTGCTAGCATAAGCAGATATCCATGTTTTGTGCAAAAAGTAACATCCTGTCTTCACCGAATAACTTGATTTTGGACACAAAATACAATATGAATTTGGTACAAGATATGAGCTACTACCTGCATGATAAATGGATCATATGGAGACAATGATCTGGGGGCTCTGTAGAGATACATGTTCCCCATGATAGTGAATTAAAAGAGCTTTTCTACAGTAAACAAACGTCTCTGTCTGAAAGTCAACAAAAGTCTGCTAAACCCTCCACTTTCCCTCTCAAGTCTGTCTTGGTGATTAACAAGTGAAAGAAGAGCTGCAGCGCTGTTGCTGCCGCCTTACACCGGCGGGCAACCAGCAGCTCCTTGTTGCTCAGGGAAAACACTTTGGCACGGACCAATGGTAGGCAGCTAAAAGGATTGCTGGTTACATAACAGTCTTAGCGCCGTCTGTGACCTCTCAGCCCTCTGTAGCTCTGAGGACCGAGCAGGACTAAGCCTTTGTGGCCAACGTGGAGTCTCATGATGAAGACAAAGATGTATTTAAATAAAACATGATCACAATCTATTCATCACACGATACTCCACTAGTCAAAAGAGCGCCTCGATAATGACAGTGGCCCTTTGAGTGTGTCTGTTTTCCTCCCTAAGGAGGCTGCGAGCTGAGCTGCAACTAACATCAGCACACCTTGTTTTGAAGCGCTCAGCCTGTTTTGAGCAGGAGTTAAATAATCCGTAGAAGTCTCTCAAAAAGAGACAGATCCAGCTCCATGATCAATTCTTTTAAAATTGAGTGTCTCTGTTGTTTCACATCTGAGGGGGCTGTGAGCTGAGCTGCAACTAACATCAGCACACCTTGTTTTGAAGCGCTCAGCCTGTTTTGAGCAGGAGTTGAATAATCTGCAGAGGTCTCCCAAAAAGAAACAGATCCAGCTCCACGATCAAATATTTTTGAGTGTCTCTGTTGTTTCACATCTGAGGGGGCTGCGAGCTGAGCTGCAGCTAACATCAGCACACCTTGTTTTAAGCGCTCAGCCTGTTTTGAGCAGGAGTTGAATAATCTGCAGAGGTCTCCCAAAAAGAAACAGATCCAGCTCCACGATCAAATATTTTTGAGTGTCTCTGTTGTTTCACATCTGAGGGGGCTGCGAGCTGAGCTGCAGCTAACATCAGCACACCTTGTTTTAAGCGCTCAGCCTGTTTTGAGCAGGAGTTGAATAATCTGCAGAGGTCTCCCAAAAAGAAACAGATCCAGCTCCACGATCAAATATTTTTGAGTGTCTCTGTTATTTCACATCTGAGGGGGCTGCGAGCTGAGCTGCAGCTAATGTTAGCACACCTTGTTTTGAGGCGCTCAGCCTGTTTTGAGCAGGAGTTGAATAATCCGCAGAGGTCTACCAAAAAGAAACAGATCCAGCTCCACGATCAAATAATTTTGAGTGTCTCTGTTGTTTCACATCTGAGGGGGCTGTGAGCTGAGCTGCAACTAACATCAGCACACCTTGTTTTGAGCGCTCAGCCTGTTTTGAGCAGGAGTTAAATACTCCGTAGAAGTCTCTCAAAAAGAAACAGATCCAGCTCCACGATCAAATATTTAATTTTGAGTGTCTCTGTTATTTCACATCTGAGGGGGCTGCGAGCTGAGCTGCAGCTAATGTTAGCACACCTTGTTTTAAGCGCTCAGCCTGTTTTGAGCAGGAGTTGAATAATCTGCAGAGGTCTCCCAAAAAGAAACAGATCCAGCTCCACGATCAAATATTTAATTTTGAGTGTCTCTGTTATTTCACATCTGAGGGGGCTGCGAGCTGAGCTGCAGCTAATGTTAGCACACCTTGTTTTGAGGCGCTCAGCCTGTTTTGAGCAGGAGTTGAATAATCCGCAGAGGTCTACCAAAAAGAAACAGATCCAGCTCCACGATCAAATAATTTTGAGTGTCTCTGTTGTTTCACATCTGAGGGGGCTGTGAGCTGAGCTGCAACTAACATCAGCACACCTTGTTTTGAGCGCTCAGCCTGTTTTGAGCAGGAGTTAAATACTCCGTAGAAGTCTCTCAAAAAGAGACAGATCCAGCTCCATGATCAATTCTTTTAAAATTGCAGTTACTCCGTCCGTACAGTCTCCGCTCAGCACAAGTCCACATCAGCAGCCAAACTCCTCCACTCTTCTCAACACTTACTTTGAAGCCACAGCTGCTGACCAAACAATCTGTGACCTCACCTCCAATAAGTCTACATCTGTCACTGCTGGATCTGAAACCAAGACTCCAATTATCATTTCTGTGTCACATTAATTAAAGCTTCACACATCTGTTTAATTATCAACCCATTTCCTTTTCAGCACCAGGAACCCGCTGACAGTCAGGTGGATGATAATAATAACGTCAAGAGATAAGACGAGACATCTGATGTCTGACAGAGCAGGGCGAGCTGGTCCTCTGAATGCAAGCAGCGGCTTCCTGCACTGTACGAGCTTCCACTGTCAACAACACCCATCTGATCGGGTGTGAGTGTTAACCTCTGGCTCTAGAGGCAGTGATGTTTAATCAATCATTAAACAGACAGATGGCATGAGGGAACTGTGATGAGCAGAAGAATGACACAAACAGCTTTCAAGTCCTCTGACTGAGCAGTATTGTCAAGTTTAATGGCCTTCGCCTGTTCAGTATTATCCAATAGGTGTTATATGTGTTATATTATTATTGGTGCCGATCAATAACGATGATATAACAGAGTGAAAGTGCTGCTACTGCCTCAGATAGAGACAGCAACAGCTAGTTCCTGCTGTTTTGGTTAGAATGATACTAAAATGAAACCAAAAGATTGTCGTTACTACTCACATGGACTTTTATTTTGACTAATATGGGTGTAAGAGAAGGAGAGGGTTCAACCGCCGCTGCTTGCTCTGGGTTTTTGTGGAGTTTGACAGGGATTAACTGTCATTACCGATCTTAGAGTTCCATTTAACTCTGCTTTACAGAGACAATTGGGCCTCCATGCCAGGTCCTGTTAATCCCACACGGATAAAGACACGGTATCATGTGGGATTCCTTCCTGAGTGGTGCGTAAAATTTCTGTGAAGGCCTCTTGTTTAAGGCGCTGTTATAGGAGTGAAACGGGGAACCAAAACAAACCAGATAAAAATGACAATGTAACCTCAGGGTGAGGTTTTTCAGGTGAAACTACACTTAACTAGGCCCCTAGAAAATCGTTGTGCTGGGTTGAGACAATAAGAGGCTAGAAAGGGGAGCTAAGGACTGAGGCTGCTTGTGAAAAAATTAACCCTTCATGAGTCACAGGGGGGTCCCGACCAGCATTCCTCATCTGATTACATCCACGTGACTGCAGGTTCTCCTTACAGACAACATATCCTGGCATCCCTCACATGCACGCACGCATATATATCACAGGGACAACCCGCCGTGCCTCTCATTTCATCTGCTTGGAAAGAGGCCGGACGCTGCACATATATATTTAAATGCCTCCCTCTCAGCGTCTCCTCTGCCTCATGCAAAGAGAAATATTGGCTCGGTGGACCCTGGCTTGTAGCCAGCATGAGATGAAATGATCCTTCCTTGCAGTGTGATGCTTAGTCAATGCAAACACACACTCCATCTTGAGCAAATGCAATGTGTACGCTTGTAGCAATTGCTGGCATTTTCACAGGTCATTGTGACAAGTGTGTGTGGGAAGGAGTGTGTCTGACTTCTGTTTTTCAACGCCCACTCCACATGCGCTCTGCTTGTGACAATGTCCCAGCTTTCATGCTTAGCGTCTCAGGTTGGCGATTGTTCGATGTCGTGTCCCCAAACTTGCAGAAAACAGATCTGCTTTCATGGAGTAAATACTCCAGGGAGGGATGTGTAACGCGCGTGTTGCTGCCAGGGATTATTTAAGTGTGTGACTGCAGCCAGGCTCACGTGAGGAGCGGCTCAGGCGGGCCGTTTTGATTGGACACCGGGACCTGCGCATGCTTTACTGCCAAGTGAATTAAATGTAGCCAACAGCTGACTCAAGGGTGCTGTCTCTACGCCTCGACATCCATTCATCTCCACTGTAAAAACAAAGCAGTTCCCTGTATGCACTGCAGCTTTTCCCATCAAGTTCGAACCTGAAGTGGTCAACAAGAACAGTTTTATAATCAGTTACTGTTTAATGTGTATTAAAAGTTCCTTTTGAACATGTTTTCTTTTTGATAAATATCATATATTTTATCATTAATTTAGTTTCCTTGCCCACAGCTACAGAGACACCATCTGCAATACCTTGCCTTATGTAACATTAGTTCTCTGTGACTTTATCATTTATTTATGCCTTTCAGCATCCGCTGCCAATAAATTCTTCAGGCAATTTCATTATTCAGGCTTTAACAGGGGTGTTTCAAGAGCCAATAATGTTTTGTGTGTTGTTTTAGATGTTTTAGTGCCCTGAAAATGTGATAAGACTGCTTTATTATGGCAAAAATCAAAGTCACCATTATTTGATGTCTCTGAAAGAGCCAGCTCCAGCCCACCCCCTCAGTTCTACTCTCCTCTTACAGCTTAATAGTTTCTGGCAACAAATCAGAGCGTTGCAAGGTTTCGGGAGTCTGAAGAAATGCTGGGAAATCTGTTAAGAGGGGGCCGCTTCGTCTTAAACATGCTCTGCTACAGTAGCACAAACCAAGAGAGCCGAGTAGCACTGCCAGGGGGAGATGAGGTAGGTGTGTGTTAGTGAAGCAGAGGGATAGAGTGAGCATGAGGAGAGAGGCTTGATAATAATTGGTCCGAACAGTCGGCAACACTGATGTTTATAAAATATGCTCTGCTACAGTCGCACAAACCAAGAGAGCCAAGTAGCACTGCCAGGGGAAGATGAAGCAGCTGTGTGTTAGTGAAGCAGAGGGATGGAGTGAGCATGAGGAGAAAGGATTGAAAATAATTTGTCAGGACAATCGGCAACACTGACGTTTGTAAAATGTGCTAAAGTCACACAAACCAAGAGAGCTGAGTAGTACTGGCAGGGGAGGATGAGGCAGGTGTGTGTTAGTGAAGCAGAGGGATGGAGTGAGCATGAGGAGAGAGGCTCGACAATAATTGGTCAAGACAGTCGGCAACACTGATGTTTGTAAAATATGCGATAAGACAAGTCTTTTGAGAATGTTTACTTGATGCAGATGTTGCCGAATAAATGTTTTGTATGTTACTTTAAATTAAAGATGCACAATACCGGCCGATATCCAATACGGATCCAGTACTACTGTTGAGTGAATGAACTGTATACCTTGCCCTGTGAGTGAAGGCATCAGGCGCGATATTAGCCTTGTTAAAAAAGGTAACAAATTAACACAGATATAAATGTACCTAATATTATTTATTAACAAATAACAAATTGCACATTATCACACAGCAAAAAGAAGTAAGAGTTCCATGTCAACACTTAGTGCAAAAGGTTAGGCAAACATAGAATATAGAGTGAACAGAATTGCTGTGTTGCTGTGTATGATATTATGGTGCGTTCGAGTTACCTCTGAAGTCAGAAGTCTGAGCTGAAAATGACGTAACAACCGAGTTCCCAGCATTTCGGTTACCAAGTCGGAAAAAAGCAAAATTGGATGCGAAAACAAGATGACTACATCTACAAAAGTTAGTGACTGGATCGGAACGCTGGATCAGCGTCATTCATCCGATAACCGATCCAGTTAATTTGTCAATATCGGAGCCGATATCCAATCGGTGCATCCCTACTTTAAATGCTTTGGCGGCCTTGAAAGTGCACAGTGTGGTATAAAAAGATGTTTTCATTGCAGCAATAAGTAGCCACTGGCATTCGATTCCAAATGTCACACCGGACTTACTTTGAACCAGCTTCCTGGGTGTGTAGATATGCTCAGTTTGTTATCAAAAACGACCACTTACACTAGACTTCCTACATTTAAATGCCAAGAGTGAATAAGCCTTTTTGCAATGGAGGAAATGCCATCTCACTGCCCAATACTTCACCTGATGACATTTCCCACACAAAGCATCCAGTTAGAGAGAAAGAGAGAGAGAGTGTGTGAAAAGAGTTATGCCTTACCTTAGTGCAGTAGAGCATCCAGACTTCATACAGTCTCTCCTTGGATGCCATGGTGCCTGTGAGAGGCACCCTCAGGCTGTAGTGTCCACCTAGGTCACTTCCCTAGCTGCTTCATGGTTACAGGTCATGGGCTGAACCTCTGCTGCTGGAGTTTAATGCTAAACAGCATGACTGTCCAACTCTGGAAAGGTGTTACGCTCCTTTTAGAGATGCAAAAAACAGACGTGATATGGAGGAAAAATTATTCCATTATAAGGGGGAGAGATGTGCAGTCCCGGAGAGGGCTCAGTGCAGCTGGGCCCGAGCCTCCACCTCCACCTCGTCTGCCTCTTCTCGGAGGACCGGAGGGTATTCCCAGTTCTGCCAGTGATAACACAACACAATTACATGTCAGGGGGGCGGATGTTTGTTGTCACGGTAAAACTATTCTGTTCTCGCAGCGACATAATAACCCTCACCAGCCCTCCCTGTGCACTTTGTGCAGCTCTGCTGGCTCCAAGCTTAGACAGACTGAGGCAATGGTGGGTTAACTACACGGCAAAACACACACCATTAATAATGTCTGCTTCGGTTGTGTGCTCTAAAAATAAGCCGGGGATAGACTCGTTCGTCACACGACAGCAATACGACGCCTGCGGTTCTCCTCGGCAAACATTACACTAACAGTCGACCTTACCTGACCAGGCTAGCTCAAAGCTATCTGTTTAAAAAGCCTATTTCTGTGTTTTTCTAGCCCTCCTCTCTCCTCCTCCTCCTTCTCATGTGACAGAAACGTCTCGTCCTCGCGAGTCTAACCGGCTTACAAATCGACATGAATAAAAATTCAGATGTAGGGATACCTGATAAAACGTACCGGAACCGTGGACAAGCTGAAGACCACTCACCTGAGTAACGAACCGACCAACTGTCACTGACGCCGTCTCCGGAGTTGGTGTAAAGGCGTCAAGCTAACAGCAAGAGAACCACGAATACAAGCGGGCAACTTCCGGCCAGTATAAGGTAGCGTTTCTTTCAAAATAAACTAACCTTTACTTAAAATAAGTCTGTAAAGCAAGATAGCCCTCACTTAAAGTTAAAATTAGAAAGAAGATTGGATATTATTTATTCAATTCTAATTTTCAATCAAAGCTATGAAATAAGAATTCCTACATATGTAAAGGAGTCTCTTAGCAAGTCTCAATAACAATAATAATAATAATAATAATAATAATAATAATAAATAAATAACAATAAAATAAATCAAAATAAAAAATAATGATAATAATAATAATAATAATAAGTATTATTATTATTATTATTATTATTATTATTATTATTATTATTATTACTACTACTACTACTTCTACTACTACAACTATGACTACTACTATTATTTTTATTTTTATTTATTAATAATTTAATTTTTTCATATTATTATTATTATTTTTTTTCATTACTATTACTACTACTACTACAACTATTACTACTACTACTTATACTATTATTTATTTATTTATTATTATCATTATTATTATTATTATTGCAACTATTACTACTACTGCTACAATTATTTTATTTTGATATTTATTTATAATAATAATAATAATAATAATAATAATTATTATTATTATTATTATTATTATTTATTTATTTATTTATTTATTTATTTATACGTTTTTCATTATTATTGTTATTATCATTATGCAAAAGTAACAGAAAATAAACTGATAATGGTATATATTTCAAATAAGATGGTTTTGTCAAAACAAATATACGGCACTCAGTTTGTGTAATTTTGAACCAGTTTGTTAGCTGTTTGTTCTCTGTATGAAGAACATCCTTTAAACGAAGTTTTATTTTGGTAAGCACATCGGAAACACAATACATTGCAGAGACCTGATCTATAATACCACCATCCAAATCAGAAACTTAAGCTTACTTAGTTGTATTTCCAGTTTAATTTATGCAGTTATTGTACAACACATTGCAAGAAAACAATTAGCATAATATGTGGCTTATAATGTTTTTTACGATTATCGTTATGTTTGCGACACTCTTGTTCACTTTACGTTGTCGATGTGGAGCTACGTGGTTGCTAGGGCTGGGTTTAGTTGCAGAGCTCGATGAGTACTTTTTTAATGCTTGGATCCCACCTAGTGGACTCACAGAGAAATAACATTATTAATTTAAAAGGTTAGTTAATGAGTGATTAACAAAACCATACGAATAAGCGTTAAGACGTGTCATAAAAAAAAAATCTAAATTGAAAATAAGGAAATAATAGTGTAAAAATACAGGATTTTTCTTTCATTCATCATGTTAAAGGATAAACTGTCATTATTTTTCTATGCATTTTGTTGTGATGCCCTTTTCTGGTTCACTAAAATAAATGGGCATTTTTAAAAATTGCAAGAAAGTGACACACGAAATTTGATATAAAAAAGTAATAAATGTGCTAAATTACATACCAGTTTATTCACCTATAATTACAGGTAACAGGTACAAAATTAATACAGTTGCAGGAGTCATTGTGTCTGCACCCAGCTCAACAACTTCACCACTTTAACCTTTTTCACAAAGCAGATATACTGAGTTAACTTCATATCTTTTGAAAACAATAAAATTAAAAAAAACTCTTATGGTATTATTTTTTCCAGTCTCGCGCTGCTTTTTCTAATCTTACAGTTTCTTTAATCCTTCAAAACTCCCAAACTGATGAAAATGAAGATGAAGATCACACTGTGCAGGTTGAAGGTATTCCAGGATGGAAGATCCTGTTGAAATGGACATACACGTAAGACTTTCAATCAACACAAACCCCATAAGGAAATTATTCAAGGCCAGCACAAAGATTAGAAATCAACTTTTGTATGTACATATATTTCATGTATAATATGTGTTAATATAAGGCTCATACAGCTACCATGTTTGCCATTAACTGCAGATCACAGTTCTCATACACAGTACACGTAATCACAGTTACAGAAAGATCACCATATTCAGAATGCAGGTTTCATTCAAACAGAAAGGCATTGTTGGATAAGTGGTCACACAGCACAGTACAAAATGTTTTTTTCTTTGTTGTTTGTTGTTGTATAACTGATAATTATACTGGGAGGAATTTTAATCTACTTAAAATTTCCAACTACTAACATGAATACTAGCTCAACTCTATTGCTTATGTGCTTGTTTTGATGAGTCAAGTTTGTACGTTGTCATATTTTTATAGGCAGACATGTGATTTCATGTTTTAAAAGGCCTATACACAGACACTTTGTGCATATATGCTCAGACATACAGTCATACAGAAATACATTGTATGTTGGACTGGTCAGACAAAGAAAAAGTAAGAGTAATTTTTAATATAGTGTAACAATTGTCTAAAGCATGGGGAGATTGCACTTAAAGCTCCTGTAAGGAGTTTTTCAATCGAGCTTAACAGTTTTAGAATTAGGGATTTTAACCCTACAATTTCAATTTTAAAAGAGGCATGACTCTGTAGTATAAATCACCGCATGGACTTAGAATCACGTCCAGAAATGACTGTTTGTAAAGCAAGTTCATCACTGCTGCTCCACAAATACAGGTTTGAACTGTACCATGCAAAAAGAAAACCACGCACAAACATGATTGAGAGACACCGGTTGTCGACTTCTGCGCTATTTTCACTAAATAGCTAATTTGCTACAGAGCTCCATTTTTTGCCAACAAAATGGGATTTCTACAATTTGGATAAGTATTCATGATAGGAGATCAAATTTGGAGGCAACAACACTCCAACAGAGATGAATATATATGCACATAAGTGTTGTAAATATCGTTACATGTACCTAAGTATTCACTTTTCACAGTATGAATACAAAATAACACTTAAAAAAGAAAAATCCACCCTCACTTCATCTCTTCATTAGGACCTTACCTTCTTTCAAAGATTTTTTTAGATGCAGTCAACAACGTCCTCTTTCCTTAAAACGCTTTTAAAAGACAAGAACCGGCACAATAGGCACCAGAACAAGACTGCATACTTAGACACAATAAAAAGAAACACTAAAAGTGCCTTCAGCCACACCTCTGGGTTGCCTTTTTTGGAAGTGCTTGATTATGAGTCAGCTGATTAGTCTTTTTTCAGTCCATTGATATTATGGCGAATCCTTCACACATATATTCAGAGCAGCGTTTTGATCCAGCTTCTTCACAGTTGTGTCACTAATCCATAAATGACCCCCCTCATACTGATCAGATAAACATACAAAAAAACTACAAAACTACTTAAAAAAAGGCTCAGAGAGTGATAATACAAAATAAAAGCACAGTAGGATTTGGCCTCATTGCTCTGCTTTGATTGTCTCGTGTTTGGCTTTGCTAGTCAGTATTTGGAGGTTTGTGGACAGAGATTTTGGGGGGTTAGGAGAAGTCCCATACCCCCTCAGAGGGGTCTGCGGAGGTGGATGTTAGAGGGTGGCAGGATGGGGTTGGGGGGCAGGAGACTGGAGGGTCCTCTGGGCTGGTGAGGGGCACTGCTGGGTACATGAGGCTGAGGAAGGAGTCTCTGGTGTGCCTCTTCACCTGTCACAGAATAATAAAGCGCAGTTTGTGATGTGTTGCACTTGTAAAAAACTGAAATAAGAGAAGTGGAATTACATCTAGAAACCCACCTGTTTGAAGAAGGCGTGGGTCAGGAGAGAAGATGCTGACGGTCTAGGGAATTAAAAAAAAGTGCATCAAGATCATTTCAGACAAGTTATCAAATAAATAGGAGTGTTTTTAAGGTCGCACCTGCGCTCAGGCTGCTGCTGCAGACACAGCTGGACCAGGTTGTGCAAGGTTGCGGAGTGGTTTTTGGGTCCAGGGCTCTGAGGTCGGTCAGTGGGCGGAGCGGTGGCGCTGTGGGTCAGGCTTCCTGTAGCCACACTCTCCCCGATGCCGGAGTCTACCCCAGACCGGGACACCTTCAGACCCCCGAGTTCACCCAAGGGGAAGGGAGCTACATCGAGGAGGCAACAGTGGGAGCCGCGAAGCTTCTGGAGCAGCATCTTGGGGGAGATCCAAAATATGAATGAAGCCTTACTAAACATATGCATTTGATCTTCTTGAGCATTATGAATCAAAAGTTTTCATTACTTGGGTTGGGGGCATGTCCTGGAAAGGCACCCTGCCACTGACCAGTTCACAGGCCACGATACCTAAACTGTAGATATCAGACTTCACCCCATATCCATGCAAGTCCTACTGAGAGAAACAGCATGAGGAGAACGAGACAGGGGTCATTGGAATGATACATTTCAGAGAGCTGAAGTCTTTTCTTTTTCTAGTGAATCCTGACCTGTCGCAGCAGCTCGGGGCTCAGCCAGGGCAGCAGTGCGGGGCTGTGGTGGGGCATATCGAACACGGCCCTCATCCTTTTCCCCTCTCGCATCATGCTATAAACACTGTGCAGCCCCGAGAGGTAGACACGCCCCTCTCCCGACAACAGGATGTGACTGGCTTTCACCCCTCTGATGGGGGAAGAGCATGGACAGACAGACAGACAGACAAGTTATGGTGCTGGGTTAAATGTTAATAAACAGCAGAATTTGGTTGGTTATTGAGTTGTATTTCATATTATGTCAGAATGGTGGCTGACCGATGCACGTAGCCCATCTGGTGAAGGTACTCCAAGGCTTTTAGCACACCGTAGAGCAGGTACGCTATCAGGGACTCACTCATTCCATCTGGGAAGTATGTTCTTAGTAAAGTGTCTGCAGAGCCTGCAGGTACGGGGAAGGGAAAAAGGACTTCTGAGCTGAGATAAAAATTATAAAATAATCAAATAATTTGAGATTAAAGTGATATTCCGGCGTAGAATTAATGTAGGATCAAACACACCGAGTTAGACACTCCCTCAAGGGATGAATGTTGCCGACCGCTTATTTCTCTAGTTATACCAACTTAGGTAACGACCGCACGATAGCAATACACAGCAGTCTATGGAACCACACACAACCAAAACGCCACTCTATAGCCACTAATAATGCTCAGAACAGCACCTAACTTCATCAACAGTACATATAGGGTCGTAGCCATAGTACTAGCCACCAAACGTCTTTACTTTGTCTAATTTCTTAGCAAAGAGACTAAACACAACTCACCTACTCTCTTCCAGCAGCCACTTGTTTGTACGGCGACCTCCGGCATGTCCATTACTGCAGCTGGGTGACGCAGCTCAAGGAAGAACATTTGTGATCATTACTTTATCATTTCCTTGAAGTAATAATCACCATTTTAATCATTTTGCACTGCAGACACGGTAGTTCTTCTGCCTTAGCGTCTCAGCCTGATTGTATTTCCATAAAGAAATGATCATAAATGTTCTTCCTTGAGCTGTGACACCCATGGACTGGCCTGAGGTCTCGCTACAAACAAGCGGCTGCTGGAAGAGAGTATTTTTTGTGACTATAGAGTGACGTTTTGCTTGAGGTTTGTTTATGGCTCCTCAGATCACTGTGTAATGCTATCTGCAGTCGTAACTTAGGTTGATATAACTAGAGAAGCAAGCGGTCGGCAACATTCATCTCTCGAGGGAGTGTCTATGTTGCGGTGTGTTTGACCCTAAATTACTTTTACGCCGGAATATCCCTTTAATTACTGTTGATTTAGAGTTGCTGAGATGTGGAAGCAGCTGACCATATGCCATGAGAGGTGTGAGGACCCAGAGCTGGCAGCAGGAGCTGAAAACCAGGCGAGAGGTCAACAGGTTGGGGTGGCGGAACAGCCTGGACAGCAGCACCTCATTCTAGGGTTCACAATCAAACATTAAAGGAAAGATTAGTTTACTGTGTGTCTACAGAAGCTTCTACGACACTTAATGAGTTCAAATAAACTGAAAGAGCTCACCATGAGCTGCAGCAGCTCCTCTTCTGTGCACTCGTCCAGGTTGGTTTGTTTGACGGCCACCAACTGGCCTGAAGGGATGTGGCGTGCCATGTTCACCTGGCTCAGGTTATTGAAGCCTCTCCCTGGAATAGAAAGGACTGATGGCGTCAAATCTCTCTCTGCACAGCTATCTGGAAAAGCCATGCTTGGATATTATATGAAATTGTCTCCGTGGCTATAATGGGCACGCTGTCGGGCTCTCACCCAGCTCAGACAGCAGCTGGTAATGGGCCGGCACAGGTGAGAGTCCTGTGATGTCATCGCCGCCTGCAGGCCCTTGCAGAGTGAATTCAGAACCGTCACAGCTCTGCAGGGATGCACACACACATCTGTTTATAACATGTTTATCCTCCTAGCGGACTTAAAAGACAGGTAGAACAACAAATGAATATGGAGTCAGACTTCATTCAGAATAAGTAACTCCAGAATGCTAAAGGGTGCGAACCGTGACGGGCTAACGAGGACTCTGCTAAGTAAGGTTTGATTTGTTGATTGTCGTTCACTTACTGCCTCATTAGTAATGCTTTGGTAAGACATCAACCACGTTCATGGTGGTGAGGAACTGTATGAGGGGACAGTAGATGCCAAAGGGGGAGAAAGGGATGCTTGCAGTTATAGTAATGCAGACAGGTTGCTGAGACGGAGCAGTTTCTGGTTCTTTTAAAGTGTCAGATTGTTGCAGCTTTGAACACACAAGCTGAATATGTTTGTTGGTTTCAACCACACTGTCCCTGCAGTTTGTCTGCATTACCAACAGGAACATGACTTTACATTTGTCGTTAGTAACTATTTCATATTAGGCACTGCATAAAAACTTCTTAAAGTTTCATAATCTCCGTTACAAGCACAAACCAATTTAACAAAAAAAAGAAAAGACTTTTGTGGATTTCAGTTTTGCATTAAAGGGGCACTCAGTTGATCCTGCACATTAAAGTTTATCTATATTTAATTAGAAGTGTACTATCAGCTGTGTTATTTCACGTGAAGCTCAGCTGTGCACTTTATTTAAATAGAGCAAGTGTTGCTCACAGACACAAGTTTTTGGAAATAAGGTTCAGCAGGGATTTCCACTGCAAGATTGTTTTTGATGCAGTACCGCCTGAGGGCTTGTAGACCATGGCCTGTAAATATGTATGTTTATGTCAATATTGGACATTAGATATCGGAATTCAAAGATTTATGCCTGTATTTTTAAGATTAAAGTCAGGTTTATGAGAAATAATAGTTTATACTTTTTTGGTATAAATCAGTAATTTCTTTAATTATGCTAAATATTTTGAGATTAAAGTAAGAATTCTGACCCCCCCCCTCATATTTCTGAGATTAAAATGAGAATACTGAGATTGAAGTCAGAATTCTGTCAAAGTCTGATTTTTTTTCTTCAGAATTCTGAGATTTAAAACAGAATTCTGACTTTTTTGGTGTAAATCAGTCATTTCTTTTATTATGTTGAACACTTTGAGATGAAAGTCAGAATTCAGTTTTTTTCCCCTCATATTTCTAAGATTAAAATGCGAATACTGAGAATTAAATCAGAATTCTGTTAAAATCGGATTTTCTTTTTTTTTTTCAGAATTCTGAGATTTAAGTCAGATTTCTTACATTTTTTGTATAAATTAGTAATTTTTTAAATTATGATGAACATTCTGAGATTAAAGTCAGAATTCTGATTATTTTCCCCTCATATTTCTGAGATTAAATGAGAATACTGAGATTGAACTCAGAATTCTGACATTTAAGACATTTTTCTCTATCATAGGTCAGAATTTTGACGTTCCTCTCATAATTCTGACATTAAAACTCAGAACTGAAAGAAATCTGAATTCTGCTTGAAAGTCAAAACTCTGAGATTAAATTCAGAATCATGTGAGAGAAACAGTTAGAAAAAAATATATATTTTAGTGGCCCTTATCCTCTTTTGTACACCAGAAATCCCAGGTAGGACATTTAAATTGCATTATGGGAATTGTGGTATTTACTGCTTCAAACAAGGAGTATGTGCTTTGATATTTTGAATTCTTTTGCGCAGATATTGACAGTTTTATTTCACTTTGTCTCTTGTAAGTGCTCTAATCTTATATGGAGTATAAAAGTGATGGAGTACCCCTTTAAGTGATTTATCAACAGCACCATCTAAGCCAAGGGTTAAGCACCTTCAGACAGATGACAAATGATCAGAGATGAAATGATGGGAGAGCATCAGTGTGACGCCTGTCTCCATGCTGACAGTGTCTTGGCTACTGACCAGGAACTGGTGGCTGGTGTCCTCATAGCGCTCCTCTATGTCCAAGGGCTGGACCTGAGCGTGGGAGATGCAGGAACAGTCCTGGTGGAAGGGGGGGCAGGAGCACAGCACAGGTGAGACATGCCCATAGGGAAAAGGGTGGGGGGAGTGGAGAGGGAAACATGGAGCTGGGCGGGAGTGGAAGGTGGTTCACTGCCTCGAGGGTCAGGGAAGCAAGCATCAGGGGATGTGAGCAGTGGGGGCACTTAGAGAGCTTTTTATCGGAAGTGGTGAGTGGAGAGAGATGATAATAGGCAGTAAGAGGCAGCTGGTAAGTCCCAACTGAGCAAGATGATAGCTCCATACATAATCAGATTGGAGGGATGAACAGGTAACTATTTTAAAACCTTATGCATAGAATTTCCCCACCTATAATAGCCCATAAATCGAAGCAAGAAGGTAACTCTCAGTAGAAACAATAGAATATTTGAGAGCTGATGCACTTGAATTACATTTTTTTTTAATCAAAAGTGAATTTCTGTCTTGAACTAAAACATCTTCAGTGCTCTTTAAGGCTTGCTTGAATTTGCAGTATCCCACAGGAGGCATCAGCATTAGCCCCACAGATTCGTGACTATCACCGAGGTCACAACCGGCACGCACGTAGGCATACAGCAAAAAACCATGCAGCGTGACACTCTTACCAAGAAAGACATGGAGTCCTTTGGGCGATGGTAAAATCCCAGGCTTTGGCATTCATCCGCACACAGGCCGAAGGGGACCGGTCGTGGTGGAGGGATGCGTGGGGATGCAGAGCAGCGATGTAATTTGAGACAAGCGGCGGATCCCCCACTAGACTAGAAAGCAGCAGCCGTCCAACCTCAGACATTCATCCATCCGTCTGCAGATTACCTGGCTGCATCAGCTGATCACAGATCGGAGAAAACGGAATGAAATTCAGAAGCGGGGATCCCCGGTCAGTTGTGAGGCAGTAGCGTAAGCATCGTAAGAAAAAGTATGAATGAAGCATGGAGAGCTGTGTTTTCTTCCAGGGCAACGCATTCATGAATGGCCATTACAGACGGCACTGAAGTTAGCGTCTTATTCGTCGCTACTGGTATTATGTAAACAAGATCCACCCAGACCTGTCAGATCTGATCTCGGTTGTGTGTGGGTTTACAAATCTCTTAAAAACGGTCTCAGATTTGTAGTTGTAAAATTAAGAGATATTTCACTGACCCTTTTTAACGTCTGGACAAAACTGGACCAGGTCCTTATTCAAATGCCCATTACCCAATTCTTGGATATGCACTGGATTATTCAAGAGGGAACAAAATTTACGCGACTCTGTAGTGGAAATCATTGCATGAGCTCAAAATCATTGCTTGTTAACACTAGGTAAAAAGAAAACGTGTTTACATGATCATCATTTTCTCGGTCTTGAACAAGAGTCAAAGTATTTAGTCGGGGTGGGAGAAAAAAATCAATTCACATAAGTGTCGTGATTTTTTTCAATTGATTTTTATGTTCAAAAATCAATTTTTTCAAATTTAAGAATAAATCTTCAAAAGAGACTTACATGTGATGTGTATTTTAGGGGGAATTATGGTTCCTGGAGTAGTCAGTAGTCAATCCAAATCATTCAACTGTTTCACTTGTGTTAAAAATGCAGACTAAACATTGAGAAAATCGACAATATCGTAGAATTGCAATTTAAATCAAATCAGCATCCAAATAAATAGTAGAAGAATTGAATGGGGAGAAAAGCAAATGTCCCAGCCCTTGTATTTAGGTCACATTTGTCACATCTGGACGTGAGTAGAGAGTCTCAAGGCTTGGTTTGGCTTCTTCTTTAGCCTACTATCCTTTAGATTTGATTATTATAGTTTTGGACCAGGACCTTGTCCATAACCCATCAACAGCCGAATGGGAAGCTGTGAATAAGACACTAACTTCAGTGTCATTTGTAAGAGTGAATCATATTTCAAAATATTATATTGTGAAACATAATGACCAACTTTTAGATCCAAGATTGGGTGTATTGAAACCATTTCAGCTTCACGTGTTTACATGATCAGCATTTTCTCGGTCTTGAAACAGAATCAAAGTATTTAGTCAAGGTAGGAGAAAAAAAATCGGTTCACATAAAAATCGATTAAAAAAATCGCGATACTTGTGTTCAAAATCCTTTTTTTAAAATTTAATTATAAATCTTGAAAAATGTCATACATGTAATGTGTATTTTTTGGGGGGGTAATAAGGTTCCTGGAGTAGTCAGTAGACAATCACAATTATTCAACTGTTTCACTGGTGTTAAAAATGCAGACTTAACATCGAGAAAATCGACAATATCGTAGAATCGTAATTTAAATCGAATCGGCATCCAAATAAATCGTAGAAGAATCAAATCGGGAGGAAAGCATATTGTCCCAGCCCTAGTATTTAGGTCACATTTGTCACATTTGGTCGTAGGGAGAAAGTCTCAAAGTTTTTAAAAACCCTGGTTTGGACCAGGGCCTTGTTCATAACCCATTAACAGCCGGATGGTTATCGGTGAATAAGACACTAACTTCAGTGTCGTTTGTAGGAGTGAATTATATTTCAAAATATTAAATTGTGACACATAATGACCAAATTCCAGATCCAAGATTGGGTGTATTGAAGCTATTCCGGCTTCACAAGAAGCCAAACATCTGTCAGACAGAGACTAATGCTTAGTTTTTACATAATTATCACATTTTGTTGAATATAATGACACAAACCATAAAAATAAAGGAGTAGCGCGACAAAAACAACAACACACCCCCTCCGTGACTCCCTATACGGCACGCACGCCAAGTAGAAATGTCGACACATATAATAGGGTAAGAAAACACCTCGTTCAGTAGCCTAATGAAATGATATTTTGTAGTGCAAGTGTACTAATTTTAAGTGTCCTCTAATAAAACAAAGATACATACCGTCTCCTCGCGACTGCACGGCTCGTGTGCGTCGACGTAAACAACTTAAGGTCCGTATAGTTTGTGCTCTTTTGTAGGGTAAGAAAATTAAATCCGGAGCCCTAACAGGAAAAAAAGTAGGAACAGCTCTATCCAGCACCTCAAAAACCAAAATGTAATCTATTCACAGGACTTTTAATTTGACACAGACAATCGGCGCCTGATAAAAGCGTCACCCAGTGCGCTGTCGCATATTCATGACCAACAGCTGGGTCTCCCTCCCTCGCTCCCTTCCCCTCTATTGTTAGAGGTTTTGGTCAAGGGGTTGGCTGGCACCGTGTGTACCACAGGAATCGCCCATGCTTTGGATTAATATTGATACAGGGTAAGTTTTCCTCACAATCAAGGATCATCTTTAATATCTGTAATAAGGGATGCTGCCAGTTTAAGCTCGCGATGGTATGTGGAGCAACAGGGAAGCTGTCATCCTCGCCCATCACAGGGATGAAACGATGTGTTTGCTAATGCTGGTTACCTAATGAACTGAAGAGCATGTTCAATTTAGGGACATTTTGATAAAGGAATTCAAAGTAAATCGCACATACTCATGTAAAATCATATTTAGCTGGTGTTATCGTTGATGTCAACGTAACCTCGCTGGTGTTTCGGTTTAAAGAGCGACCCTGTTTCCTGGCGGCATCAGCCGCATATGTTTGTCGTAATCACGACAGCGATCATAACATAAGTGTTATCGTTTAAGCTTATATAGAAGATATATTTGATAGATTTCTTTTGACAGAGAGATTAAAAAACAAATCATAATGCATTTGCAATGGGTCTTTGGGTGCTTTAACTGTAATTGAGCCATAACAACCAGTGACGTATTTTTCGATGTGTCGCCAGTTTGCATGGTCACACTTTTAATCGAAACACCTATTTGTTTTCTGGGTTAGCTAACATAATTTAACACAATTTCATAGCTTATCTTAATAGTTTCAAAAGTATTGTAATGTTTTATTTAGTGTGGCCGTGGGGGGAAAGGGGAAATTGGATTTTACCCAGTTTCAACTTTAAAATTATACAATAATTTTATAATATTAGATTTAAAGTAGTTGGACCTGAAAGAGTCGACTGAAAGAAAGCAAAAAAAGGAATCAGGGAAGAATTGATAATGAATGTTTGAGTCATTTACTGAATGAATTGATTAGAAAAGTTTATTACAAATTATTCTTTTTAACAATTACTCAATAAAACACTTACAGATAGTTAAATTAAGAAAAAGGGAACGGGGGAGTGAGTGGGAGCAAGCAATAGGGAGGCAGTCTACCAAAGGAAGAGTCCGGGGAGTGCACTTACCAACCACACGTAAACCATGAATTCACTGCAAAACATTACAAACACTGCAAACTGGTGTAGACTATGGTGCCTCAGTGCGCCTACCACTGCAACAGAAAAAAAGGTGTGAGGAACCACCCAACACGCCGAGCCTCCACTGCACTGTAGGGGATGAAAAGAAAGTTAAATTAATGATTAAAACTATGTTGAAAAACCCTGGCTGGTTCTACTAAAATGGCTCTTTAATTACAATAAAATCACCAAAATGTGGACAACACAAACTCTAAAAGACAAAAACAGGATCTAAAAAAAGAGACAAAAACAGCAGCTGATTGTGTCTGCAATACAAGAACAGTAATTATTGTACTGTTAAAAAAAATGTGATAATCATGCCATTGTCTTTCTTACAAAATGCTCATACCTGTTTAGGTACATCCATCCAGATTTCCTCCAACCTGCTTAACATCACTTATGTCAATAGACGCCAACAGACAGGTAAAAGTGCAAACTGGAAGCAAACAATCGAAAAGAGCGAACTCAATTCAGCAACTGATTAAAGGTCAGAACTCAAAGTAAATTGTCAAATACGATGATTTTACCTCATTACCTTTGTTCAGACCATGTGGCAGCAAGCAGACACAGACAAAGGAAAGGCAGTGCTCCTGCCGCAGGTGCATTAAATAGGAAGGTAGGTAAAAGGGGAGGAGTTGGCCTAATTTTGAAGAGGCTGCACAGCTTGCAGCTGGAAACAGGGAAAATGGAGATGGTGAAATCATGCAAACCACTTGCATGTGAAAATAATTTAGTTGTGGTGGGGAAGGAACCACGTATTGTCTGTGTTGTTGTGTTCGACCTCTGCTTACACCAGAACATCAGACTGACAATTTTACTGCTGCACTCGTTGTCTGTCAAATTGGATAAGAGCATGAACCGAATGCTTAGCTCAGACATGAAGGGACATAAATCTGCAAAGAGCTGATGCAAGCAGGCTAATCCTCTGGGACGGCTGTGACAGACCGGTGTCAAGTATAATGCAGCTGTGGTGTCTGTGATGCAAAGTCAGGGCTGCTATCCTCCTGCTGTGCTGAGATCTTACACCTTTTATACAGTTCAATACTCCCTTACCAATATTAAGTGGTGGTTTCCAGAGTGCGGTCAGGCCTTTTCCCAGGCAAAGGAAATTAATAGTTCATGTGGTCACTAATCACTAAAGTGCATTTTTGTGGAACTTTACAGAGAAGTTAAAGAAACATTAGAAAAAGTAATGCATTTCTTCATGTTGGTTTAGTTCGGAAGAAGAAGCTGTCTGGCTATATTACTCATGGGCTGACTCACAGTCGCCTGGTCAACAACAGCCTTGCCATTTTAAATCAGGCTGAAGAAGAAGCTTGTATCAGAAAGATGTTGCTCTGATGAGTGTGAGGCTAATGCATGCAGAAACTCTCCTCCCAGTTCAAACTGATGCCGGTAGCTATTAAATCCGGCCTGGAATATCTGCATCATGTAGTGTTTTGTATCGCTCTTACCCTGATAATTCCAGTATCCCTCACTCAATGTCAGTGATATTAATGGGTCATTACGGTGTATCTGCCGGGGCTTTAATGGTAAAACTACATTCTTGCTATTAGCATAGCGTGCATCACAGTAATCTCCTTCCCCTTCATTGAGCAAACAGCCTCAGCATCAGTGTTATGTAAGCTGCAGAGGATGAATGTTACCCAAGGACAGTCTCTGCAAAGGCATGTTCACTCAAAGCCACCCACATACACACAAACTCACACACAGATTAATGGGCATATGATATGTCTGCATGCACAGGGATTTTTAAACTTTAACTTTTCTCACTTTAATCTGCATCTCTCTGGCTTCAAGACATAATTGAAGAAACACACCATGTTGTGGAAGTTCAACCAGTTACAACCAATTATTTTAAACTGAAAAAACGTCCAGACAAGAGAGAAAGTGACAGTAACAGGAGCAGCATTCTTGTCCTCAGCTGGGGTTTCATTCTCAAAATCATCTACTGGGAGCTGAGCTCTTTATGGGCGTGCTTCCTGTCTCATTCCTCCAGAGATAGGCAACAGGATGTGGGAGGAGCTTTGTCTCACCCCTTTGCCGTCCTTAAATCAGTGCGAGGCAGCAGAGTGGATCTTTCTTTGAGCAACAAATACGTGGCCACTCAGTATACCGAAACTAAAGACTGTGACATGAGAAGCTTTTTAAGAATGCAAGGTATTTAGATGAAATGATCACAGGGAGAAATATCTGTAAAACTCTTTATAAAGTGTCAAATATTCAAAGTAACAAACAGGGGAAAGCAAAGAGTCAATTTGAGGGAGTTTGAGTCATTTGTGTTGTTGTTGTGCATTTTTCTCTTCAGGTAAAGGTGTGCAGGCACCGCCCATCAGTGCAGAAACAGGATGTGATGTCACAGCGCTAGCAGAGGTCCTTTTCTGTCCAGCATTGTGTTTGCGAGCGGGGAACCCCCTCCCCAGTCCCGCTCTAAGGACAGGACATGTTTGAAGCCAAACCGCGCGCTGTGGAGAAGAAGGAGTCCAGCACTGAGACAGGTGGAGTGTTTGTGCTTCATTATTGCCAGTTTTATTTAAAGTACACAGAAGAGGAAATTGAAATAATCATTATTAACAGTTTATTTCAGATGCCAGGGTCACACTGCCCTCATGTACAGTATGTTGTGTCTCTGGGCCTGATGCTAAAGTTAGCCCTGTCTGCCCCAGTAAACCACATATTTGCTCAAGCAGAAGGACATTGCCGAGCAGAGTGGCTGAGAACGCACATGCGCACACACACACTCACTCACGACACGCATATTTAAATACTTCATCAGCCCACACTAGCTCTCAGAAAAATAGAGTCTGGCATTTTCTTCCCACCCCTCTGCAGTGTTTTGACAAAATAAAAGCCTCTCAGATTACTGTTTTCCTCGGATTTCCTCTTTAAGCTGCATGTGTTACTGTATTGAAGCTGAACATGTCATGACTCTTCTTCCATCCTCTCAATAGAATAGTAGTTTTTTTTTTTCAAAGGACAAAACTGCAAAACATGCTCTTTTAATGCCTTAAGATGTCTAATGTTGATGTTTTCAGGAATAAAGGTGGGGTAGGCAGGATCTGAGGAAGTGCCAGTTTTTGGGAGAAATCTTAAATGTAAACTCTACCCCTCCCAACCAGTTTTCCCCTCAGCTCCTCCTCTCCCCTCCCTCTCTGCTCCAGTAAGCCCCGCCCACAAATAGACGCTCCTGCTTGCTCGTATCTTTCCAATTAAATTCTGATATAATGCAGATAAATACTTCAGATAATTATAAATGGAACCCAGTCAACGTGAAAGTAAAAAAGCATTGGTGCTACTGTAGATGCCAACAGACTACCAGCAAACACAATGTTTGCTGGACTTCTAAAACTAGGATAAAGGGACATAGTCCAGGACCCGAGGTCAACAGTTTAGCAGCTCTGCGACACACAGCAGATCCCTTTTGACAAGAAACTCTTCTGTTACAGACACTTGGCTTACTTTGTTAAAGCAGTTTATCTGTCCAGCTGAAAGGTTACAGGGGCCGTAAGATCCCGAAGCATCCCCCATCGTTTATGCTGATGTTGACCCGGCTTCTAAGCTCTTGTCCGGTCTACCTCCGTTTTAAGCGCCTGTTATTCCGCCAGAGTCTCTGGTATCTACTTTGTTTTATCGCTTGTGTTTTCCGTACTTTCTGGCTGGTTTACTTTCTACTGTCCGATGTTGTAGCACGCTAACTTTGTTTGGGCTCGTTCAAGTTATTGGAGGACGTGGAGTGTGCCTCACAACATGAGGGAGCAGCATCTGCCTCTCAACCAATCACAATGGGGGAGGCAGAGAATGGCTTTGTTTACAGTCAGAAAGAGCAGGCCGTTCAAAAAATTAAAAATGTTGACTACACAGACATAACAAAACACAGGGATATCGTTATATTACCAAATGTCATCAATAACTAACATCTTTTGACTGATATTAAAAGCTTTTTTGTTTATACACCACAAAAAAAGATGCTTCTGTAACAGATCCCTGCCTACCCCACCTTTAAGTTCCCTTTTTTTGGCCAATCTGTACTTTCATTTTTGGTATCGGCATAAGCCACTAAAAAACAGATATCAGTCAACCCCTGCTGACATCCGGCCAGTACACTGGTCGATCCCACAGATAATAACTGCAAACTGTGCAACATCATTCATCTCCATCATTAAGTGAAATAGAATTTGACTTTGGATCATGAACCCTGAATGATATTTATGCCTCATAACCCACAGATGAGGGGCTGGGCAGCAGTGGGAGGCACTATGGCTCTGGCTCACTTGGCTCCAGCTCAGCCTGCTCTGTCTACCTGTCAGACAGCCAGGACTGGGTGGTCTCCCCAAGCTGCTCCCCAGATGAAGCCCCCAGCCAGCATAGCGCCATCTCCCCCATGCTGGCCGAGGAGACCTTCCGCTACATGAGTAAGTGTAAACCGAGTCCTCTTTGGTTTTGAGTCAGTGTTGGAAAAATCTCTGTTTACAAGCTTTTCTGTTTCTGTGTGTGTGTCAGTTTATGCTCTGCTGTGATTGGTCAAGCCAGTGGCGACATCAGAGAGCAGATGGTGCTCTCAACCCTCTGCATTAACCACGTGAGGGATTCATTTTATACGGCGAACATCCTCCACAATTAAAATCACTGGGATTTAGAGTGGATATGATTTGGCACAGGACTGTCATTGTGTAAAGCTGTCTGTGCTTGTGTGCAGCTAAGAGTGTGAGTGAGTGAAAAAAGAGAGAGAGAGAGCAAGAGGAATCCAGTCATCCAGCCAGAGTTTAAGTGTGGTTGATTTCAAAGCCAGGGAGTCACGGGATAGAGAGTGATGAGGACGGGGAGGAGGAGGAGAGGGAAGAGGGGGAGGGCAGAGTTGAAAGACAGAGCATGAAGACAGGACGGAGAAGTGAAGCGTGAGAACATGCCGGTTTTAAACATCCACAATGAGGAGGATTACGATAACTTTGCTATCGAAGGTAGGTGTCAGTTTGTGGCTCAGTATGTGTGTGTGTGTTTAGCACAGAGACAGATTTACGAGCCTGTGTGACAGCACAGCGTCTGCAAGGTCGGGGAAAGATCTCAGGGACAAGTGTGTTTATACTGTCTCGTCAGTGTGTGTGTGTGTGTCAGGAGACAGGAAGTAGGCGAGAATGAATGAATGCTTGTGTGTTTACGTTCAAACTAGCTCTGGTATGCAGAAGCAGCAGCAACAGTTAGAAAAAGGGAACTTCTGGGAGTTCACATTATTAATCAAACTTTATTTATAAAGTACTTCTCATACAAAAAAAGTGTCGTCCATTCAAGAACACAAGTAGATATATGTCAGGGGATACAAAATAAAATGACCTGAATAATTAGGTGCTTTGGTGCTTTTATTTTGTAAAAACAGTGGGATTAAAAACATGACTTATTTTGTTTACCTGTAAAAGAGTGGGAATTATCAGCATTGTATATGTTTTTCTTTAACTGCACGTGCGACAGAAGGGGTACAGTGAGGGAGTCTGGGTGTCATGTTCCCACTGGGTGAAGCATTTGCTCCACTTATGAGGTGATAAATAGATGCGGTCTATATATAGCACCTGATGCACGTGCACAGGCCTGGCATGTTAATATTAGAATACCCAGTGGAGTGTGTGTGTGTATATATATAGATATATGAAGAAGAGTGTGACCCCAAAAAAGTGTAGTTGTGTTTTCAAACTCATATCGGTAAATACCAATACAGAAATCAGTAAAGACATATATATACCGATTTAGATACATACACAGGTACAAATACTGATACAGATACAGAAACAAATACAGCTATATATACCGATTTAGATACATACATGGGTACAGATACTGATACCAATACAGAAACCGATACAGATAAATATACCAATTTTGACACAAACAAGGGTACAAGTACTGATACAGATACAGAAACAAATACAGATATATATAGTGATACAGATACAGACACAGGTACAAATGCTGATACAGATACAGACACAGGTATGAGCACTGATACAGATACTAATTCAGGTACAGGCACCAATAAAGATACAGATAGATACGGATACAGACACAGGTACGGGCACCGATACAGATACTAATACAGATACAGTCACCAATAGAGATACAGATACAGATACAGGTATGGTCACCAATACAGATATTAATACAGATACAGGTATGGTCACCAATACAGATACTAATACAGATACAGTCACCAATAGAGATACAGATACAGATACAGGTATGGTCACCAATACAGATATTAATACAGATACAGGCACCAATACAGATACCGATACAGATACAGAAGCCAATACAGATACTGATACCAGTACAAAAACCATTACTGATACTGATACAGAAGCCAATACAGATACTGATACAGTTACAGCGATACAGATACAGATTCTTTAAACTTCCATCCGTCAGTACCAATTTGCACATTCTCAGGTACCAAAGACTGAACCAACACAACATGTCAGCAGTGGTATTCACTTGCCTTCACTTTTGCATGATGGTGGTGTGTCATCCATCTTTATATACTGTAAATGATTACTATACCGCACTCTAAACATTGATCCAGGCATCTAAGGTAATCAGTATCTCTTCTTTATTGAGCATGTTTTGAAATCTGAAGAGACGAGCTGTCTAATGCTGACACACTTGGCAAAAATGCAGTCGAAACAGCAGAAATGTGATACATGAGCACGGGGTTTTATCAGTGCAAAGTGATAGCTCAGAGTCACACTGAACTTACTCAGAGGATTATCCAGCCTCGGGTACTTTTTCCTCTGAAGACCTTAACCTTTATGTGTCCTGTCTGATCCAAATTTCCTTGTTGAGTTCTTCTTTTGTGCCGTATTTGCCTCTAGCTGATAGTAATAGCTGTAGATAGTGATAGGAAATGCAGGGGAAGAATAAAGAGGTCTGAATCGCACCCTGAGCTGCTTCTGAGAGGACTCAGCCACTTTACATGGGGGCGCTCTGTCTACAAGGTGAGCTACCAGGGCACTGATCCATATCCTGATCTACGGAGCATGTGTGAGAACTTATGAAAAGGTTATCATGAAACACTACACAAATTGTTAGAAACTTTTTGGTGTTTTTTGGTGCCTAACTTTCACATTTATTTGAATAAATCTTATCTTGGAAGTTGAAATATAAACTTTGACTCAATTTATTCATTTTCCTCAGCGCTGAATCGAAAGGTCAGTGTGACTTATGCAAAGACATTCATATCAAATCGAGAGTGCACTTTTTATCATTCGTTGGACTTTGCTCTCATGCAGTCAAAAGTGTTCAGAGTACAGTCACTGTCTTATACAATTTAACACAACCCACTCCTGTTAACTTGTGAGTAGCGTGTGACTGTATTTTTAAGCGTACTACTTTAGCTTTTTATAATCGTAAGGCATCATGATCAATCTGGACTATGGGCATATCTTACAGTGACAGCACGCTCCTTCCAGCAGGTAAAGATTTATGTGCTCAATTTGTGTGGAATTTGTGTCAAACATAAGAAATCAATGCGCTGTATCTGTTTCACTTTGTATAACAAAGACTGCTCTGTTAGGAAGAGGTTATTTTTAGTCCTCAGTTCTTGGAGGGGAGTGCAGTGTCCAGATCCAGAGGTCATCGAGGGCCTCAGATTACTGGACGACCGCTCTCTTCCATTAGAGCAGCTGCTGCACTTAGGGTTTTAAGCACTGACTATTGCATTTAATTCAAGCTGGAAAAGATTGGTCTCTATTGAATGTATACAGAAAAACTGAGGATGTGGTTAAAGTGTGAATAAAGAACACACTGTACGCTTAATTAAGGGTTAAAATGATTTGCATGTATGTGTTGACGTTCTAAACAGCATCCTGAAGTTCGGTGTGGTTAACATATGAAGTGAAAAGCCGGGTTTCAATGATTAGAGACGCTGTTTTCTCTAAACAGGTGGATGTGGGAGCAGTGCAGCGCTGCGGACACCCACTCAGGTGCTAAAAAAGGACCAAACTAATGGATGTAGATTCTCTGATTCCCAACAAACTAATGTCTCAAAATTAAAGTGGAATTATTGAGGCTTCTGCTTTCATCCTTGGCTTCTTCTTCTTCTTCTCCACGTGTCGCCTCCCTCTGCTTCTCCTTTTCTTTTCCCTCTTTCTCTTTTTGTCCAGTTCATCCTACGACAAGTTAATCGCTTGTTCACCTTTTGAACTCTCCCTCTTTATCTCTCTCATCCCTCTCTCACTAGCGTATTTCGCTTTGGAGCCCTCCTCTTATCCCAACTCGGGCTCTCAGAGCCTCTCCAAAGGTATCTTTCTCCCTTTGTCTGTCTGCCTGCTCTGCTTTGGTTATTTCTTTACTAAGCTCCACTGTGAGAGAGGGGCTTCAGTCTGCACTTTCACATGGACCTAGAGCCACAGACCTGCCGCCCCTCTCAGCTTTTTGCATGTAGATGACAGCAGACAAGGGATTTGTGTAGCATAGGTCTGCTGTCTGCCACTGTAGACAGCCAGTAGTTCTGTAGCATGGTTTATCCAGACCACTAACAACCACTTTGCCACACTACGGAGCTGTGTCATTTATTAGCTGCAGTTATAGCTCATCTGCAGTCCTGTTTAGTTAATGTTTGACTATGAAGAAGCTGCTGTAAACAAGCAGATTTTATGTAAACAGCTACTCATGTTGTTAGTGGTCTAACAGTTTGTAAAGTGGCATGCAGCAGAATTTGTTTGGAGTGGTATTGTGGATTTATTTTCACTTTCAATGACGTGTGTGTGGAGCTTTTTGCATGCACATACAACTAGCTGTTTGAAACAACTAGCCTTCCTGTGTACCCCCTAATTTGTTTCCCCTCCTTTCCTAGTCCTCAGTGGTGATCGCGTGGAGCAGATGACCAAGACCTACAATGACGTGGAAGTGGTCACACATCTGCTGGCTGAGGTAAGAATCCGCTGACTTGGAATAAATGGGTCAGCATCCAGTTAGCTAACTGGCAGACTAACTTGTCACTCTTTTTCGCAACGCTAGCGGGACAGGGACTTGGAGCTGGCAGCTAGGATTGGTCAGTCCCTGCTGCAAAGAAACCACCTGCTGCAGGAGCGCAATGAGGCCTTAGAGGAACAGCTCGCACAGGCCCTAGATCAGGTACCATGTCGATGCTTGTTTCATTGATGACTGTAGAGGACTGTGTTTGTAATTTTATGTAATTTAATGTTATTTATGATTAGAATTAGATTTGTGTTTAAGTTCCATCTGGTTCAGATGTATTTCCCATTTCCATCTACAAATAAACAAACATTAAACAACAAAAAGTAGAGGCCCTAAACTCGAACCTTGTGGTACACCTTTAGCGTAAAGCTTCAATTTAGAGCATGTACAACATCACATGAGTGCTAGAAATGTAACTCTCACCAAATTATTAATCAGGTACACCAAGTCCAGCATGAGCTCAGTAAGAAGGACGAGTTGCTGCGGATGGTGGCCAACGCCTCCGAGGAGAGCGAGACCGACTCCAGCATCTCCACGCCGCTGCCGCAGCTTCAGGCACCAGGAGTGACCACGGCCGCCGCAGCGCTCAGCCAGCTGGAGTCTCTGCAGAATAAGCTGCAGGAGCTGGAGGAGGAGAACCTGGTGCTGAGGTCTGAGGTAAGGGGTGTGAGTATAGTTAATGAATCAGGTCATAGTTTGTGTATTAGAATGAATGCTGATTGGTTCCTCTCCATATCTACACTCCAGGCATGTCAACTTAAGAGAGATACCATCAGCTATGAGGAGAAGGAGCAGCAGCTTGTGAGCGACTGTGTCAAGGAGCTCCGTGAGTTACATTCATCTCCTCACGCTTCAAAACTCTTCACACAAGGAAACGTCTTTCTGACTTTAATGTGTGTGTTTTGATTTCAGGTGAGTCCAACAGCCAGATGGTGTCTTTAACAGACGAGTTGTCTCAGAAGAACGAGGAGCTGCTACGACACCAGGAGGAAATCGCTCAGCTGCTTTCGCAGATAGTGGAGCTGCAGCACAGAGTGAAGGAGGTGAGGGAGAGGGGAGGTGGTGTCACGTGATTTGGGAAAGAGTCGCCGACCGGTTGAGTGTAATCTTGAAGGATTGAAATGAAAAGTTCTCATGACTATCTCGAACATTTGACTGGGAATTCTCCTTGAATATGGAGAACATTGACTTCTTTTATATCTTGAACACGAACAAGGCCATCTTCCAAGGTTGATATTGCATATTTTTGCATCTTGACTTTGGACTAGAGGGCTTGAGTTGGTCTTGATGGGTTCTTCTTTTGACTCAGTGGGCCAGACTTTGGACCTGACTTTGTAATGTCATTGACACTAAGCTAGGGTGACCACATTCTGAGGACACGACTACACAGGGGTGGAGTCACGGTTAATTTTGAACATTTTTTTGGGTCAGATCAAGTGTCTTTTACGCACTTCTAACTCAGTAAGGCAACGTGACACAAAATCGAAACTTATGTACAAAACCGAGGACATTTGAAGGATTTTATAAACTTCCCTGGACAAACCCGGACAGCCCCTAAAAAAGAGGACTTGTCTGGGTAAAAGAGGACGTATGGTCACCCCAACTAAGCCATGAGGCTTTATTGGATCGTCTGTGTTTGAAAACTAACATCATGTGTTGTTTCTACACAGCTGGCTCTGGAGAAAGAGGAGCTGAGGATCCACCTGCAGGCCTCCAAAGACGCTCAGAGACAACTCACAGCAGAGGTACTCTCACGCACTCCTGCCTCATCTGACACCAGGAAACCTGCAGCTTCTTAAACCTTTTGTTGTTCTTTAATGCTAATTCATTAAACCCCTTATTTGTTGCAGTTAAATTAACAGTTTTAAATACGCATTAAGAGTCTTAATTATTTGCCATAATGAGTCCTGAGTGTTGTGATGTGTGTGTTGTAGCTGAAGGAGTTGGCAGACAGGAATGCAGAGTGTGTGGAGATGCTCCATGAATCCCAGGAGGAGATCAGAGAGCTGCGCAATAAAAACACTCCCTCTGCGGGGATGAGGAGGCACCTCTCGTACGGCCTCTACCCCATGGTGAGAGAACGACTCTGAAGTCTTTCAAAACAGCTCCAAGTCAAGTATATCCCAGGGTCAAACTACACAGACTTTAAACTGGTTACCATGGTCACGGTGTCGGATTAGATTATCATAGTGTCACATAGAAGGTGCCGTGAGGAAAGATCTAAGCATATCGGACAAAACTGGTCCAACATCCCCTCCATAAAATAAATACATCTCAACACGGAATGTGATCAAAGCTGTTTGAGACGATAAAACGAAAAAATCTTTGTGTTTGATAGGACTCCTTAGCAGCAGAGATCGAGGGCACCATGAGGAGAGAGCTGAGCGTTGAGGAAGAGACCGCATATAAGGACCAAAGGTGAGAAACTCTGATCTACTGGAGTGAAATGAATCTATATCCAGTGGAAAAGGAATGGTCTCCCAAGGGGTAATTTGTCATGAATATGGGGTTGGTTTTCTGCTAATTGACATCAATTCAATCCCAGCTTCCTACATAGAGTCCTTGGGTAAATAAAGGGTTAATTCAGCTGTTTTTTTCAGCCTCATCTAACTTTCAAATTGGGTTTAAAGGACTCCTCCTTTAGATCTGGTCTCTTCTCCCTGCAGAGTATCCCAGAAGCGGGTTTTCCAAACAGTTCGATCCATAAATGCCTCACGCCCGGCCTCAGCCACACCTCCGATCCCTGGCTCGGGCCAGAGCTCCTTGGTGATGACCGCACAGCCCTTCCAGTCCAATCAGGGGTATGTCTCAAAAAGGCTTGACCCTCACGTCTTTTACTTCTAAGTGGTTTTAGGTGAATCAGTGTGTCTATGTTTGCAGAGATGAGGTGCCACTAGGCCAGCCCGGTTGCCCGGGAGGAAACGACCTGACCAGAGCACTCCACCGCCTCTCACTGCGCCGACAGAACTTCCTGTGCGAGCGTCAGTTTTTCCAGGCGGAGCGGGAGAAGAAGCTTCAGGCGCTGGTGGGAGCCGAGGGGGAAGGAGAGGGCAGCGGCTACAGCTCGCCGATGGGCAGCGTGCTCTCGTCTTTCTCCAACCTCTCAGAGCTCTCGTTCAGCTCCAGCGTCTTCAAGACTTTCCTGCCTGAGAAACTTCAAATCGTCAAACCAATGGAAGGTAAAATGTTTGATTTGGTATGCATCACAAGGCAGCTTGAGTGGAGAATTCCACATGTAACAGATTGCAGTTGAACCAGAAAGAAAGTGATGCCACATCTAATCGAGCACGTCATGCTCTGTGGATCAAATTTCTGTGGCAAGTGGAAAAACATGTGACACATGTTACCTGCTCATGTATTCATTAAAAATTATATCATATTCCCTCATTTCTTCCTCAGGCTCACTGACGCTCCATCACTGGCAGCAGCTCGCTAAACCACACTTAGCCACCATCCTAGACCCCCACCCTGGAGTGGTGACCAAAGGTTTCTGCCCACTGGTCCAGGATGCTGTCTACCGCCTGTCTGACATGGAGGAGGACGAGGAGGACGAGGAGCTCAGACGGATTGAAGATGTGGAAAAAGGGGCTGCAGAACGTGGAAAAGAAGAAGAGGATGAGGAGGAAGAGGAAGGCGGGATCACCTTCAAGGTTCACTGTTCTTCTACGCCTGAGGAGAGGATGGATAGAAGGCAGGCGTTGTCTCCGCTCCCTGTGCCGCCTCTCTCACCTGGGACACCGGCTGCTTCATCCTCAGTCAGATCAGGCCTCAGCCTGACCCCTGCAGCCCGTCACATGACTGAGAAATCCAGCCAATCAGCTCAACCCATTCCAGCTGGGGTCCAATCACAAAGTTCCACTTCTACAACAACAACAACATCTTCCTCTGGTATTAAAAATAAATTACTTCAACAAAAATAGGCGAAATATTGAATTTTATGAGTCGTTATACTGAGAATTTTTAAAAAACGTATTTGTTGTTTCAGTCCAAAATCCAGGGAAGAGTCAGAGCTCCACCTTCTCCACCTACACTTTCACAACCTGTCGCATCCTGCACCCCAGTGACCTCACACAGGTCACTACAAGGTGAGTCCCCCTGTGACATGAAGAGTATAAGAAATGCAGATGGCGTGGCAGAGAGAAAAAAATCACATCCTCTATGTCTTTTTTCAGCACTCAGTCATCCATCATGGCCAACACCCCAAGCTCCATGAGGACAGGTCCAAGTACTCCGTTGACTCCCTGCAGACTGAGTCTGGGAGACTCCTTCCCCCCTCGTCGTTCCCCTGCACCCCCAAGCGGCCTCGCCAAGCTGGTTCTGGAGAGGGGCATTTCCGCACAAGTTTCCACCGACACCCCACCTCCATCCCCAAAACCCACCCCCAGGCAGCCCCTCTTCCGCCTCCTTCCGAGCACACCCCCGAACTCACCCACCCACTCACCCGCTCCTTCCCCTGTTCCCACAGAGTCCCGCCAACACTCGGCTGATAATTTCCTCGCCTCGCGGCCGGCTGAGTTGTTCCTCCAGGATGTTTACGGGTTGAACCTGGGCCGTGCTCCACATCCGGACCTACCGAGCCCTAACCAGGAATCCCCGAATATTGTCCAGTCACCTAAGCCAGGCCGAGCCAAGCCCGATTCAGGTAACGTCGGCTTGGTGGAGAGACTGCGTCGGCTGGGTTTCACCAAGGTGCTCCACGGTGCAGATTCAGACGCTTCAGCAGCACGCCGGGATTCTTCAACTTTTGTGTCAGCAGGAGGGGGAAGCTTATTGGACGGCTTAAGGCGCAATCAGAGCCTCCCTGCAATGATTGGTGCCCGAGCAGGAAAATCAACCAGTAACCCAACACCTCCCCCTCACCCGACCACCTTAGCCCTCGCTCCGCCACCCTGGGGAAACCTTAGAGGACGCCCTCACCTTGGCTCCGTCTCCCATGCTTCGTCAAGCTCAACCAAACGCTGAGGGAAAGAGGTGAATGGATTGAAACACACTCCAGAACTTGAACCTCCTTCTTTAGACCTCCATCCTCTTCCTCATCTCTCCTTTCCTGCCTTTTGGAGAGAGGAGTCAGGGCATCTGGTGGGCAGAACAATCCCTCCTTTTTTTAAGACTTTATTTTAAAGCACAACTGAACTAAACTGACTGTTTTTAGCGATACTGCAGTGTCTTTGTGTGTAGATGTGTGTAGTTACTGAGGCCTTAGTGTGCCTCTGAGCAGGTTATTCAGCTCTCGGTACCTTCTGAGTCATGTATGAATCTTAATTAGGTAGTTTTCCTGTGAGACTCTGGATGTTCTGGTTGAGGTTGATTAAGCCAGGAGTGGAAATAATGTAGGTGGTTGAAGGTTTGTGGAGGTGGATAAGAAATGAACAGGGTGATATAGAGGTATAAAAGGTCTCGGTATGTTGTTGGGAGTTAGAGGAAGAAGAATGTGAAAAGAAAGACAAAGAGCATCCAGAGTTTTGCTGTCAAGGGCTTGTTCTGTATGGGTCAGAAAAGCTTTAGTCTGAAATAGAACAGTATCATCTGCAAAGAAAAATTCAGTTAGAAAAGCTTTAGTGTGGAAAAAAATCAGTGAGGGAAACTGTTCTGAAATAAATCAGTCATCGGCAAAGAAAGGTTCAAGGGGGAAAATTTGAGCCTGAGATACAACAGTGTCATCAGCGTAGAAAATCTCAAGCAGTAAGTCATGGTCTAAGAAAACAGTATCATCCACAAAGAAAAGCTGAAGTCTGAAATAGAACGGTGTCATCGGCAAAGAAAGGTTCAGTCAGAAAAGCCTTAGCGTGGATAAGTTTGGTATCATCGACAGAGAAAAAAATCAGTGAGGGAAACTGTCCTGAAATTGAACTGTGTCATCGGCAAAGAAGGTTCAAGGGGGAAAATTTTAGCCTAAGATACAACAGTGTCATCAGCGTAGAAAATCTCAAGCAGTAAGTCATGGTCTAAGAAAACAGTATCCACAAAGAAAAGAGGGAAACTCTTCTGAAATTGAACTGTCATCAGCAAAGAAAGGTTTCTATCAGACAGTGCTTGGTATGAAACAGAGCTGTATCATCTGCAAATAAAGGTACAGATGGAAAAAGAACGTTATCATCTGCAAAGAAAATCTCAGCAAGAAGAGAAAAGGATTCTATCTGCTTTTACGACTTGAGGACCAGAAGATTTTTAAGTGCTAGCTGGCTTTACAGCATACTGCCAAGCTAATATGATAGTCAGACCATGTTATTAACATGCCAGTATTAATCTTCTAATGATTTTACAAGAGTGAATCATCACACGGATGTATGGTAACCGTCCATGTGCTGTGCGCCTTTTTTCTATTTTCTTGCAAGCGTGTGCATGACACGTGAAAAGTAACCTTGCCTACAGGTCCCAGCATGCACCTGTGCCAGGCAGGTAGTGTGAGGTTGAAGATTAAATCAATACGCAGGCAAAGAAGAAACAGTTCTGTCTTTTCCTTCAGGTCCTTGTGTTCTGTGTGATTTAACTTGTATGAGGCCTTAAGTAGAAGCCAGCACTGTTATGATTTCAGTTCCTGTTAAGCCATGTTTCTATATTTTTGTTGCACTCGGTGGGATTTGAAGGTTGGTTCGCTTGTTTATTTCAACACAGCCTCACTTTCTTTGGAGGGAAGTAAAAAGCCACTTTGTTTTGATGGTTTATCTCACATGCAGGTTGTTTTTGTGGTTATAAGACGTTTCTGGGATATTTCAAGTACAGTTGTGGTTCACAAATCGGACAGCAGGTGGGAGTATACCTGTAGAATATTAAGACGTAAGGTTCGTCCTGCATAGTACTGTATTATAATACCAATACAAGGAAGCATTAGGTTTTATTTTAGACCCTGTGACCCTTAAGTGTTGCCATACCTTTCATTTGCCAGTCCAACTAGAGCCTCCTAATAAGCTACTGCACTTTTACTTTTATATTTAACTTTTGTTTTACTGACACCACTGTTTGAAGTTATTGATTCTAACATATTAAGGACAAATTCTAGCTAAATGTGTGCCTGTTGTAACAATGTCTGCTAACATTTTGACATTAGATTTTAATATATGTAGCACGTTTTTTTATATATATGTATTGTTTTTTTGCTTCATAAGGGAATTTAAAAATCAAGCCAAAACTTTGAATACATGTGATACAATTTATGCGAATTAGCTATGGTATACTCAGCAAAGGAAGTAAAGCTACATCTCGGCGTTGATTTGTGGGAATGGAGAAAAGAAAAGAAAGCACATCCAGACTTTTCATAACAATAGACCAGTAGATTTATCGTGGTTGTCATATGCACTGCTTTTCAACAAAGCAGGAGGTTCAGGTTTCTTCTTCTTTTTTTCTTTTTTTTTAAGCTAAATTATAAAAAAATTGTTCTGTGAAATCTTTGTGCCTCCCTCCAAGATTCTGATCCTCTGTATACACTCATTGCTATTACTCAGTTGCCTCTTTTTTAAAATAAAGCATTGTAAATAAAGCTGACTCATTGACTGGTTTATTATGACTCATGCAATAGTTTCAGAACAAAAACCCTTGTCCTGAAAATCCCACTCTGAGAGTCAACTGGAAGTCTGTTCATTCCTTTAGGAATCATTATGAAATCCAGAGTGCCTGAGTCAATCAGCGCAACAACGTTATACAGCTCTTTCAAATATTTTTATTATGATTTTAAGTCAGTTTCAGCCCCAGACTGTGTAAAAATGATTAATGACATGACAAGTCCCCAAAACAGACGCCAAAACATGTTGATTTCCCCCCACTGGCAAACTGAAGTTTAGGCCACAAAGCCCGCCTCCTCCATGTAAACAGATGAGACATGGGTCCGCCTATAAAATTAAAATGCAACCCCTCAGTTCTTCCCTGAACATGGTTTCTGGTCTCATAAATAGTTCTTATAACAACAATTTTTCGTTCATTTTTGAAACAATCATAGTCTTCGCCTAAAGGTCCTTACACACCGGGGCTGACGCAAATATAGAACGCGGAATCACTTAATATTCAGAGGCGAATTTTGTGTATAGTGCCTGGCTATACACATCAAGCCCGATGTGATTTTCCAACTTTCCACAGGGAAAAAGACGCATCCCGGGGAAGACTTTTCTTGGGGTAAGTCCCGCCTCCTTCGCCTCTGATTGGCTAGAAAAGCTGGAAACGTCATCACACGCTCAAGCCAAACGGTCAGGACTTATAGCCAATCAGAGACAATAAGATAAGCACATGAAACTATGGTAAAAAGGCGTTTAGCAAACTGTTAAAGCACGCAAACCATCGTCATTTGAGGAATCCGATGCTATGACTCTCTACAAGTTGTCCTTCAGGTCGTTATCTTTGTAATGTTTGTGTCTTTAATCATAAATCATTCTCCGACACGTGAACAATCAGCCGGTCGGCCATGTTGGATATACCGGTGAATCTGACGTTGCAACAACACGAAATCTGATTGGTCAGAAGTGGACACACAGTATGCGAAATTTTAGAAAAATCAACCATGATCCGAAAAAATAAATGGCACAATATCGCAGAATGGGAAAATGTCGCTGATGTGAACGCTTGTATTGACAGGATACGGGTTCGAAAAATAATATTGACATCCGAAATAATCGCACGACAAAAACGGTCCCGGTGTGAAAGGACCTTAAGTTGTCAATCAACCAACAGATTGGTTTTCATTCCTAGAGCTTAAAGTCAAACATTACAATGTTTACCTCATGTAAAGGTCAAGTGCAGTCGAAATATCTTAAGAAATGGGGTGCAACCAATCCAAAATATGAAGCAGTCAGTCACTGTGTTTATAACAAGCTTGAATTTCCTGAGCTCTTCCATGTTGCTGTTAATAAAATAAATTAATAATAAGTGGTGTTTTTATGTCTTCCAGTCTGCCCCCTCACATAGGACAGATCTTGATGCTGTCAGTGCTGGAGCTAAACTGACCAAGGGCGAAGTCTAGACCCACACCGACTCCACTGCCCACACCAAAAGCAGCATAAACAGGCTGCGTGAAGTTGGCACGAAATGTATGAAGGTGCGTCATGGTGTCTGCAACGCTGTAGAATGACAGTGTCCCAGCAGACAGGTCCAGGTAGACGCCCAGGCGGGGTGAATAGGTGACTGGTATATCCCGCTTCTCGTTGTCGTGCATAGCCGAGCAGCAGGTGTCTGACAGCTCAAGGGTCCAAGACTGAGCGTTATACCCGAGTCCGGACCTTGCATCCGAGCCTTTTCTGCATAATGCACCATAGGCTACACCTATAGACGAGCCCCTTCCTCTCCAGTCCACCTCCCAGTAGCAGCGCTGGCCATACAACGGGCTTGGGGACATCACTTGGGTCCAGCCGTCAAAACGCTGGGGGGTGTCAAGATATGGCTGAGCAGCACTTTGCAGGGTGGCTTTAGTGTTACCCTCAGAGAGAACCAGACGTCTGTGGGCTGAGTCAGGGTCGAGGGTCAAGTTCACAGAATCTGGAAAAAAGAGGGTTTGATTGAAACTCACTAACATTATTGAAATATTTGTTTAAAGTCAGAGTAAATCCCTTTTGGAGACGTGGAAGGATAATTTGAATAAAAATGTTGTCAAACTTTGAGACTCACATTGCAGAAACTCCTCCCTGGCTCTCGGCTCCGGGGCCTGGATGCTGTCGATGCTGATTTCTCTCACTAAAAAAACCAACAATATCAAAGTTACTACAAATACAAGTGCAATATTCAAATTAAAAGAATGAATGTGATCCTTTAGTTTTAGTTTCACATCTGTCTTGAAACAGGGATGCAGTCACACAAACTCACATGCAGGGAAAGCAGGAGCCTGGATCGAGGTACTTGGACTGGGGGAGTCCAAGAAAAGACCAGGATTGACTGTAAAGTGAGAAAACAATGTTAAAACCTCCTTTATAGACTGGAAAGTTCTTGAATCTTACTGATTTAGCCAGTGGAAAATATGAAATGTGATCAAGTTTATCGAGACAGGTGTCTTACCAACTGTTGGTGTTTCAGGCAGAGCAGCCATCCCCCCTGTTAAGTTAACATAAATCACACACTAAGAGAACTAGAAACATCATAACCATAAAACTATATTTAGTAATTATTTATAACTTGAGCAGAATTTTCTGGTTTCAATGTTATTAGGAAAACACCATTTATTCCACGATATTTAAAGCTGTTTTGTAAGATAAATAAAGGTAGTAAGAGTCAGGTCTTACATGGGTTTCCTCCTGCAGGCGGTGTGTTATTAGTCGTGGCAACTGGGGTGGCTGGGGTTGTGCCACGTCGATGAGAGCGAAAAATACTGCTAATTGATGCCATCCGACTAAAACCTGATCCTTTTATTAGAAAATGAAACAAGTTTCAGACTCTGTTCAAGGCATTTGTTTTTCAAATTTGCACTGTACACATTTTGCCAGAGGGTGGCAGCAGAGGAAATGATGTGAGGGTGATGTTTCCTCTAAGGGTTTCAACTGTACCTCCAGTTGATGCTGGTGCAGCAGCAGGAGCTGGAGCTGGAGAGGCAGGGACATGAGTAGGAGCTTGGGCTGCACGAGGGGTAGGGACTGGAGCAGGAGCTGGGGCCGCACGAGAGCTAGCCTGGCTCTGGATGGACCTCTGGCTGCTCCAGAGAGACTGAGACTCTCTACGGTTAGGAGTGGGGCTGGGTCTGGGGCTGAGTCTGTGGTTGCTCTCCCTCCCTGTTAAAAGAGATGTATGATTAAAGCTGGGGTTGGACCAGACACAGTAGTATGATCTGTGAGTCAGTATGCAGTAATGTAATGGTGCTGATCCTTTTCATTACAAATCTGTGATTTTTATGTAAAAAAATCATAATATGTGATAAAAGAATTATATTTTAAACAATTGTCTTGGTAATATGGGTTTTAGATTTAAAGAGACATAACAAAGAATCATTTGCATTGCTGAGAAAAGCTATATTAGACACAAGCACGAAAGGACCCAGTCTAGTACCGAGGGGTACGCCAAACACAGTTTCAGCTAAAGACGGTATCTGAAAAAGGGTCTGAAAAAGCCCCAAAATATTAATGTATAGAGTTCGAATTAGGGCCAAATTAGGGGGAAGATTAAAGGATAATATTTATATTAATACAGAAAACAATTTATTCACCACCAATTTACCAGGAAGTTTAAGGTTTTGAAATCAGAGCTTGTTTAACCTCCTGCCTGCTAAAGCAAAAATACATACCTGTGTCTCTTTCTCCTCTCCTCAGTCTGTCTCTGAGTCGAGGTGAGTTCGTGTTTCCTCTATCTAAAACAAGGAAAGTGCATGGTTTTAACGATTTACACCCACTTGTTTGACTTTTTCACACTCACACTATCGGTCAGAGTTCAATTGGAGAAGATTTCTTGAAAAAAAAACATGACCTCTCACCTTTTGGTGTTTCTCTACTCCTCACGTCTGGAGTTTTGTGGCCTACACCTGAGAATGAAAGGTGAATTTTGAGGTAAACAAGGGCTGCACATTGATTTACTTTTCGTGATGGCACGATTACAACAAAATCAAGTGTACAGTACCGAGTCCTCGTCTTTCTGCACTTCGTGCTCCACCTGAAATACCCGGAGAACGGCTGTTTGTGTTACGAGAACCCAGACCAGAAAACACTGCAAAAAAAGAAGAGAATCAGGAACAACTTCTTTGGGATCATGGGATATGTAGTCTTTGATCAGATTTAGATTTAACGAGAAAAAGCTCACGTTTTAAAATCCCTCCTTTCACTCCTGATTGGTTGGCTGGATCAGAACAGAATTTAAATGTTAACCAAGAAGGCACAAAGATGTTTAATATTTTATGTTCATGCTAAAAAGGAGTTTTAAAGGAACTCACAGTCTTTCAAGGTGAACAGTGTCGTGTCGTTTACTGGAAGAGAACAGATAAAAATCTTGAAACTGTTAAAAATAGATAATCTAAAACCACAGCTGATCACAGGAGTCATGTGACAGACCTTGTTTGGTGATCCTGCCCAGCTCGTTGTTGCACATGTCCTCAATTTTCTCCCTCAGGTCCAAGACGGCCTCTCGCACAGGTTCAAAAGAGGCGTCTGAGTTGACAAGTACAGGGGGCAGGTCTCCAGACTCAAGAGGGCTGCACATGGACTCACAAGTCTGGAGAGAAAAAAGTACTTTCACTTAGTAGCTGGGTTTGAAATGTGGAGACAGTGATGTCAAGTTCCCAGCCAGTCTGTATCTTTAGTCTGCTCAAGCATGTGCTGATATTTCCGCACCTGCAGGTAGTAGATGTGATCCTCACAGCGAGCCAGGTCCTTCATCTCTGTGTCCCTTCGCTTCAGCTCTTTGATCTCAGCCTCCAGGCTCTCAGAGACCTCCTGAGCCTGGCTAATCTTCTCCTGTCCAGCTTGATCCAGAATCTCCTCCAACAGCTCCTGCAGACGCTCCACTGAGCGCTGCAGCTCTGACAGAGCCTGCTCCATGTCCTCATGCGTCCTGTGTGTGGAATTCTTTGCAGACATGGAGAAGAGTGTGAAGATGGTTGTGTAGCTTTAATTTTGTGAAATTTGCAGCAAATTAACCCAAAGTTATGCCAACCAACCTGCATCACATCCATGACTTTCTTCAGGTCTTTTAGCTCCTGCTCTCTGTCTTTCAGCCTCTGCAGATTCTCCGACTGCAACTCAGACAACACTTTCTAGAAGGATGACATCAAAACATTTAAGTCGGACATGAGCACGAGGAAACAGGGAAACAGCGGGACATGTGACACTGAAGACAACATCAGAAGGTGGAGCGACATGAATGGACAGGAATGCAGTCAGGAATGTCCTCAACCTGGAAGGAGCCGCAGTCAGAAACATAAAGGATAAAGGATGACACCTTGAATAGAAATCTACCACACATAATAGAGAGTGAGCAGGGACAGAGTCAGACCGTACAACTCTCTTTGATTCAAGTTGTTTACCTTATGATAAGAATTGAATTTCTTTGCTCTATTCTTCTTGTGGTTTATCAAGTATTATTATTATTTGTTTAAAGAGAGGCTTTCAACTCGGCACTAAACCTGCCAGAAAATTATTCCCTCGGATCTTTCTCCTGTTTTCTTAGTTGACTTTGTTGTTGCTATTTTTAGCTCAACCTTTTCAGCTGAGTCACACTCTGAATTTGTCTCCATAGAAAATCAAGGGTCAATTATTTGACCTTTGAGTTAATTGCCATGCAAAATGCAGTAAGATTACTTTGTCCTGCTGACTCTGTTGCTTATTTCTCTTTTCTCTCTGATAATTTTTATATAGACAATTCTCTATACTTTGAAAAGTATAAATGTAGAGAAAGAACTGCTTTCTCGATAGCTTTTAACTAATTCTACATAACATTTGACATGTAGGACGAGAAAGGCTTCAATCAGTCAAAAATTGTGGCATTTGATACCCACTTAAAGATGTTGATGTAACCAACTTTACACACTTTAACCATCTCACTGTCTTCAAACAGACATTGGGAACATGTTTTGTGTTGACATATACCATTTTTTGAGAGCATGCAGCGGTTTTGCATGTAATCAAGTGCCTTAATAGCACACTCTAATATACTGTTTGTCTTGGAGCATGTTATCCAGCATCCATCCTTGCCTACCTGTTTCTCCAAGCGCTCAGCTTTCGTGGACACACACTCATGGGCTTTGTGCAGGTCATTCGTACAAAGCCAGCAAACAAAGATCTTGCAATGCCGACAGTAGAACTCCTGCAGGTACTTGTGCTGGATGCAGATCTTCTCAGTCAGATTGCTGATGGGTCCAATGAGCTCATGTTGCTTCAGGCTCTTCTTAGTCTGGTGGGGCTTCAGGTGAGCTGCGCAGTAGGAGCTCATACACATCAGGCAGCTCTTCACGGCTGCTCGCTCTTCTCCTTTGCACATGTCGCACAACACTGCTGCAGTGGAGAGCTTTGGTTTGGGTCTAGATGAAGAGAGCCCACGGGCGCTTCTCATGGACTCACGCACTTCACTTTTCAGAGCACCTTTGCGGAGCTGCTCTACAGCTTCAGCCAGCATGGTGTTCCTGGACAAGGAGGGCTTGGGGCAGAAGGTCTGGCGGCACTGAGGGCAGCTGTAGATTCCCTTTGGGTCATCCTTACTCCAGTAGTCCTTGATGCAGGCCATGCAGTAGCTGTGCCCACAGGGGATAGTGACTGGATCATTTGGGAGATCCAGACACACAGGGCAGTTGAACTGCTCCTCTGTCCAAAGCTTAGAGCTCATGGTGGCACTGTCAGATTCAAGAGGACACTGAAGAGAAGAGGGTGAGCAGGTATCCAAATCCAAAGTGGGACAGAAGAAGAACCAGAGACATATAAAGTGAGGTTTGTCCCATAAGCACAGAAGGAAAATGCTGCGCTTTCAGGTGAGAGCAGGGAGAGGTGAGCAGGGTGGGGCCTGAGCCACCAGGCAGGTCTAGCGGGGAAAACGGGTGTCGGTGGAAAACTGCTAAATGCCAGTAAAGAAAAGGTGTGAGTGGAGTGATTGTTTAATCATTTCACCGAAACAGTTGAGAAAATTCTCAGATCAAAAAAGAAGAAATCACTTTAATGTTGAATAATAGAATTACTTTTCCATTAAAAATTCTAATAACATGATAATACAGGAGCAGTTTGGGAAGCTGTGCCAGATTTATGTTTAATAACTTTGATATTATATCATTGTCAATGCATCTATGCACAAGTTACATGATGGGGACGTTACCTGTCAAGGTGGAGCAATTTTTTTTATACTACTACTTTTAAACTATTTAGGAAGGTAAATTAAGCGGTTCAACCTCAGGGTCACCCAAAATACAAAGAGTTTAATGGCGCAAGAGAGTACACTGAAGGCTCACCCTACGAAAAATACCTGTTAAATTGAGCAAAACTGATAATGTTTAGGAAAAAATCAGCTTTTTGTTTCTTATTTCTACAGAGCAGCTCTCTTTGATGTATAAAATTTAGATTTCAAATGCCAAAATTAATCAAAAAACTAATAAACCAGAGAAAGCCAAAGACAAGGCCTGTTAAACAAACACGGAAGTACACACACACGGTTTCTCTTGAACTCCTCAAGTCTGCGGCATCAAGTCCGTCAAGCTAACTTTGTCACATTTAGGGGAAGTTTTAGCTTCACATAATGTCAAATAATAGTGTAAAACGTCCAGGTGTTGGGGTGGGGGTGTTGGTGACGGACTCAGCCCACCCAGGCTGCGTTCTCCTCGGGAAACGGAGAAGCGCCGTGGGCAGAGGGACATACCAGCTCCCCGGTGGCCACTTGGAGTTTGGGTACGTAGCTAGCTAGCATACCCCATTCATACTTATTTCACAACACACACTTAACAGCACTTTTTACAGCTAATATTTACAATGCACGGTCATGTATGAATGTTTTATCTTGGACTTCATTCAAATAATTCAGCTTATTTGTCGCTTTATCATCAAACAGGCTGTTCTACTTACGCTATGATAAGCATTGTGTTGTTGTAAATATACACATTACAGTGTAATAATAATGTTATTGGTTGCCTGTAATTATGCCGAATTCTTATGAAGTGTTCAGAAAATAGTGTGACACATGTAAGATTAGCAAAACCACATATGCTTTCTTAAAAAAGTGGAAAACCTGTAAATGTAATGAAAAATAAATGGGGTTTGGTTATAAGCAGAAAAGTGAACCAAGGTTATATTCAACAGCCATTCATCTCAAAGTAAAGCCCCAGTTCGCTGAGGAGTTGGACAGTTGTGGTTGTGCATTTTCACAAGTATCTGTTGCCTGTTAACTGTAGAGAAACCAAACCAGTGCATGTGACATTCATTTCTATGTCACTGTAAGAGAGACATGGGAGGAGTGCGCTCACAGAGAGGTGCTGGAGGAAGCAGGGGTGCATTTGGTGAATGTCCGCTTTGCATCAGTGGTGAACTCCATCAAACTTGAGGAGCAGTACCACTACGTCACCATAATTATGCAAGGGGAACTGGACAAGAAGCAGCCTGGGGAGCCAGAGAACCTGGAGCCAGAGAAAAATGAGGGTATGTTTTTGTTTGTCTCTCCTGGCACTGAGTGGGAAAAAAAAGCCTGCCACTAATACAGTGTGTGTATCTCCTAATCCAGGTTGGACGTGGACACAGTGGGACCAGTTTCCTCCAGAGGAACAGCTCTTCTTGCCATTAGCCGGTTTGAGACAACAAGGCTTCCGGCCATTTGGGAACAAAGTCACAAACACTGAAACGCTGCTCTGAAACTGACTGGTACATGAGCAGACTGAAAAGATACAACAGATACACCTCCTCAAAATTCAGCCTTATGATTTACATCACTGGATTGTTTTCTTCTTGTTATGTAATGTTAGCAACTGCCGGAGGCCTGTGGCTGTTATGGATGGATTTGGCAAGGTGGGAAACTGTTTTTTGGTCTGATGAATCAATATTCATTATTGATTTTAGAAACTGTGGACACTGCAACTTCTGATCCAAAGAGTATGGAGATAAACCTGCAGCATTCATAAAAAGTACTCATGCAAAGTACTCATGGCATCGGTGGCATACACATCTATAATATAAAGTGATACAATACAATTATAAACATGTCCCTGTCCCAATCATTTTGAAACTTATTGCTGGCATCTAATTTGATTTGAGCGTATATAAAACAGTTTTTTTTTGTTCTAACATTTCACATGTTCACTACTTCTAAATAATTTCAAATAAATCTGTGTCTTTATGTTATTTGAAGTTTTCATTGTAAAAAAAGAGCAATGCATAAATAGTTTTAATGACTTTTATTAACAGATATAAACATTTCAGAAAATCCAAAAGCTCTTTGCAACAATTTTATAATACTTTGTACTAAATATTAAAAGACAAATAATTTAATTTATTCAAAATATTCCCTTTAAGCGGCTCAAACTGTTGCACAACTGGCACTTAAAGGCTTCACAATTTAGTCCGTTTTTTCCTCTTCACATGAGGTTGGTGCTGGTGACACACACGGTTAACAGTACAGTCCACAAGGTTGCAGCAGCTGTTGCCACAGCGCCATTGAAGGTCTTGTTGTGGGCGTAGGTGATGATCTCCAGAGCTCCACTGTAGGCCTCCTCACAAGCTGGCTTGATTTGATCCTCTGGAAGTTCGAAGCCGTATGTGCCGTTGTCTCTCAGCTCAAAGGTGAAGGTGTAGGGGATCCCCTGCATCCGAGACCAGTCTCTGGATGAACCAGAGTTCGGGTCTATTGAAAGAGATTAGCAGCTTTAATTTTCCTTTTCTCTTTCAGATTAGTTTCTGTATACATCTAACATCAGTAGCCTGTCTGAGGACTGGGTTAGGGTTGGGGTTGCCTTAGCAGGTTTATAACCAGCTTGTTCTAATTTGTCAGGGTTAGCAACGCCACATAGCCAAGTAGAAATCTTGTGTGGATGCTATGAGGACTTACACAACACATCAGGTGAGGTTCCAACAGTGTAGTGCATCCCATGGACCTTCTTAATGGCGTCGGCTGCAGCCAAACCCACCTTCATCTGAGGAAGAAGAGGTATGTTTTCAGTCATACAGACACAGCTGTGTCAGTACTGTACTCTTGGATTCTAATAGCTTGACTTGAATTGGCAGATTCTGAGTTGTGCACGTCCTAATGTTAATGAACAACTATTCATAATATCATGGACGCTAACTTTGGCTAGCGTTACTCTCTGCTAGGACCACATATCTGAATATTTTCAGATGTTTTTTGTAATTTTGCACAAATAAAACGTCCTAAATATTCTAAATAATTGCATACTGGTAAAAATGTTAGCAAACAAAGCTTTCAGTACCCCCTTGTGGACAAACTATGTTACTAGATCTCTCTAACTGAAGGGTTTGTAAGGAACGCACTCTTATACTAGAATATCTACAACAGCTACGTATCAGCCAAATTATCAGCTTGACTGATATATCAGTCTGTTTTTTTGTCCATCAAAAGTATCTGCTTTATTCCAGACATAGCCTGTTATTCTTAGACATTCATATTTTATTCTACATGTGCAACACTGCATTCCTAAGAAAGCAAAACTCTCCTTTAAGACTCTAAATTGAAAACCTTTGACATAATTTACAAAAGCCTGATGTGACTCTGCATCCTGAGGGAGTTTGAGAGGCTTCCAGGACAGGAAAGTCATGTTAGAGCTGCAGAGGCGAATTAAAGTAATCCTGTTTTGCATGAAACTCTGAATTGTGGCTGCACTGGGTTATTACCTTTATCTGCTGCTTCTCTAAACACAACCAGCTTTTCATTTTCTGCTTTCACTGCCTCACAGCTTCCTCTGAGACAGTCTGCTTTTGGTTCCTGAATTTTAATGACATTTATCCCACCACTGTCTCGCAAGGTTTGTAAAGTCATGATTTCATGTACCTTATATCTCATGAACAATGCTTGGACTGTTTCTCTCTTGTTTTCTTTGGGGTTTTCTGACTCATAACATGTATCACAGTGTGTGTAAATACCAGCTCATCATAGTTGGGGGCGGTGAAGTTGGGGTGTCCGTAGGGAAGCAGGAGCAGCTGGCCATAGGAGTGGATGGTGAGGAAACACAAAAAGTCCTCCTTCCGGGTTCCGACAAAAAAGGTTACCGCCTGGGCCTCGGGCTCAGACATAGCGTCTTTGCCACAGTAGGTCTGATCGCAGCAGTTGAACGATACTCCAATTGCTGTGAAAGCAGGAATAGAGAGCACTGATAAGTTGTTTTTTGGATACTTATATATCACCCATCTATTTTGCAGCCAACTTTGCCAGAAAATACCAAACTGTTAGACGGCCAAGTTGTCCTATTTCTTTTGTAGCTGCTTATTAATTTTGCTGGATGGAGGTTTGCCATTGAAAGGTAGCCTGGCATGAGACTGATGAGGCTAAATGTTCCCGTACAGGTCAGTGGATTTATCAGTGAGATATTATAAGTTAAATACAACACAGACCTGAGTCTGTTTTATTTCAAAACCAAAAGACCTGGGTCAATAATTCATATATTCTTCATGACTTATTAAAGTTTCAAGACTCACTCCCCCAGTTGGCGTCAAAGTTGCGGTTGAGATCGGTGCCATAACAGTCACAGCCTGCTGGTCCTGGTGACCTGTTTTTCCTCCACAGTCGGGTCTAAATGGGACAGAATGGTAAGTCCATGAAAACAGCTATTTGCTTGATTGTCACCTCAACGCTTGGCTGCCATATTGTCTCGCATAAAAACCCATAAAATCAAAGTACTAACAGAATCATTTGCCCAGGAGAAGATGTACCCGTCCATGTTCAGTACTGGGGTGACGTAGAAGTCCATGTTCTTCATCATCTCCTGCATTTTTGGGTCTTTTTTGTATGCGTCCAGGATCTAGTTTGATAAACACAGCAGGTCAGATTGATATTTTTGAGGATAAACCCACCAGGAAACAGTTTTTGAAGAGGTTGTCTGTGTCCCACCTGTCTGACGAAGTACTGACAGAAAGCCGGGGCGATCCACTCCCTGGCGTGGATACCACAGTCCATCCAGATCGCTTTCTTCTTCTCTCCAGTGTTTACTCCAATCTGACAGACACAGTTATATGAATTCTCTAAAAGCTTCTATAAACCACAAACTTATAAACTGAACGACTTAAAGTTCAGCTTACCTTGAGCAAGCTTATAGTCCTCTTCTCGTAGGTTTTTCCATAATCCATGATACTCACAAGATCAGGATTTTCCTTCTGGATCTGGGCCATCCAGCCTGTGATCTTTAAGGAGATGTATTGTTAGATCAAAAGTCGTGTTTGTGTAACAATCTGAACCTTACTTATGCTTTCTCACCTCTGACATGGGATGGTATTTAAAGTAGTCATACTCTGCTCTGTTGACGTGAAGATCATGGTCAGTAGAAGCAATGTTTTCAAAAGTAAAGTCTTTTTTCAAAAATTGTAATTGATACTTTTCCTTAGACAGAAATTTCAATATTGCTGAAGCTTATTTAAGACCTAGCAGTTACGAGGTCAACCTTGTGTTGAGTTTAAGCAGGTCATAAAATATCCTGTTAAAATTAATATCACAGTATTTATGACAGAACAACATTTAAATGGAGGAAAGGTAAGATAAGGGTGGAGCACTGCATTATTTAGTATGCTGTACTCATACACACAGTTACACAACATGCTATCATCCATTTCTTTCATGTCAAGTTTATGATTGATCAGCGTACCAGCCCTGCGACTGATTCTTTCTTCGTAGACGACACTTCCTCGTAAAAGATTATCTCACTTTTACGTCACAAGAAGGCTGTAAAAACAGTAAAATCCTAAACAGTGCATTTTTTTAAAGACTGGTTCTGCTGGATGTGCCGACATAAAACAAAAAAACCTGTGTCCTGTTGCACCAGCTCTGTGTAAAATGTTCCCTCGTTTGGAGCGTAATCTCCAAATGAGCCAAAATATTGTTGCAAAAATTGAATTTTTATATTCTAAGGCATGTCCCCGAATCATGAACAACAAAAAAAAAGAAAACAAGTGCTTTTAACTTCCATAAAATGACTGACAGCAAAGTCAGAATAGCTTTCTGGGTGGTGGTAACAGATTGCATCAAAAAGAGCTACACATCTGCATGGAAAGTGCACATTGCTGAGCACATTGTAGCTTTGCAGCCTCTTGGAGCCCAAAACTATTTACTCGTGTGGCTTTTACTCTAGATTTTACCCTACGTTCATTATCTTCTGAATTCAACAAATTTTTCAACAGATATATTCAACAAATATTCTTTTTTAGAGCTATACCATTAAAAGAAACATTCTTGTCACAACCCAGTAGTATAAAATCTTTTAGATCAAACTCACCTCTCGACTGTAGCTGCTCCAATCACTGTTAGCAGCAGCACACAGCTCAATCCCACACAGCTATGCATTGTCTTTTCTTTTGAAAGTACAGTCCTTGTTTGTAACTGACAGCCTTTTTAGATGCTGCAAGCCTTTATAGAGGACCTCCTTGAGATAAAGACACACCTTTGACTCAGGATATCGGTTAATGTTCAACCCAAGATCCTTCGTTAGAAATAACCAGTGATGATTAATTCACATTATTAAGTCCAGAAATCGCTGTCATGTGCTTGTCCAGTGTTGTCAGATGGATAACAGAATGATGAGGTGGTCATAAAAATAGACTTTGATTACACCTAATTGCCATGTAAGCTTTTTCTCATGATGACTGTTATCTGCCTTTTCCCACAGCCCTCCCACTGTGACCTTTTGCTGCTCTCAACTTCGTACCTTTCACCCCTGCTCAGTCTTTCTGTCTTGAAAACTTTCATATATCTTGGAACTGGCTGGACATTTTAAATTTGAATTCCCACCCTTACCGTTGACAGTTAACTACGCTAGCGTGCTGTGCATCTGCAAAGGAAGGCATGTTTTTATCATAGGAACATAGAAGCAAAGATTAGATAACCTAATCAAAGACATGAAAGCAAACAATGCAGCATAAAAGCGAGCAAAGTTCCAAACAGTTAAATGTTTGTGTATCTGACAGATGTACGACTTCAGTGGTTAACTTTTTTTAAACCTCCCATTTCAAGCCACGAGACTTCAAACCAAAAATCAAAATCTCACAGCCTGTGTTACTGATTTTGCATCATTTATTGTATTTTCAGTGTGTTTGCTGTTACTGCAGTAGTTCCAGCATGTATTTACAGTTGTAGAACATCTCCATTATTGCATTTGTTTCCTAAGTTGCATCATTTTTGCATTTACACATTTCCGATCACTGAGATTCTTACATAATGGATACCCGTGTCATAAATATATGATTTTTTAAATATAAAATATACATTAAAAGCACAAAAATTTGGCAACATGAAGCCAACAACATACTATAAAAACTGGAAATTTTCTTGAAACTTTCTTAACCCTTTACTAAATACTTATGCCATACGTATGTCCAGGATTAATCAAACTTAAGTCTTCAAGATTTGCCCAATTTTCCTCTTGGAGAGGTTTTCTCTGTTTACAACAGGTTGGTGCTGGTGACACCCGCTGCCAGCGCTAAAATCCACAAGGTTGCAGCAGCTACTACTGCAGCACCATTAAAAGTCGTCTCATGGGCGTAAGTGATGATGTGCATGGCGCCGCTGTAGGCCTCCTCACAAGCCGGCTTGATTTGGTCCTCTGGAAGTTCAAATCCATACGTCCCGTTGTCTCTGAGTTCAAAGGTAAAGGTGTAGGGGATCCCCTGATTTCGAGCCCAGTCTTTGGACGAACCGGAGAAATCGTCTGTGGACAGATACGAGCAGTGCATCATGAGACTTGTTCATATTAACCATCCCCACTATATTCATTTGTGAAAGCATGCAAATTTGCTTAAATACAGCTTCGGCTGTGGAGACTGAGAGTGGCTTTGCAGGTGTTTGCTAAAAACCAAAGTCTGATTAAAGTGATTATTACCTTACTATGGAAAAAAATTGTGTTTATCCCTAGAATTATGTTACTCTGGTAATGTGATGGCTAAAATTCATAATGTATTATTAATTTTTATTGAATTTCCTTTCAGGGATCAATAGAGTTCTTCTCATCTTATTTCAGTTTGGTGACTGTATGGACTTACATAATATATCTGGCGAGGTTCCAACAGCGTAATCCATCCCGTGGATCTTCTTTATTGCATCTGCCGCGGCTGTACCCACTTTCATCTGAAGAACCAAACGTGAGTTTAAAGTCACACATTATTTCCTCACTATTTTTAACAACAGAAAACTACCACCATTAAACAAGGGAACATGTCTAAAAACATATGCTAAATTTGCATGTCTACTTGGTTTGCAGGTTTAATCTACACATCTATTCACCCTGCATGCTGAATTTGTATAAAATTTTTTTTTAGTATATGCTTTATTCACATACCCATTAATTTTGACATAATTCATTCGCATATTTCACCTCCTTGATGCTCTAGTTGCTGTCAGTCTGGTCAAACAGGTGGTAGATTTTGATTTCGGTAGGGTGTTTCCTGTGCTTGGTTCACATATTTTTCATCTAATTCATTCTTGATTTGCGTCTTTGTATTCTCTGATTTGCCTGCTTGGTTTGCATCACACTTTTTCCAATTTTGTGGACTACATCAATCGGTCTACCTGTTCCATTAAAACCTTGTGTCGTAAAACTATTTTGCATATTATTTGCAACATTAATCTGTCATGTGCGTTTTCTGCATATCAATCCCTTCCAGCATTCCTAGTTGTCAAACTTTATTGTTTATTGTCCTTGCAAAGCTTTCTATTTTTGTATGCTGAATTAATGAGGGTTCCTACTTGTGTGTACATGATTTGCATCAATGATGAGTGTTTAGGTTTTTGTCATTTTTATCTTTTTCTAGTTTTGCATCATACTCATGTCTTTAAGATTTATGGTGTGGATAGAAAGTCCTGCCTTGTTGTGCAAGCTTAGACTGCATGGCTTTTATGTCTTGTTTTATCTTGCAGTATGCCTGTTTTGCACGTTAATCTACATTTTCATGAGTCAAGGAGCAAGTACTTTTTAAATACTTTTCAAGTAAGCCTGTCTTTAAAAAATGCCTCACTTTTTGTCCCTTTTCGGCACAAAATCTGCACATAAGTTTTTATCAACCCATGCATTTCCCTCTTGTTTCGAACACATTTTGTAACACAAGGAGAACAAGACATCGACTGACACTGACAGACAAACATACACACAATGAACCAACAAGAGCAGGGGAAGACAGGGACTATATATACAAACACAGGGAAACGAGCAACGAGAGGCAGGTGAGTCTAACGAGACACAGGTGCAGACAATTAGAGAGGAGGGAAAACTGAGGAAGTACAACAAGACTAGAAACACAAGGGTGGACTACTACAAAATAAAACAGGAAACACTGACCTAAGAGTAAAACACTGAGGACAGGAGGGAAACAGGGTCAAACACAAACTGAAAACTTACAAGACAGGATCACAGGAACAATAGGGAACAGAAAAACTAGGAAAATACACAGAGAATTCACTCAAATAACAAAAACCAAGAGAAAACTAAATGAATAAAACATATCATGACACATAAGCTGCATTTTTTTGTCGAACTCTGCGATCAATTTCCTGAATTCGAAAGTTTTGCATGCTTGATTTGATTATTTAGCTAATTTGCATGCCTATCTTTATCAAGTAGATCACAATATCTTCTTAAGGAAATGACACATTTGCAGCAAAGTTCAAGATTACATCACACAAACATAGATCAGTCATAATATTGTGAACATGCATGTGGCTGCTGGTGGTTCAGTCTCAATGATGCCTGTAGAGAGCCAAGACTGGCATATGTGTCCCTATGCAACAGGAGGGCTTCTGCTCAATTTGCAGAAAAAGTAAATATCAGCCACACACATTTGCACACATTATCTTTATGAGTGCTTTCAGTGCGCTAGAGTGCGATGTTTATCTGCTTGAGGGGGCTTTTACAACCTGTGAGAGGAAAACTATGTTTGGAGAGATGGCGGGATTGGTTTTTATTGTGCTCGGTGCTCATCTGCTCGTGAAACTTTGACCTGCTTGATGGTGTAAACTGATCAGTTTTCCTCCCGAATTACTGTGTGATATCACTCAGAATTTGGTCATAATGTGTATTTCTGCGTTGGTGGATGTCATTACCAGTTCTTCGTAGTTGGGGTCAGTGTGGTTGGGATGTCCAAAGGGGAGCAGCAGCATCTGTCCATAGGAGTGGATGGTGAGGAAACACAGGAAGTCCTCCTTTCTGGTTCCAACGAAATAAGTGACAGCCTGAGCCTCTGACTCAGAAATAGCTTGGCTGCCACAGTAGAAAATGCTGCAGCAGTTGAATGAAACTCCAACAGCTGTGAATGCAAACAAAAGAGGAAAGATCTGTCTTAGTTTACATGACTGGGCACTTTAGCACTAATATAGGAGCTCAGATTTTCCTTTTGAACCCATGCAGTGATTTACACAAAGGCGAGAATCTCACATTTAGGATTATGGTGTTCCAGGTCCTATCAAAAAACCATAGTTGACTATAAAAGCAATAAGACTCACTTCCCCAGAAGGCGTCAAAGTTGCGGTTGAGATCGGTGCCATAACAGTCACAGCCTGCTGGTCCCGGTGACCTCGTCTTCCTCCACAGTCGAGTCTAAATGGGTCATGGAGGTTAAATTGTGAAATTAGCTGGATTTTATTGTCCAGAATTCCGTATAATACCATTTTTAGTAATTCTGTTTTTTATGTTTTTGTACTGTAGCTCTGCCAAACTTGTGTCTCATTTCATAATATTTATTCTTCACCTGTGCACCGTGGGTTTTTCCAGACCACAGAAAGGTCAAATATGCATCATATTGAAGCACCTACTGTCTCGTTCTTCCAGGTGTAGACGTATCCGTCCATGTTCAGCACAGGAGTGATGTAGAAGTCCATGTTCTTCATCATCTCCTGCATTTTTGAGTCTTTTTTGTATGCATCCAGGATCTGGTTTGATAAACACAGCAGGTCAGATTGATAATCATGAGGATAAATCCACTCAAACAAAAGGTTGTCTGTGTCCCACCTGTCTGACGAAGTACTGACAGAAAGCTGGGGAAATCCACTCCCTGGCGTGGATACCACAGTCCACCCAGATCGCTTTCTTCTTCTCTCCGGTGTTTACTCCAATCTGACGGACACAAATGACTCTTTTAAAGCTGCTATAAACCACATACTCATAAAACCAAACGACTTAAAGTTCAGCTTACCTTGAGCAAACTTATAGTCCTCTTCTCGTAGGTTTTTCCATAATCCATGATACTCACAAGATCAGGGTTTTCCTTCTGGATCTGGGCCATCCAGCCTGTGATCTTTAAGGAGGTGTATTGTTAGATCAAAAGTTGTGTCTGTGTAACAATCTGAACCGTACTTATGCTTTCTCACCTCTGACATGGGATGGTATTTGAAGTAGTCATACTCCGCTCTGTTACAAACACACACAACATCATCAAAAGTGTGTAATGCATAGAAACCAATGCACAGATAAAAATGCGGAAGCTCCTGCTGGTTTATTACATCACATTAATGCCGCCATGAAACGTCTAGAATAAACTCACCTTTCCACCGTGGCTGCTCCAATCACAGCAAGCAACACCGCAAAGCTCAGCCCTACAGAGTTCAGCATTATTGATTTTGAGGTATGCTCCTAGTTTGCTACCAACTCCAGCTGACAGTCACTCGAGAATGATCAAAGACTTTATTGAAGACATTCATTAAACGAGACACGCCTCATTCTCAGTTAGGGGCCACTGACAGGATATAACACGGCAGAGGTTAATCTTTAACGAAACACGATGGAGTCTTGAGTACTTTTATTATATTACGGCTGTAACAGTCCTGTTTATGTCAGAGTGAGATAGATAATAGATTGATCAATGATGATAAAACAATATTGCTGAGTCAGCTTTTTTCTAATCTGTTTTCCAACTCCACAATCTTTGCTCATTTCCACCTTCATACTTAAGCTCATCCGTTTCTCTCAAGTTTAAATCTGATTTTTTTATGTGAATGAATCACTCTGACCCGAGTGTTAAATTTTTATTATCTGAAAATATAAATTGGAACCCATAACTTTGTCAGTTTAGCATGTTAGCATGTTACGAAGCTGCAAAGAAAACTATATTTTTATGCATTCGCTCAAAATGTTACTGTGCCTCAGACCTGCCTTGCAATGCTACTAGCATAGCTTCCTGATCTTAAGGATAACATAGCCTTTGCCATGCTGACTAATAAGAGTTTGTACTTTCATCCAAGGGTGTTCCACAGGGATCAATTCTGGGTTCTGTTTTATTTACAGTCTGCATTAAAAACATTTTCTATTTCTATTTATTTATCTTTAAAAAATGGGAACAGTACATATTGATGAACATTTACATGTGAATATGTGGGAATACAGTCAAATGGATAATTTCCATACCCCAGTCCCATTGGCAGGTTGATGTTAAACATAAAAGCAATAATGTTAAAAGTACAAACAACAGACAGTAGAACAATGCCGGTGTTGTTTTCGTTGACTTTCGTTTTTGTTTTCGATGACTAAAATGTGACAAGATGAATGTGCGTTTACGTTGACGAGACAAGACTAGACAAAAACGTTAGTGGTGGACGACAAACAGAGTTGCAAAATTCAGGAGCATTTCATCAGCATTTAGCATCCTGATAGTGACCAGAGCATAAGTACGAAATTACATTGAATTGCACGATGCCCATAGCACACGATTGCACTTGCAGATGTGTGTCACAATGTCTTATCTATTACTAACTATAGGCCATATATCTTTTTGCAGATGACACTCTTTTGTATTTTTCAGCAGACTCTGTAGTAATAGGTGCTCAGAAACTACAATTCTCACAAAGTTCTTGCATTTTGTTTTGTTATATCAATTTAAGTCATCTAGATGCATTTCCGTTATTTTACTCAAGTCTTGAAAGATTATTGGGAATTTATTTTTATAAACAGATATTTCAACAAGTGCTCAAAACAAATCTGGGCAAGGAAACAACAGTATGACTAAACATTGATAATTAAAGCCCCAGTGAGGAACTTAAAGTTTGTGCGAATTTTGATGTTTCTATTTCGGCTGACACTTACCCCCTCACACCAGTTTTAGGCATTTAAAAATTACAATAGAAAAAGTGGTCTCATTGGTCTCAATTGCTTTTGTTTTTCATAAAAATGCGTAAAAATTGATTTTAAAAAATCAGAAAAAAATCCTTACAGGAGCTTTAAATAAGAATAAATCTTCCTAAGACAATCTAACCAAATTTCTACTTTCAGATCAATCAAGTATCTTTTCTTTTCTTTTCTTTAGTGAACCCAGACAAAATAGTTTTTAAAGGATTATGTAGCCTATGATCAGCAGATGACAGTAGAGAGCTGACTTTAGATTGAACCTGCAGCACTGTAGTCAAAAAATGTCTACAACAGATGCAAAGTGATCTATGAATAGTAAAATAGTCCATAAATGTCAGTTTATTATCATCTAAAAATCAGAGAGAGACAACCCCAGTGAAAAAGTGTTTCTTGACATTTATTCAAGTGGTTATTTATGACGCCTGCTGTTTCTTTTCACTCCATTAAAAATGCTGTTAAAAGACAGGTGATGCAAATTAGTATTTCACTATTCTCTCTTCTTACGGAGCCTCTAGAGCTCGTACATCCATCTTCAGCAACATCATCCCAGTGCTCTCCAGTCAAAGTTTTAACCCATTGAGATTAATTACCGTCAAAAGGCAGCCTTTCTTCACTGCGGTTAAACCCTGACAGTCAAATTCTTACAAGTTAACGGCGCCTCAGCACCTGGTCGCTTTGTTCCCGGTCGTTTGCTGACATGTACATCATGTCTTTTTATTAGCTGCTCATGAGATGAAGAGACGCGGCTTGTCTCGGCTTCCGCCCTGTTTGCACAAACTCAGGATGTGTGTGTAAGACGTAACCAAACACACTTCACAAGCTGTTTCTTCATAATGATTGATGATAGGACTAATGCTTTTGGATGAGAGAGGCAGGGCGCTTTGTTCACTCAAACACAAGCTTACATCATCGTAAAAACGGCCTATCTGTGCGTATGAAGAGCATAAATTAACTTAAAAATATATTAAACTTTGATTTATTCTTCAGTATTGCAACTGAGTTCTGTAATTTTTGTTCCATTATGCTGTCAAACACTGTCTAATTTCTAGTTTGGGACTCATTTAGACACACGTTCCCGCAAAAACCAAATTACATGGTGATTTTAATCTAACATTAACGATCGCTCCAGCAGTTCATTTGAATGTTGGATTCTTTGTTTTATAATGAGCAGTTAACTCTGAGAGTGCAGGGTGTGAGGGAAAGCTGTGTCAACATCTGGACAGTTTGCAAAGCTGAGGGATGCTGGGAAGTTTTGGTGCGCACATTCCTGAGAGGCCTTCAGGTTTTTATGGGTCGGTGAGTTGAAGGTGAACCTTTAGCTCCTGAAACAATGACACTATGTCTCTGGAAACTGTATATGTTTGAAATGCTGTTTATAGATCATTAAGAGGGAGGTATTTAATGGTCAGCACAACTTGTTACCCTCAGGAACTCTGTGTTGGTGCAAGTTATACCTATATTCAGCAGCTCATGTGCTTAAAGTAAACATAGCACCATAAAAACCTGGCTATGTGTTGTTAATATCGAGTACCGAAGAAGAAAAACGCTTTGAGGAAACCCTGATTCTGTTATCTCTAAACTCTGATGTTAACCTGCAATCTGGAGCTCCTGCTAAAAAACTAAAGACCACTCTTTCAACCAACAGCAGACCTTAAAAAGTGCCCGTCTGGTTTCCATCCATCTTGACAAAGCTATCAAAGTAGAGCAAAGACCTCAATCAAGAGACGTTGGAGCCTCCAATGAGCCTTTTGCACCGTTTGGTCCAAGAGAAAGTTTCTTCTCCCAAAAGGTACGTCCTTTCCACTTGATTCTTACTTTGCTGCAACAAAATACATAAATGATTTCACTTCTTTACACTTGAAATAAAATGTCAAAGGGCAGGCTGTGGGGAGCCCTCAGGACAGGAAGTAGTTTTTATCTCAGCCATGCATACTCCAATCTGACCCAAACTTGCCATGTGTAATGGGGGTCAAGGCTTGAACATATTCATGTGGAAATTTGTGAGTTCTTTATGAGCTGAATCTCCAAAACTGTTTAATATATTTGCATTTATCGGGGTGGGGGTAAAAGTGTCGTCCTAGTACCTTAGGAAGCCAATTTCCCAGAAAACTGCACATGTCAAGGCCCTCAGCTTTCTCAGGGAGACCGGCCAGTCTCAAGTTGGAGCGCCTTGCCCTGTCTTCTTGCTCTTGAACTTTATTGCGCAGTGTATCTGTAGTTTCTTCCAGTTGTTTCACCCTTTGCTGGAGAGCGGTGACATCTTCCTCTGTCTGTGATATTCTCTCCTCCGTTTCCCCTATTCTCTTTGAATGGGACACCAAATCCCCCTTGATGCTGTTAATAGTCTCCAGCATGTGGGCTGACAGTTTGCCAAAATCCTGCTTTAGTGGGCGTATTGCATTCAGTATCTCAGTGTTTGAAGGTCCGTTAGCATTAGTCTTGTTGTCGTTGTTAGCATCGTGGCTAGCGTCGGTTGTAGCAGCATCATTTTGTGCTATTACCTTCAGAGTTTGCTGGCCAGATTTAACATTTCTTGGTGGCATATCGTCTTCAGCGCTTACCCAGGCGTTTAAGGGGTTTTAAGTTGACTTTAAGTCGTTTTTCAAGTATTTTTCCAGAAAGTCAGTGACGAGCCAAGTTCCTGCCATCCTGTTAGCTGCACTCCATAACCACGCTAAGATGTTAATCTTAATGTGTGTCAAAGACTGTGTCTTATGGTCAGAGGGTGGGGTTGAATTTTGACATGGTGTTGTGCCATAAAATTTCACAGTGCTCCAGCTGACATGTTGCATCCATAGACTGTATGGACAACTTGGTTCCGCCTTCCGCCAGTGTACGGATTTGAAACCGAAAAGCTCTCTGTAATTCTGTGTTTTTTCTCCATTTCCAACATTTCACAGTAGCATTGTACACACTCCACCACTTGCGCAATAGCGTTCAAGAGTCGCTGTGATGACGCTCGGCTCAAACAGCGCATCCCCTGGGTGAGCTACGCAATCTTCGTACACTCATAGTCTGTATCAAGTGTCAATCATAGAAAACATGAACCCCCAAGTAACTTTTAAAAACAGAGCTGCACAGAAAAAAAGAGGACTTGAGCACAAACCAGTCTTATAATAACTACATGTTAACATCGAAAGCAGGGGGGAGAAACATTCAGATTCTGTGTAATAAATTTCTAAAGTTTGTCCACAGCCCCATAGGGATTGCTGGAGGAGGCAGGATTTATGACCTATACTGCAGCCCGTCACCAGAGGGTGCTGTTCTCGGAGTGGCTTCACCCAGAGAGGAGGCATTCTATATACAGTCTATGGTTGCATCTCTGGTTTTCCTTCTCTCCCTTAAATCCTCTCCCATCTAAGCTGAATTAACAGCTTCAGGAATGGCAGACCTGAAAATAGTTCAGGTTTGAGCATGGTTAAAAGAAATAAACTGGCAGTACTGGCTGCTCGCTCTGCTGTGGGAGAAGAAACAGGGTTTGGCTTTAGTTA